GCACGGAACGATCGTCTCCGTTTTCCTAAAGAATTTCTGCTAGCCAGTCTGGCATGATCCTCAAGAATCTTTGCTAGCTTGCTCCGCGTTGAAGAAAATGGCCAAATCAAGCTTATCCAATCCCTCCAGATGTTCCCAAAAAACGTTTACTAGCATGCCTTGCGCATAATCGCGGCTAGCTGGCCCATGCAGGAAATTTCGCTTTCCAGGATCAAGCTTTTCCAACTATTCCGGTTTTTCCTAAAGAATCTCTACTAGTTGCCTGTCATAATTCCTTCCTTTACAATGCGTTCTTTCCCAAAGATTGTCTGCTAGCTTGCCAGCAATTCAGTATCGCAAAATAATTCGGCATTTTTCTTATTTCCAGTCAGTCGACGCTCGTCTCCCTCCTCGATCTCAGCCCCCACAACGCACCCGTGCATATTCTATCGATGTCGGATTTCAATAATTTTATGACTGTGTTCAACATGTTTTTTTGTGTATATTACGCGCTTCTTAAAAGAACTCGGAAGTGCCAAAATCTACCCCTTCCAGTGACTAGGTCTCGACAGTTACGTAATACGCCAAATGGCCGGGAAAAATATCGAAATTTCACGTCCGAGAGGCTCGAGGTTGCTTGTCATTTGAAGTGTTTCGTAGCCGTCTAGATCTAGTTGCTGGGAGGGTCGAATCTTGCACTTCCCAGCGCCTTTAATAAAGATAATAATGACAATTCATAATTTATTCATGATTTTTCGATAATTTACAACCAAATATACATATAAGGTATACCAATTGAGCGTAAGCCAAATTTCAAAAAATTAGGAAAGGCATTTTAACACGACAGAAAAAAAACTACCCGTATTGTGAAAAATGTGTACACAGAGGATCGCGGGGAATTAAATTAGCCTTAAGTTAGTTAAATTAAATAAGGTATTTTTACAAGGTATTTAAAGTTACTAGATTGATTAATTTTACAATTGAAAGCGCGTCTATTTCTTGCCGAAAAACTGCGAAAGCATTCCAGCTGGAGATGGGGGCTCCGGTTCGGCCGTTTTGGCACCTCCTCTCATTAGTGCGTTGAGAATGGCGTCGATGTCGCTGGCGCCTGGAAGAGAGAGATTTTGAAGAGAGAGAGGGAGAGAGAAAGAGAGAGAGAGAAAGAGAACGTTACAAAAATCCCGTACCTTTCGATCCCATTCCAAATCCACTTTTGCTATCAAACAATCGTGGCCGTTGGGTGGTGGTCGTCTTTTCCATCAATCCTGCAAAAATTGCGTTTGACAGTGGGGGCTTTAAAGGGACTCGCAAGCCAATTTCTAGAATTCTTTAAAGTGAGCCTTGAGGCGTGGCTAATTTCATAAAAATCAGCTAGAAAATTATTGTCATGTCTTCCAGGTCACTTTAAAGGTGCCCTAAAGGCAAAAATGCCTAGGGATTTTGCCTTTCAGGGCTCCTTAAAAGGACCTGCGAACAAAATTATAAATTTTCGTGATCGGTCGCTGCGCCGCGAGACGCAACGCGAACGCTGCCTGCTCGTCGAAAATTGTAGCAATCGACTACGCAACACTATGGCGGGAGCCGCGTTGCGTGTCGCGGGGGCGTCGAAAACTCGATCTATGCCTACTCCGGCCCTTTAAAGGTACTCTAAAACCAAAAATTCCCATATATTTGGCTTCTCGGGCCCTTAAAACGCCTCAAACCCAATTTTGAGCCTTAAAAACGAACCGAACATCTCCAACATGTCGACAATAGGAGCGGCGCGTTGCTGGGGTTTTTGTTCCTGGGCCGGGGCACCGCCTAGAATATGGATTAGCCACCGTACTCGGATGTTATTTTCAAGGTTTTTCGTTTTAAGGCATAAAGCAAAAGCGGTGCTTTCTAAAAATAGCTCTATTTTTACCGAGAAAAAGCGTCAATGATGCTCCTTTGGCCGCGAGAGCGTGGTGTTAGCGGGTCTTCAAGCGACTGGACTCCTTGGGGCTGTTGTTGAACAAGACCAGCGGGTGGGGCACGGCCTGAAGCGGGACACACAATGATCAGGTGGGTTAGGCAGCGGAAGCTTGACTACAGGGTGGGCCAAAAAAAAAAGCCCCGGGTTTGCACTGAAATAACTCGCGAACGGTAGAGAATTGAAGGTACGTTACCATGCCAGAATGCTTAAATATGCTGGGTATGAAGATTTAACACAACTTGATTTTTTCGATTTTTGCATACGCAACTGTACTATTGACGCTGGTTACGACCGAAAATTGTGCGTTCTTGAACGGGAGGTGGGAAAATTCTGATTTTTGGCCTAAAAATAGTATAAATTTGTAAAAATATAATGGCAAAATCTTAGAATTTATCGAGGTCAATTTCATTTTTTAAAAGCAAAACAATTTTCGCGATTTTGCATTATTTTTGTTCTTTGAGTTATAACTCACTTATAACTCGCTGCCTATGGCTGATATTTTGTCAATGACCTATCCAAATATTAATCTCGGATTCCACACAAGATTCCACCACAATCTATGGTATTTTTATATTGCTTGCTAAAATCTACTATCCACAAACGTTCATGAAAAAGACTAAAAACAGATTTTTTAATCCTGCCGCAGAATTTTGTAAATTTTTTGGTCAATTGGTCCGAAAACTGCTACTATTGGTTTTACGAAAAGATCGATGCGATTCCATGGCAAAAACACCACGAAAATCGCAAATTTCGGTTTTCTACAGTAACCCACGTGGAGCGCGTTTTAGCATGCCATCACAAAATTCCATAAAGTGACGATTTTTCTATTCGAGAGCCTTCTAGAGGTGATTGTAAGACAGCCTGTTAAAAATTACTGATTTTGGATGGTAAATAACAAAGTTACGGGGCAAAGTGCAAAACCAGTCCAGAGAGCCGATTTTTGGTCCGAGTAGCCGGGGTCAATTTTCGAATTTTTAAAAATAAAAAAACCAGTTGGGTCTTATGGATACGACTATAGCTTTAATGTTATTATCTACGCTCGTCAAATTTGGGGGCAATCTGATTCATGATCATGGGGACTTTCAGCTCAAAATCGAAGATCACCCTATTCCAAAATCGAAGTTTAGAAATCTTCTTAAAATTTTTGCGACGCGAAATTGCTTTAATCTTTGCATAGTTTTATTTAACTGATATCACAGATTTATTGGTGAAAATATCCTGGTGACTCCACCTTCCAAAAATTTTTTACGCCTTCTCAAATTCGGTTTATTTCGGGTTTTGATGAATTTTCTTAGCGCGAACACCTGGCCAAATAAATTCATGAACATGGCTTTAGGATGCGCTATTCAAATTATATCAGATAAAAATAAAACGATAATTTTCAAGGCGCGACTAAATTTCATAAAATGGTGACAAGATTCGGAAAAAAGCACGAACGAACCGTTTTGGAGGCCCTAAAAGACGCCCTTCCAAAGGGGTACGGTAGCTCGAAATTTTGTACATGATAGATAAACCCCAGTTCTACATATCTAAGCAAAGAAAATAGCTGAGTCCCCTTTGGCAATTTAAAAATATTTTTCTAAAGTTCAGTTTCGTGACCTCGAAAAATCCATGACCAGGGGGTCGATGAAAAACCCGAAAATTCATCGATCCCAAAAAATTCTTTAATATGTTTATGCGATTGTGTCAAGCCCGTAGGTATTCTACAACAACTTAGTTTGACGTTCTGGCCATAGGTTTTTTTAATATTCGAATTTTACGAAATTTCTCCATACAAAATTTCAACCCTACTTAACTTTTCAATCAGACCCTCAAAAATTCTCAAATTTTATAGGTGCATGTCTACTGCCTACATTAACCTACAGAGTAAAAATTAGAAGCCAGCCACCACAGGAAACTGAGAAAAATGCAAATGAAGTTTTCCCCGAACGCACATTTTTCGGGTGTCATTTGTATTGATACGTCGCCAAAAATCGAAAAAATCAAGTTGAGTTAAATCTTCATACCCAGCATATTTAAGCATTCTGGCATGGTAACGCACCTTTAGTTCTCTACCGTTCGCGAGTTATTTCAATGCAAACTCGGGGCTTTTTTTTTGGCCCACCCTGTACCGTAATCACCAGAAAAAATCGGAGTCCTTATTTTAGTCTGAACAAACATTTTGGTTACGTTTTCGGGCTGATTACGCTATGAAATTCGCCCGTTTCTAAATTTTCATTAATTCCACATTTAAACTTTGATAAAACTCGATAAAAAGTTTTTAGCTCAAAAAACTGCTGCTCGATCGAGTTTGGTAGAGGTGCAACGTAGCTTTCTGAATCTTAAAGGGGCCAGAAGGCAGGAAAATCGACCCCTTCCAAAGGCTAGGTCTCGACAGCTGCCCGACGCGCCAATTTTCTACTTCAGACGGGATTTTTCTAACTCATGGAACGTGTACGGCGCCGTGATTTGGCGCTTTGCGTAGTTTTCGAACCCTAGTCGATTTTGCGGTTTCCAGACCCTTTAGAATCGATGTTCAACATTAACCCACGGATTTTACTCCATTTAATAGGATTGTGATAGCAGAATTTTGTACTTTTTAAATTTGACGAGGAATTAATCGTTTTGTATGAAAACCATTAGAAGCCGTAATTTATTTAATTATTTAAATTTTGGCAGAATTTATTTTTCCGCTCTGATTTACCTCTCGCCCTCGTCTTAAAAATACGCTATATATTAAAGCATTAATCGGTGACATAAGCGTGAACACACCATATCTATCATAGCCATATGAAGCGGAAGCGGCAACTGGGGCAGATTGTTGGGGTTGTGGTGGTTGTGCTGGGAGATAGGGGGCCGATGGAGGGGAGTAGAAGCCGGGAATTCCCGGCATTCCCTGCATACCCTGCATACCGTACCCAGCTGGGGCCGCTGCTGCTGAATTTTTGAGCGGTTAAATTAGCTTAGTTAGGAAAGCGAAAAAATGCAACTTCTCGGTCACTTCAAGTCCCCTCTGATCGACTGGGTTTAGACGGCTACGCGAATGGCGCTTTTTCGCCTTTTCAAGCGACAAACTCAATTTTAGGGGCGTAATTTGGCGTGTAACGTAGCCGTCCAGGCCTAGTCGACAGAAGGAGATCATTTTCGGACTTCCACGTGCCTTTAAAGACTGGTTGTTGCCCAGATTTTATCACTGAAGCTCAAAAAACGCACAATATAGGACTTGGCTGTGCCTTTAAAGGTACTAGAAAACCCGAATTTCGACCCCCCTGATGGACTAGGTCTCGACAGCGGCGCGACGCTCCAAATGACCCGTTTGGTGTCATTTTTAAAACGTAAGGCGAGTGAAAAAGCTGTCGGGACCTAGTCGGCACAAGGGGGTCGATTCTCGCACTTTCTAGGCAGTTTAAAAAGCTGGTTTGAGCGGAAAATGATCACTGAAGCAAGAAGCTGGAATAAGCGCACAAAATACACCCGAACAGGAGCGTATTGACTGCGGAAAGTCGCGTAGTCTACCCACCAAAGAGGTCCAAAAGTGTCCGCCTAGTGGTAGTAGTGACGGGAGGAGGCGTGGGACGGACTAGGCCTGAAATGACAGAGATAGAGAGAGGGAGAGAGAGAGAGAGAGAGAGAGAGAGAGAGAGAGTGAGCGAGAGAGAGTGAGCGAGCGGCGAGAAAGAAAGAGATAGCGAGAGTGAGAGAGAGCGAGAGAGAGACATAGAGAGAGAGCGAGAGAGAGTGAGAGAGAGAGAAGAGAGAGCGAGAGAGAGGAACAGAGTGCTACCGAAACCCATCAAGAAAATGTGCTGACCGAACATTTCGAGGATATTTCTCCCCGGAGCAGGTGCCGGAGCTTCTGTTGTTGTCGTGGTAGGAGCCTCAGTCGTTCCGAGACCTGTAAAGGGACAGTGAAGCCATGGAAAACACCGGAAGTAGCCCGAAATTAACAAAACTACCCTAAAAGCGCAAATAATGCAATTGAAAAAACCGTATCAAATCATTTGGGTCCGAAACCGTATAGAATCGAGTCATAGTCAAAAGTGCATTAAAATATGCACAAAAACCCGTTAAAAATCTGTTAAATTGAATTAGACGAACCGAACAGGTCGAGAAGCGTGGCCCCATTTTGCCTGGGTCGAGCGGGTTGACGAGGCGGAGGCGGAGGGGGTAGTGGCTCGGAATCACCGCTCACTGAACTGCCTGCAATCGCGGAAATTTTAAAAATACAGTAGCTATGAAAGAGTAAATTTACAAATTTTTGCATCACGAAAAATTGAAAATTAAGTTTTATGCAGTGCAAAAATAATGTTCAAAAATCTCTAAAAATAATGTTCTTTGAAAACTGTTATTTCAAGCATTTTACATAGAAAGTCCGTGTCTATTTTATTGATATGCTGCACTTACCCAAAAACGTGTTCAAAATCGACTGAATTCCGCTACGAGGCCTTCCTCCGGACGGCAGTCCACCGTACTCGTTGTAAAGGGTCAGCTTCTCGTCGGCGCCGCCTGAAATGCGCCGGATGAAAAAGTGCGAAAACCGGCCACTCCTAGAAAACTACGGAACACCCCAAATGACGGAAAAATAGTCTGATTTCGGGGATTTTTAATGCTATATGAACATCAGATCACATGTTCAACCCCTATTTGCCGGTTAGTTCCCTGTTATTTCACAAAATATGTGTGTCATTTGGGGCCTAGCGTAGCTGTCTAGAACTAGCCAAGAATAAGGGTCGTTTTTCCTAGACGCTTTTAACGCATTTTCTCTTAAACTTACTCCGCATATTGTTGGCCACCTCCGACAGGATACTATTGCCACCGTATCCAGATTCTCGGTAGGACCCGGCCGATCCCCCTCCTCCTCCTCCACCCCGTCCATTTCCCATAAATTCGTTCGTCAACGACATCAGTTGGGTCGCGATGCCGTACACTAAAAAATAGTTTTCATGTTTTAAAAACGCCATTTCGGTTTTTCTATCGTATTTTTGCTGCTTATTTATCCGTGCTCTTCAAAGTCATAAAAGGCCTTCTGTTTTGAGTGTTTATGCAGATTTATCTACGGAATAATGTCGACCGTTTGAGAGCCCCTAGACAGGTTTGTGGATGCTCATTTTTTTTGAGCTTTCCTCCTCTAGATTCTCTAGCTAAAGAGGGGCACATCTCCACCCCGATCCCCCTCCTCCACCACTACTTGATGCACCAAATCCCCCACTCTACCAACGAGGATTTTCTCTGCTAAATCGTGCGCGAAGATTGGCAAACAACAAAAAAAAATTGCAAGAATTGATTTTTTTTTTTGCAGGGCCGTTAAAAGCATGCAACAATCTAATTCTAAAAAAATATATTTTTTGAAAAACTCGTTTTGAAAACTTTTCTGTTTTAGAATCTAATAAAGTATTGAAGCGAATTCACAAGGAAGACGGCGTTCAAATAAAAATCGGAAAATTTGGCAATTTTAGAGGTCTAAAGGTTAAAAGGATTTTAAAGATTTTAAACGGCCGCACAAGCAAAAACCGAATTTTCGAAGCGTGACTAGCATCTGTCAGGGTGTAGGCCCGAATTTTCAGTATTTTTTTATGTTAAAATGTATTGAAATTAGAGGTGTTACTCACTCTGCCCAATCTTGTCGACGTTGACCTCGCCGGCCGGGAATCCACCGGGCGGTGGCTGCGCATTAATGATACCGAGGAGAAGGAGAAGGATCGAACATACCCGCAACATTCTCCTAAAAAAAATGCGATAAAATTAAAACCAGTCACGACAAAAAGATCAAAACGACATGGGAATGAAGATGATAAGCTGAAAAAAACCCATGAAAATATGAGCGTGCTTATGCGAAAAAATTGGATTCGGCGGTCAAAAAATTGTAGGCACACTTGAAAATCACGGAAAGACTCACTTTAAAGGGCCTATAAATGCCCGAATCGACAATGACGGCCGACTGGGTCTCGGCAACTACGTTATAGACCAAATTACGCAGGATATTTGCTACAAAATCACGGTCAAGCTCGACCCCGGAGTGAAAGTGCCATTTAGTGCGTCAAGTAGCTGTCGACACCCAGCGCTTAAAGGGGTCGAATCTCGCGATTCCTGGTCACTTTAAGGGAAGGTGGTTGAAGGTGGCTCAAGGTGCCCCTATGAGTTTGTATGACTATGGTTTTTTGTAGACTTTGCCGCGCCCGCAACACGCTACACGCCTCTTGACCGCCGTGAAGAAGCTGGAATGGCTTCCGCAATGGTTTTCGAAATATTGGAGAAAATCCATAAGAATCCATAGCCAACGATTTCCAGAATCCTGGCTTACCCGTCGCTTTAACAAAAAAAACCGTAAAAATTAGCGGTTCTGCCAAAGGGCGGCTCAGAAAAAGACGAGCTTCTGCTGGGCGGGTAATCTAGGGAGGTGGAAGGGAAGTGTGACATTGGCAGATCGAGTGAGTGTCTCTGTCTGTCTGTCTGTGTGTGTGTCCATGGCTGTGTCTTCTCCTCCTTCCACTCGCCCATCAGCACACCCCCGAAACGTGTTTCCGCCCACCCAAAAACGAGGGAGAAGCCGTTGGGGGGGTTTATGAAGAAGTTGTTTTCCGCTTTTTGGATGGCTGTTAGATTTTATTGGAGGTTCAGGCAGTAAATGCAGATTTAAAGGGGACTGGCAAGGTGTATCCATGGATTTTTCAGGAACCCGCAACATGCAAAGCGTCTTTCCGTTGCGTAATGGATTCAATAGCTGATTTGCCTATCAAAATCTCTCTCTGTCTTTCTTTCTCTCCCTCACGCTCTCTCTCTCCTCTCTCTCTCTCTCTCTCTCGCACCTCTAGCTATCCATCTATCTCTCTCGCGCTCTCTCTCTCTCCCCCTCTAGCACTCTCGCTCACCCTCTCTCTCGCGCGCTCTCTCTCCCTCTCTTTCTCTCTCTCTCTCTCTCTCTCTCTCTCTCTCTCTATCGCCCTCCCTCTACTTCTCCCATTTGCCCTGCCATACCCGCGTCTCGTTACGCCCGAGGCGAAAGTGCATATCAGACGCTGAATAGGGGAATGAGCCGTGAGATAATGTCTTAGAGAGACAGCGAAAAGGAGATAGAGAGAGCGAGAGAATGTGACAGTCAATAAAGCGAAAGTGCCATCTTCATCTGAGCAAGAAATCCCTCCCCCTCGTGCCATCATCTAGCACACATCCTCTTTCACTTTTTCAAGGGGATTTTCGGGGGAAAACAGACAGTTCAAGCGCAGATTGGGAGATCAAGCCTGAAGAGGGACGATAAGGGGCTTTTAGATGGCGTAAAGACGGAAAAAATCAACTTCTATGGACAGTACCAGAAATTTTCGAAGAAAAAGGCAGTCTGGCAAAGAGACTTTAGGAAATGGTCGCCGGCTAGCTTGCAGAGATTCTTCAGGAAAACCGCTGTGAGAATGAGAGACTAGCAAAGATGCTTTGGGAAAGAGTGAAAACGGTAGGACAGGAGGTTAGGTCAGGGAGAGCTAGCAGAGAGCGTTAGAAAAGCGTCGTAGGCTGGCTAGCAATGGTCATTTGGCAAAACGACGGGAGAGGCCCACCTAGCAGAAATTCTTTGTGGAAAAACAGACAACTAAGCTGAGTACATTTCAGAAACAGTGATAGGACGCTAGCAGAGATTTTTCAGGAAAATGGCAAATGTAATGTAGGGCCGGCGGAGATCATTTAAGAATCACCAGATTTGAACCGGGAACCTGAAGCTCAAAGAACCGCCATCAAGTTTGAACCGGAAATCAGCTATTTGACAATTTTCCAGGCACGATTAAGCCCAGACACCGGCTCGTAAAATTAAGGCAAGGCTGGCAGAACAGCCATGTTCTGCAGCCGTAAAATTCGTCCGAAATGGAGGGACGGAGGGAAAGCAGAACTAGGCTTCAGGAAGGAGCCGGAAATCTTGATCAATGAGTCATTTGGAAGGGGGTGTTTAGCGCGGTTTTTTGTATAAATTGTCTTTTCGTATATGGTGTTTCGGCCGCGCTAATTAGAGAAATAAAAATTAAATTAATAAATTGAATTCTGTAAAATTAATGTAGATGCCGTAATTTTGAGCAACCGCCACAGCCGATACGGCTTCTCCTTTATAAAGTGGTGACGTGCAAGGTTAAACGGTTCTGAAGGTCTTATGAAGCGCGAATGAGTCATCATCACCATCAGGGTCGAAAAGCCAAGCGAATCGTAGTTTGGAATGTCAATGGCAAAAGCGACAGAATGCCCCAGGCAAAAATCTCAAGGCCACACTCCTCACTTCTGAGTCAACAGTATTGAGCATCACCTCAAAAATGCCCTGGGGCTACGACGTACACCTCGCAACACGGAAAATACATGGGGGAACCAGAACGGAAGCCGACAATGGCCGGTGGATAGCCATGGGCAGTATAATCCTTGTATGGGGTGGCATAGTGTATAGAGGAGTATAGCGTAGTAAAAAGAGGGAAAGAGGGAGGGGATACGGGTATTCTATGGACCGAAGAGGCGGAGAGAGAGATAGGGAGAGAGAGAGAGAGAGAGAGAGAGGGAGAAGGTATGGTAGTCAGTAGTGACTCTATAAGTCACACTCTCACTAAACGACACTCCCAGCCCGACAAAAGATCTCTGCTAGTTTCCCCTTTACTACTCATCCCGTATCGTGCCTCATCTAACATCCGGAACCGCCCGTAGTCGGGAAAGCCGGCGTAGTCACTCTGGCAAAGATCATTTATATAACGAAGGAAAATCTGGAACGACGCGACAAAGGAATGAATAATGCGGGCTAGCAGAAATCATTTGATCAATCGATCTTTACTTTTCTCTCTGGCAAACCAGCTAGAGCCCTTCTTAGGCCGCAACAGCTAGCAGAGGCGCTTTGGGAAGCCAATAAAATGCAACGTTGGCGTAATCTAGCACAGATCCTTTAGGAAACAATAGAAGGTCGAGTAGGCTAGCAGAGATTATTTCGGAACAGTAAAAATTTTTGCATTTGGCAAGCCGGCAAAGATGCTTTCTGAAGCAGTCTAAAGGTCAGGGCGGGCTAGTTGAAAACATCTAGGAGATGCCAGCGTATTTTTTACGTGTTGGTAAGCTAAAGGACGGTCTATATGACAATATTGAAGCGCACGAAGCAAGCTAGCTGAGATTCTTTGGGAAAGCGAGAAAATAGCATTTTCAGACAAGCCAGCAGAGATTGTTTAGGAAAGCGTTTAAAGCCAGGGCAAGCTAGCAGCGACCACTGAAGAAATCAATGAACTGTAATGTCGGGGCAATCTAGCAGAGACTATTGAGGAAAGTTCTGAAAGGCAGCAGAGACAATTTGGGAAGTAAATTCCCATTTTTACATTCAGGCAATCTAACAATGATTACCTCGGAACGCGTTGAAAACTGGGGGAAGGTTAGCAGAGATTCTTTAGGAAACTTGAATGCTTTGGGCAAACTAGCCATGATCTTTTAGAAAGCGGGCAGGTTAGCAAAGAACATTGAGGATCAGGCGTGCTAGCAGTGATTTTTGGGAATTATTTTTTTTATGTAACCTGTATTACCATGAAACTAGATATATTTATTTCAACTCTCCAGAAGCAATAAAAATAGAATACATTATATAAATATATCGACGAGGGTACTTTCGGGTGAGCATTTTTATCATAAAAAATGGGCTATTATTTTGACACAATTTTTGAGCCTTAAAAAATCAAATAACTCGAGGCTTTTAAAGGGGCAGGCAACCGGTGGAGACACAAAATCTGGGAAAATTGAAATAAATCAAATAAACATTATTTTGATTGCTTAAAATTCAGACTAGCTAGAAAAATGCATCTGTTTAGATTCTGAGGAATGCAAAAATGATGGATTTCGATGGAGGGAAATGCCAAAAGTAAAAAATAAGGCAAATAAAAATTAAACTAAATAATTAACAAAATTTCGATCAAATTTAGAATTTTAGCTACAGTAGAACTAGTCAAATGGGAGGAAAGAAACCAATAAAAATGTAATATTTCCAGTTTCAAAAATTATTTTTATACTTTTCCAATTTTTTCAGAATACATTACGCTAAATCAGCTTTTTTGCACAATTTTTCTAACCGGAAGTTAGCTTTTTAAAGGACCACAGAATTCAAACGCCTCAAATTTCAGGTATTAAAGGATCTCAATATCTAAAACTTATATGACTTATATCTAAAAATCTCAAAATTGAGGCTTACGGTAGTAAAAAGCTTCTTTAAAGGACCGTTGAAGCCAAAAATCCACAGTCTAAAATGAATACTCCGCCCCAAAATATCGAATTTCAGGCTTCGGTTGAAAAAGGCGCTTTTAAAGAATCACAGAAGCCAAAATTCGAGCTAAAAACGCGACTCTGTCAATCCTAAAGGGCAACCCCACCCTCCCAGAAGAGGAAAAGTGGCCAAAACGAGACCGGCCGGCCGCACGGGCGATTTTCACGGTTGGAAGCCACCGTTCACCAGAGGGGAAATTGGAGCCGTTTTTCTCGCCGCCAGAAAAGGATCGAGTCGAGACACACAGCTGGGGGTGGCTCATGCTCACACTCTTGGCTATGGCTCTTGCTCAAAAGCTTCGAAAAGGGTAGGCTCGATCTGGATCCCTCCTTTTCGCCTTTTTCGAGGCTTTGGGGGAGTCTTTGGCGTCTCTCTCCCTCTCTCTCTCTCTCCCTCTCTCTCTCTCTCTCGCCTCCAAAATACACCGGTTTTCCAGAATCGTGCCGAGATATTGAGAGCGCGGGCGCGCTGCCATTGACACCGACAGGGCGCCAAAATTTGGCAGAAAAAAGCGGGGGGACGGGAATTGGGATTTGAAATTTGGCTTCTAAGGCCCTTTAAAAAATTCTTTTTAAATTTTTACCACGGACCCCTGTGGAAATCTGGCTTCACTAGTCCTTTAAAACGTAAATAATTGAGCTTAACTTAATTTAATTTATGCATAATATTACAAACATTAAAATTTTCTAAATTTGATTACTTCTACGGCCCTTTAAATGTTAAAAAATAGCATAAAAATAATTTCTGAAAACTTAAACAATTTGGGTTTTTTGGACATTTTAGAAACTGTTTTCTAGGTTTTTAACGCTGCAATCTCTCCCGTTCGACTAATCTGCATATGGCAACAGAATCACACACCCACACAACTAGGCTAAACCAGGATATTCGGGAGGGAACGACGGGCAATGGTGTATTTTATGCATCGGACAGCCCGGATTCCTCGGAGAACAGCGACCCATCGCGAGGGGACAAGAAATCACAGCGAGGGAGGAGCTCCGTCTAAAATTCTCTTAAAATCATGTTTAAAATCTACAGTTCACTCAAATGTTAATTTTTAATCTTTAGTGAATCTTTACAAACATTTAAAAGCACCGAAAAATGCGAAAATGTAATAAAAGTAATTTCATTCGTTTCTAAATTTAAATTTAAATTTTCCAAGCTTAGTTCTTTTTAAATTATCGATTTTCCTGTCGCTGCCAAAAATTTCTAAAATTCTGGATTCGGATTTTCTATGATTCTCGAAAATCTTCTTAGAAAGGATTTATCGAAAAGATCGAATTTCGCCTCATTTTTGGCATTTCCTTAGTATCCGATCTTCAATCTTTGACCCCTAATTTCCGTTCCACTCCTTTGTACGCCAAACAATGGATTAGCGTACAAAGGAGTGGACCATAGCGCCCGGCTCCTTATTACGGTCCGTTATCCGGCAAGTGTCACCGTACCTTTAGCCAGTTTCTCCCCCCTCTCTCTCTCTCTCTCTCTCTCGCTCTCTCTCTCTCGCTCTCTTTCTCTATCGATCTCTCTCTGTCTCTCTCGATCGATCTCTCTCTCTGTCTCTCTCTCTCTCTCACTCTCTCTCTCAATCTCTCTCTCTCTCCCTCTCTTTGTCCCTCTCTCACCTGTTCACTTTCACTAGAAGATCGTATCTTGCCTCCTCCATTCCTCTTCACTCGTTCCACCGGATCCAGCTGAAACACAACGTCATAAATTCGTAACGAGTAATATGAAAATATTATTACTATGGGAAGCAGCGCAAAGACTACCAATTGTTAAATTTCACGGTTTTCAGCTCGAAAGATTCTATAAAAAGCCACTCATAAATAGCTACAGTAATACGGGAAGCATCGCACGACAAATATGGGGCACGCCAGCAAATTTGGGCTCTATTAAAATCTTATACTAATGCTTTAAGCTACCAACCGGCTAATTCCTAGCTATATAAAACTTAATAGAGCTATACTCAAACTTGCAGGCCTCAAAAAACTGAATTTTCCCTTTGAATTTCTAGTTTTCGATCTGTTCAAACTCTCTAATAATTCCGATTGTTTAAAAATCTAATAGAATTTTTTGTGAATTTACAAAATTGTAAAAATTAAAAATTCATTTTAGCTTTTCTTAGTTAAATAAAAACATTGTTAAAATAAAGAATAGCGCCGGTTCATTTGGTTTTTGAGAGACCGGCCGGTGCTACAAAATGATACAGTAACCATCCAATCCGGGGACACTAACTTACGCCCTGTCTCCAGATTAGACATAGGTGCCTCGACGAAACTTCAGGCGCTGCACCAACTCAAAAATGGTCGCTACTCATTTTTAGCAGATTTTTGTGGGCACAATAATGCGGACAAAGCCGAAAATCAACCCAAAAATAGAATTTTTAATTCTGAAAAAATTTCAGCAATTTCTTGGGATCTGAAGAGTCGGAAATGCCGAAAGATCGCATTTTTAAATTTTTCTGGCAAAGAAACACTAAAAAGCCGAATTTTCAATTTGAGAGCGTATTTTATACAAAAGCGACAGAAGCTTGAGCTCATAAATTACTTCGACTTGGCCCGTCTGGCTCGCCGGATCCTCGGCCGTTGAGAATCGAGGGAAAAGCTTGAATGGTATGGAGATTTTTGGCAATTTAGAAGGCCCAAAATTCCATTAATTCTTTACCAAATATGATGCCATAAAAAAAATGGTGACGAACTCACATCTCTAGCGCTGCACCCCTTGCTGACGCTGCTCTGGCTGCCCGTCCTATCCGTCATCAGCGGCCCGCGGATGATGTTCGAGGTCGGGCCCTCGCCCACAGAGATTCTGGAGATTACCATGTTCCAGAGGATATGCGTTTCAAAGGCTATTTTCTCAATTTTCCGGTCCACTAACGATTTTCAAATCTCTAAATTGGCAAGAATCAGCAAAAACACGCTTCAAATTGGCAGACCTTTCAAATGCTTGAAAACATCACTATTTGTGATATATAACGCTCAGAGAAAAACTAGGTTTGGCATTCAATTACGCTATGAAATTCCTCTTTTCAGCTGGTGGCTACGTCTTAAAAACAAAATATTACTATTAGTTGGTTTTTCACTTCGATGAGCACTAGGTTTTCAAAAACGACGCAAAATTCCATGTACACCAAATCACCACGTCTCATTGCCAACCGATTACGTCATGTAATTCCAAATTTCGGATCCCTCCAAAGCCCAAAAAATGGATATTTTCCAGAATTTCTCCTTTCAACTTCCGTCACTTTCCAGAACCACAAAATCATAACCTTTATTTCCGGGGCGTGGGCTCATAAATATATTGTGGGGAAAATGAGAATTGCGCATTTGTGTGGGGGTGTGTAAATTCGTGTATACCGTAGTAGTCGGGTGAAAAATGAAACCGAAGGGAGTTAGAAACGCACTGCAACTACCGTAACCCACATACACTGCAAACACACCAGGGGGCAAACAGAGGGAGGAAATTGGGGAAATTTGAGGGCGGGAGGGACCACCGCGAGAGACAACGAACGGCTACTATGTACACATTCGGAGCTTGGAAATTTTTGTGTAGTTTGTGGTGTAACGGAAATTAGGAGTAAGGTAGAACAGAGGAATGTGGTGAGGTTAGGGGGAAAAGCACACGGTATATTTGGCAGAGTTTCGAAAATTAGCATAATAAGGCAACTGAAAAACCCGGGGCGGCCAGCAGTGTGGCGACAATCAAATTTGGACAATTTTTAGGAGGGGATAGGGGGATTTTAAATTTGGAACTTATACAGTAAATACATAGAAAATGGCGGCGTTATTTTAAGGGCATTTTGCTCGGCTACCGACTACAAAAATGGAAAATTACCTGAAAAAAATCGAGGATTTCGAATTTTAAATTCAAAAAATGAAACTAGTCAAAAATTTTGTAATCGAATAAATTTCAAAACTGGTACAAAAATCATAAATTTAGTCAAGGAAGTGTAGTCTGTACTTTAGGCCTCATTTTGTAGGCTGTATTCCATACCATCCATCCAATTCCATAATTTATAAGTTCAAAAACAGTAGAAAAATAGAACTTAGGCCAAAATGGTAGTTTGGACTATAGGCCAGATTTTCTCTAAAAAAACTCTAAAAACACGAATTTAGCCCAGAAATTTTAATTTTTGTAGCCTGTAGCCGATCAACGAGCCCAAGGAGTTCAGGGGGACAGTAGACCACACAACCCGATCAATCGCGACGCATTAATAGAGGGGAGGCAGGCGTTGAGGTGTCAGAAGGTGATGATGTCGAAGACGATGAGCACGGGCTGCCCGCCTCGGCAATGTCGAGCATCATCATCGTGGCCAGGGGCAGTAGTGGGGTATCCGGGCATGTAGATGTTCTTCGCAACTTGATTCCTCTTGTGGGTTGACGGGCTCCCATCTGGTGGGTGTGGCATCTACAATGGCACAACGCACGATTATAGGGGATGCCAGGAAAGGAGGGACACGGAATTTGGATTCTAACGGATTTTTCAGCTCGAAATATCGATTGGAAAACTTTTTGAAATTCAATTATTAAGCTGCAAAAAAATCCAAAAAATTGAAAGATCGCTTGGACATAAAGAATTGCAAAATCAGATTTGCAATTTCCAATTCAAAAATACCCAAAAATTTTGAATCCAACGGTTTTTTAACTGAAAATGCCGTTAGGAAAATTCTACAATTATATTGTATTCATTTAAAAATATATTTTTTCAAGCTCTATTTTCTCCTTTCAGCTGTAAATTGAAGTTCTATATAAAAACGCTAGAATTGACACATTTTGATAAGCAGAAATCAAAAATTCTGAAAAAATCTAATTTACCGCGAAAAATCGTTTAGCCAGATTTTTATTTTTTGTGTGCGCAAAATGAAAAAATTGGCTAAAAATGAATTTGATTCTCGAAACTTCCATCATCAAATTTTCCAAGCGATAACCCGAGTCCAAAAATCCCACAAATATACGTTTTAAAGGAGCAGAGAAGCCATGACACGAAACAGGAACGGGGCACTGAGAGAGACATTCACGCTACGTTTTTCGATCCAAAAACGGCTAGGCTGTCTGAAAGGGAGCCTGACAGCAAGAATTTAATTTAAAACTCTATCAGCGAAAACCCTTAAAATTAAATTTCCACAAATTTTAACCAAAAATTCTATTTTTTTTTTAATCGATGATGAAAATAAATAAAAAATTCAATGCAAATCGAAATTAAAAAAATTTAATTTTTCAGCAAATTTCAAACTCATGATTTTCCAATTAAAAATCACTTTGAAAATTACATAATTCTGCTGTCACGCTCCCTTTAAAATCCGCCAGCCGAAAAACGCGGGCACAAACGAGGGCAGCCAAAAACGGACAAAAATTACGGACACGATTAGTGGTGGGTGGGTGCAGATGCGGATGCTGGGTGCAATTTTTGTTAATTAAATCAAAAAAATATAGAAATTATAAATTTCGGCCAATATCACCAAAAACACGAGTGCATCCACCCAATTGAAAAATCAAAAAATTCAAAATTTTCTCGGAATTTCCTGGTGCCCTTCACTTTCAGAAGCTGAACATCTCGGCCCGGCCAAAATTTTGGCAAATTTAAGCAAAAAAATAATTTCGAAAACGGCCATAAGAGTCGGAAAATTACCTGGCGGTGGTCTTGGAGATCTGTGACGTCTTGTAGGCGAGCTCGTAGTGGTTGGCAGAGATCTCGAGGAATGTGCAATCGTCGCGGACGACCACCTGAAAATGAGGAAATTACACAAGAAAAATCCAGAAGCTCTCCAACTTGTAAAAGCTAATTTTTTAAACTCGTCTCTTTTTCCTAAATTATAAAAGCTTGATAATTAATAAAAAAGCTACTTAAAGGGATAGGGGCGGCATAAGTCAATCGATTACGCGCGGGAAAGAAAATGTCTCTGCGCCTCTCCCCCGGGCGCGCTCTCTGCCCTGTTGGCTACTTGCCAATTTGTTGATGGGGGGGGATCGACACATGCCGTCGGCAGCCCTTTAAAGCGAATTACTTTAAAAAATCCCTTGACCAGAATGCCCATAATTCACCTGCCAAACGAAAATTTTGCTAAAGCGCATTTTGATTTCAATTTTTGATTCTAATTCTTATTTTTCTAAATATTATTAAACCTTTATCATACTTTTATTACTCTGCTAGAATTCCGAGAATCTTATCACAACAGAAAATTAAAATCGGGCGATTCTGGATCGGTTACGACATGAAATTCCACGCCGCCGCGTCAATATCATTATTTTGCGCTCGTTTTATCAGGTTGGAAAGAAAGTAATGGCACAAAATCTTTGAACCGCTACTAAAACCCGCAGGAACGTCCGATTTCAAAGTTTGATATATGGTTTGGTAGATCTTCAGACGCTCTATCACGAGACTAACCTGAAAGCACCCAAAAACTGATGTACGCGAAATTACGGGCCTCAGAGAAGTTTCACAGAAAATTAGGTGCGAGCTTCCAAGCAAGATATCTTTGCATACCGGCATTTGCATACGATACTTTTAACACCAATCGATAGCCCTCGAGGAGTAGATATTGATAAATCTTGAGATCAGCAAAATCGGACACTGGATGGCCGAGATACGGGCCTTCCAAGATCAATGCATTTTGTGGATTTTGGTTCGGGAGCCGAAGCAAACGCTACAGTTTTTGGCTCGCGCAGGCAAAATGTATGGGATTTCAAGAAACGTTCTAAGAAGTGGACCAAATTTCAAGGCCCATATCTCGGCCATCCAGTGTTCGATTTTGATGATCTCAAGATTTATCGATATCTATTCCTCGAGGGCTATCGATTGGTGTTAAAAGTATCGTATGCAAATGCCGGTATGCAAAGATATCTTGCTTGGAAGCTTGCACCTAATTTTCTGTGAAACTTCTGAGGCCCGTAATTTCGCGTACATCAGTTTTTGGGTGCTTTCAGGTTAGTCTCGTGATAGAGCGTCTGAAGATCTACCAAACCATATATCAAACTTTGAAATCGGATGTTCCTGCGGGTTTTAGTAGCGGTTCAAAGATTTTGTGCCATTACTTTCTTTCCAACCTGATAAAATGCGATTTATAAGGTTTTTAATTTTTATTAAAATTCTTTGTAAAGCATCAAAGGCCATCGCCTGCAAAAACTCATTTTCCAGCCAGGAAATCATTATTTTTTGGATTATAGTTTCCCACCTAGGTCACGACCCTCCAGATTATACTTTTTAGATTAAAAGCGTGACAGGTGGCGGTAGAATAAAATTCTTGTTCTGCAAAATCCCCGAAGTACACGCGGCTTATAGGCGTACACCGTATACCTTAAAAACCTGGGGAAATCCGCGAGATTAGATTACAATTAGTCACCCGGTTTTGCGGGGCACTTTATCATGCAGCTTCCACGGATTTTCGAAATGTTCAAGTCATCAGATTTCGGGTATAAGACCAGGAAATTAAATTCTAAGCTACCGTATCCAATGGAAAATGAAATACTTTTTTAAAAACTAAAAATCTATTTAAAAAGCAAGTTAAACCCTGGAAATTAAACTAGAACCACCGTAGCCCCAAAATTTTAACATTTCTCTCGCCAAAATTGTCAAAATGAACTTCAAACGAATTAGACTAAAACCCATGGAAAATTACAGCATCACTATTATTGTAGCTACCGTAATCTGGCCCCGAAAAACGCACCGAATAATCCGGGGTGAAGCCGATCTTGCGGTCCTTCTGCTCGGGACGATCGGTCAGGGAGCAACGGCTGCCGCTGGAAACGATTACCGGATAAAAATATATAGAAAATTCGTACTTCAACGGACGTTTGCTCTCCGCCACGACATGATCGCAGAGCCGTTCGAGCAGTTCGGTGCCGAACGCGTGCCATGGCCCGGCTTCGAACGTCATTTGGTCCTGCAATGGAAAAATTAGTCAAATAATAATTTCTGTCACATTTCTAAAAGATCTCTGCTAGTTATTGAGTTCCAAAAATCGCCAAAAATCACTGCTGGCCTGCCCTAAGAATTCCTAAAGATATTCCGCTAGCTGGCCCTTCAAATCCACAATTCCCTAAGGGTTCTGTTAATTTGTCGCGAGCAATTTTCCCCAGAAATGCATGCAAGATTTTTAACATTCCCAAAGATCCCTGTTAGTTTGCCCGCACTTTCCTAACCCCCAAATTCTGCTTTGGTACTACTATACTCTTCATTTTTGCCCAATTTTTCGTGGGGATTAGCGTGCAAAAAGATAAGCCACGGTGGCCAGACCGTTCGCCCTTCCCCGCTTGGATCACGTTTTCCATTCCGGATCCGCTAGGCCCGGGCGGATTATCCTATTATTTTGGCCGACGACGCAATGAAAAAGGTTAGAGAGTGAAGAGAGAGAGAGAGAGAGAGAGAGAGAGAGCGAGAGAGAGACTGCTGACTCGCCGCCAGACCAAAACAGGGGTTTCCCAGATCAGGCCGGGCAGCACATCAAAAAGACAGCCGATAGACAGGGTATGAAATATCCGAAAAGAAAGACCACTATAATTTGTCCCCTGCGACTTTTAAAGGTCAGAAAAAGTCAGATTTTTGCAAAAATATCACATTTTCGAGATCTAGAAAATTGATTACGCGATGAAATCCCGCTGACATCCTCATTTTCAAAATAGCCAGAATTCAGCCAGGACAAGTTTTGCGCAAATTTTCTGTAAAAAATAATTTACCTGGCCAATGGTAACTAGCGCGCGTCCCTCGAGAATCAGCACGAAACGGTCGCTGAACTCGCCCTTGGTGAAGATCTTGGCGGTGCGCGGGATGACGGCCTTCGGGTCGTACATGTCGGGAAGGTGCGATAGTTCCACCTGAAGAACAGAATGAATATCCACCTTCCCATTGTTTATTTTTTGAGTAGGTAAAAAACTGCTAAATCCCCGGGCCAAATTGTTCCCAAATTTCTGCAATTTTCTACCGTAGATTTCCCAAATTCCCGGGTCCTCCAGGCCCAAAAAACCTACCAGAAACCCGTGATAAATTCCCGCATCATGGGCCATGGCTCAGGTATTCTTGGGCCCCCATCCACCCTACCGCCCCGTCAAAAACACTTCCTGGACCGTGGGCACCAGAGAAATTATAGAATTCCCAGGTGGACGCTCTCTGCTCCCTTCCCTCCCTCATTCATTAACATGGTCGAGATCAGAAACGGCTTCTACATTTGCTAGTGTTAAAATTGAGTCGTGTCATGTTGGCAATTGCCTCTAATTTTACCATTGAGATGAAAATTTGTTCCACTAAGAAGTATTTGAGATTAAAAAAATTAAATTAAACTAGGTAAATCCACTCGAAAATTATTTGATGTGAGAAAAATTAAATGAAATAGCCAAAGCCCTGATCTAAATACTAGTCTATAACGTGTTCTCTGGCTAGTACATTCTTCCGAATGAGAGAGGATTTAAAGTCCAAAAAGCGTAATCCCGGATGTTTTTGCCTTTTTTGTGAGCCGAGGAGAACAAAATTCAACCTGGCCCTGATCCTAGAAATCCCCTCGGGAAATTACTTCCTAATTCGTGGCGCGAATTTGAACGAAAACCAGCAGAAACCATGAAAATATTCCATCTTAAAGGGACTCTGAAGCGCGAGGATTGACCTCTGCAACTGACTAGGTCTCGACAACTACGATACACGCCAATTGTCAGCTACGATATGTGCTCCCACCGTAGTTGTCGAGACCTAGCCCAGCCCAGGGGTCTATTCTCACTTTCCAGCCCCTTTTAAAAACGCACCCGTCGAACTTGTTGGCGGATGAGCTTCTCCAGCACCGGCGAGGCTATCACCTCCGACGAGAAGGCGAGCGCGTGGTTCGTTGTCAGCCACTAAAAACAGGGAATTAATATCTTCCCAAAAACGCTATTAAAAATCAAAATCTTTATAATTTCAAATATTTATGAAGCGAATAAAAAATTAAACGAAAAATTAAAAATGTAACAATATTATAATTTTTGTAAAAATTGCTGCACACCTGCATGGTGACGAGCTGCATCTGGACGGACAGCTTCGACGGCTCCTCATTCGAGCACAGGTAGCTCAAGTCGGTCGCCTGAAAAAAAGAACATTAATTTTTCTCGTTACTTAATTAACAATTTGCTAACTATAATTTTTTAATTTAAATTTTCAGGAAATTCGCAGGTCCACCCGGTCGCATTCCCCCTAGATTCTGGGCCCTCTAGAATTAAGGTGCCGTTGTTTTGCCGCGTGTTCCCCTCTCCCTACGAGAACGTGGTGACCACCACCACCACCGGGATAATTCGTCCAATTTGCACGCACGCACACAGCTGGGAAGAAGCCCCACCCATCACATTTCAAGGTCCAATTTTTGCGTGTGTGTTTGAAAGGGTTGGTGACAGTGAAATCTACTCACACAAAGGCAACAAACCGATAAAATTCTATTTGCCATTTAAAATTCAACAATAATAAATCTACAGCTTCAGATTATTTTGCAAAAATTACCAACCCGAATTTTCAGGGTATCAACGTAGTACAAAATTGAATAGCCAGTAATTTAGGGACTATAGGAACCGCAGCTTCCTCGCAAAAAAAGCAAAATGGTCGATTTGAATGAGAAATAGCGAAATTTGGCCCAAACTACAAAAACTGCAACTTTTAGCGCACTCAGTAAAAAACTACAAATTCTAAAAATAAACGCGGTCATTTTCAAGCTACAAACTCCACAGAACGGCGGAAAACTTTGGAAATATTCGTCCAACCAACTTCGCGATTTTCTCAAAGCTCTACAACTTTAAAAACAGCTAGAGCTATTTTTCTGGACTTAAAACACAATCCAAAAACCTATTAAAAATTCAAAAAACACTTCGGCAGCCCAAATTCGGTATATTTTTAAAGTACCCCACCAATTTTAATAAAGCACTTCATCAATTTACATACACCAAAAAACTTCTTAAACGCTTTTTCTAGGCCAGAAAACTCGAAAAAGTCCAGCTCAGCGAGCCAAACTCCATCGGAAGTTTCTCTCTCCACTCACGCGTCACTGATACAATTGATGCGGTTGGAGGGTCCAATCGTGGATCGTCTTGTTCGTCTTCCACACTATCAGAAATGCCACCACCGTCGAGGTGACGACAATCAACACGAAAAGAGAGCAGAAATACCGGAAATAGCTCGACTCCAGCGTTCTCGACCCGTGCGAATTAATGATAGAAGTTGTAGCCTGGGAATACGCGGAACCAGCTGAGGCTTGAAAAGACAGCCTCATCCGCTGGCCGGGAGATTTTGGGGAGAATCTGGGGGACAGGGGGACGTCCAACGTGCTCAAGGAGGACGAGGGACGATTGGAGACGGGGAGAAGTAGTGAACATCTTGAAGACGTCGGCTTGGAATTGGTGGAGAGCTGGCTGTTGAACATTCGACGCTGGTATCGCCGATCGGCCAGGGGGACCGGGGACCATTGCCTAGAATTGTGGGGTGCTTTTAAAGGGCCGTTGAAGGCTGCTGAACTCCTTGGAGTTGTGGCTTGAGAGCAAAATTCGTTTTTTTCGCGGTTTAAAGGGACCTGGAAGTCATTTTAGCGATTAAATTTTCTCTAAGAAGAACCTTGAAGTTGTGGTTTGAGCCAAAAATCGCAAAATCGAGCAGTTTTCGTGGTTTCAAGGAACCTAGACACACCGAACCTCTTGAATTTGAGCATAAATTCAGGCTAAATTTAAATTTCCGCTTCCGGTTTAATTCCGGAGTACCTACGCGGAAAACCCGGATTTTGGCAGACTAGGATCAGATTACAGAACAGATCGTTTTACAAGGCGCGCGGCACCCAATTAATAAAAGACCAAAAAACGCTGGCAAAAATAGGCGAAAATTGTCTAAAAACCGCTTTTAAAGGGGCGGGCAAGGCAAGCCTCCGCGCTCAAAAAGCCACATACAAACCAAATCCATAGCAAAAAAATACATAATCATGCCTTTCACGTCCCTTTAAAGAGGCGGGTATAAAAACGGGATTTTTTTTGTCAATGTTAAGCGTTTTGAGCGTTTTTGATTTTTCCAATAAAAACCTCAAGTTACGAACTACAGATCCTTGCCTTCCAGGTCCCTTTAAAACCCCAAAAAAAACTAGGGTTTTTTTAAATAACGCCGTAGATTAATGCGCGCACCTATAGATCTTCTGCCTCGTCTCGCGGCAAGAATTCTCGGGCAGCGAACTTGTCGACAACCGTGGGCCCACCGGTTGGCTCTCCTGCGAGGGTGTGGGAGAAGATGGGTGCAGCAGGACAATGGCCGACATGTGGGTCCTCGGGTCTTCCACCGGGGAGTGCGGCTCGGTGGCCAGGTTTGAGCAAGTGAGGTGGCGCATATCTGGCCCTCCTCCTCCTCTTGGCACTCCGCCAAATCGGTTTAGCCCTGTTTTAGAAGAGAAAATCTGGAGCTCCTCTTCAGAATCGGCCTCAGAATTCTGGCCCAGAATCTCGTAGCGTAGCCGATCAAGGGGGTCTAATAGAATTTTCGGACGGGCATCTCGTTGAGGGTGAGTTGGGGCTCGTTTTCGAGAGGGGCAGATCGGTGTAGGGGGCGGGGCCAGCTCTTGCTCTTGGGGCGGGCCAGATGCCCGAAACAAGGCCCTTTCTGCCCGGATCTCTTGTTCTTTCTCCCCTTTCGCCTTTTTGGGATGGAGTTTAGAATTCCGCTGAATGATGATGACGATGGGATGATGATGGCCGGATGCCCCCGGAAATGAGCCGCTCCAATTGCGGCAAAGAACAAAAGTGGAAAAATGCAAAACATGGAGCAAGAAAACGTCAAAAAAAACTTTAGATTGGTGGGGCAAGCTAGCAGAGATTCTTGGAACAACTTCCGATACGCGAACCGCTAGAGGGCAAACTAGTAGAAACCCTTGGCGTATTTTCGTGGGGAAGCTAGCAGAGATTCTCAAAAAATTTCTAAAAAAGACGAGATGGATAAAGGGCGAACGAGCAGAGATTATTGGCCTATAAAACTACTGATAAATAGCTGGGCAAGCCAGCAGAGATTATTGCGGATTTTTACAAAAAACCAGCAAAATCACCCCAATTAAGCTTATATGGGCCAAGTCTTGACACAGTTTAAAATTCTACATAAAAATACGGAAAAAGATGTGGTGGCAAGCTAGCAGACATTAATAGGGATTCTCGAGAAAACCAGACAATTTTCAAGTAAAATATCTCGCAAATTTGAAACGTCCTACTGTAGCGGCAATTAGCAAAAAGCTTAAACGCCAAATGCTAAAAAATGTACTCAATTGTCCGCTGGAATACAAAATTACGCACTCGACAAAATTCGCTAATTGGCAAAAAGCACCTTTTGGAAAAATTACAATCTAGCTGTTAGCAAGTCCATTTCAAGAGGCAATTTCCTAGATTACTTCAATTAAACAGATTGCTAAATTTTGCAATCCGAGCTCGAAAAGTTCAATTTCGCAAGAAACTTATTTTCCGGCTATTTGCACCTCTGGTTCAAAATTCCCAGCCAAGGGCTCAATTTTCCAGATTTATTCTGCGCCCTAAAAACTACCCGCACGCTTCGCACGGATTACTGTAAAATATCTAAAATCATCCAATTTTCATTTTCACACGCTAATAAGCGAAAAACTGCCTATTTCACCAATGAAATCTCACCCAAATTTAAGCCTCAAAAACACTCAAGGTTCTTACTTCAGCGTGGAATCTTTTTTGGGAACCGGCGTCGTCGGATTCTCTCAAAAATAAAAAAAATACATAAAAATTGTCATTTTACCAGTCAATTTCCCCGCAAAATTCACACAGAAATTCTCGCAAAATCCCTACCCGCAAAAAAGCTCGCAAAAATCAGGAGTTTAACGTAGTCGACTTGTTACAAATAAAAATATGTAAAAATATTTTACTAGTATTTCCGATATCCCGTGGAATTTTTGAGGGGCTACGGTAATCTGTTTCCCAAAAATAACTAATCAGCGAAAAAATTGTCTTTTCTGGTAATGCAAAAATATTACTTCAACGCTTTCGGGGCTGCGGTATTGTTGGGTCACAAAATGCGCAAATTTTCGGCTATTAGTCAGCCGACGCTCCCCAGCTTATCCCGCCAGCTGGCCAAGACCATATTATCTCCATGGATATCCAGAAAATAGGCAAATCTCGGTCGAGGATTACGGGATTGGAATCTAGAGGAACACGGCATATTTGGTCAGAAATCACCGCCGAAAATCTGGAAGCGGAAGTGGAATCGTCAGCAATCCAATTGGAGGAAGGCCCCGAAAAAAAGCCGAAAATATACCTGAGCTCCACGACGGCGATGCTTGAAGACGTTGTCGGTGACGGCGTCCGTCTCGTCGACGATTTCCGCCTGGAAAGTCGGTGTTTTTTAAAGTATTCGAACTTCCTAACTGATCTCTGCCTGCCAGCCCACTCTCTGAATTTCAAATTTTCGAGACCTTTTCTAAAGCTATTTTTGTATCAAAAAAACCATTGCAAATAGGGCAAAATAATTTCCTCTCCTATCCATTTTCTGCAAAACCTCTGCTAGCTAACCTCGCAAATTAATTTTTCAATCTCGGGCCTTAAAAACATAATTTCGTAGGTTGGAGTTTCGAAATTCTTAAAAGCAGTTTTTTGGATTTTACAAACGGAAGCCGTTCAAAAATATCAATACAAGCGCGTCACATCGTTTTTTATAAAGTCACGCCTCGCCTGGGCACAAATTCACATGCAAATTTACGCATTCCAGCGTGGGAGAGAGGTATTTTGGGCCCTTTTACGATTCACGTCTTCCCCCGAGAGAACAGCGGCCACGGAAAATTTTCAAAAAATACCTGCAGAATCTCCTCGACGATATCCTCAAGGGTGACGACGCCGACGAGGTCGTATGTGGGGTCTTTTTCGTCCTTTTCCACCACGCGTTGCACCATGGCCAGATGGTAGTCGCCCTGGAAATGTGAAAATTAGAGGGTAGAGAGAGAGAGAGAGAGAGAGAGAGAGAGAGAGAGAGAGTGAGATAGAGCAATGACGTACCCTCTTGAACTCCTCCAGCATGATCCTCAGCGGCGTGTCCTCCATCACGAAACGCAGCGGGTGCTTGTGATAGCTGGTGACCATTTGTATCGTAAAGTTGTCGTCAGGGTCGAGGAGGGCGAGATCTTTCACAAAGAGGAGAGAGACCTAAAATGAAGTTTTTTTAATTAAAATAAAAAATATATTACAACTTCACAAAAGTTTTATATAGTTTAATATATCAACAAACTTGATCTAATTTAAAACTTTTAATTTAGAATTTAATAAAAATAGTTATATCGTACCACATTATTGCGGTCCCCAGAATAAATCGGGATCCTCGTGTAGCCCATCCTCAAAATTTCGGCCACGGCCTTCGTGTTGAGCACGGTGTCGTTGTGGAGCATGAAAACGTCCTGAAAAATTTGATTTAGTTTTCAAATCGAAAAATCGATAAAATTATTACTTTTCAAAAAACCCACATCAATCCTGGTCATCACATCCGACACGGTCTTGTCGGAAATCTCCATGGCGCCCACAGCAATGCGCAGCTCGTCGGGGAGTCCGTTTTCGTCTTTCGCGTTCATCTAAAGCGAAAATTAGCTAGTTTAACGGTTTGAATTAATTAACTAATTAGTTTAAAAGAAATTATGAGTTGAACTAATTATCAAAAATACAGCATCAAAATCGCATTATTTTCGAACCTTTATCAGTTCCATCAGCCGTTTCCGGTCATAGGCAACGACTTCATCACCCAGCAGCCAGTCGAGAATCTAAAAATCAATAAATGATATCAAAATTTAATACTTAGCACAAATTAACCCAAATAATAAATTTAGTATATTCCAATTTAACGAAAAGACCTTTGAAATGGGAAATGCGACGGGGAACGTGAGGACCATGAAGAAACGGGTGAGGAATATCGTGTGCGCGCCGACCGCCAGGCCTTTCCTGAAATAAAAATGGAATCAGTCAAAATAGTAACTGCAAAAACGTAGCAAAACGTACTTGACACAAACACTTTGCGGGAAAATCTCTCCGAAAATGACAATGCCGGCGGAGGAGCCGATGAGGGCCACAATGCCGGAAGACAAATCGTCGAGCAGAATGGAGATTGCCGAATTTACACAGACGTTTCCTAAAAATAAAATAAGATAACATTTTTCACCAAAATTTACCTAGCAACAATGTACATAGCAATAGATTTCCGCGCTCCCGGATCGGCAGAATCGTCTCGGCGTAACGGCGCTCGGTTTTTGAGCCTAAAAATAAACGATTACGCCATATAGTTCAAAACGCACCAGATTTCATAATTAGCGATAATTCTTGTGGCGTCAACGCCATCAGGCCGAGATTTAGACCGGAGAACAGACCGGAGAGCACGAGCAGCACGGCCAGAATCGTTACCTAAAAATTTTATTTCGGTCGAAAATCAAAAAGCTTGCGTCAAAAAAGTCAGAATATACCTATTTCTCTGGTTTATAATGATTATCGATGTAAAACCATATTTACCTGAACGGGAAAGGGAAAATAATATTTTCTCGGGGCGGGCAGCGTGGAGATCCAGGTGCGCGCCTCGGCGACCTCGTCGAATTCGGGCTTGGTGACCCTGTCCTTGGGGCGGTGTTTGACGCACAGGCGCAGCTCGCGGTCGTGGCTAAGAAAAAGCATTTTTACGTTTGTTGTTAACGCCTTAAGGTGGACGTCTAAACGGACCTTCCGAAGCTGGCGTGCAGTGTGATGCGCTTGTCGCTCTGATAGCCGAATACCTCGCGGTCGAACGAGTACTCGGGTTCGATGCATGTCTTGGTGGTGAAGCCGATCTAGACGACCCGATTACGCCATGCAATTTAAATATTACCTCGAGCACTTCGTCAAGCCAAAAGCCGTAGAGGCTGTACTGGATGAGGGAGTCGGGCACCACGATGCTCTCGCCCCGAGCGCTAAAAACGATAATTTTTACTCGAAAGAAACAAAATGAAAATGCTAGTAATTTCGAGTATAAAGTCAAATCTAAAAACCGACGTGTGTCCCAGAAAAACCGGTTCATGTTCGGTGGTTAGCGCCTCGACGCGGGCACCGGAAATGGCGGGCTCCTTCTGGATGGTGATGACGTTGATGGAGCGCGGGGCCTGTTGGGCCCCTATATGTTCGGGGTCCGGCTCCTCGTCTACCAGCAGCGAGGTTGTTTTCTGGAAAAGGCGGTTATTCTATTGTTAAAATAAACGATCGGATAACTTTAGCCGTTTTTCTTTTAGCACTTCTTTGCTTTTCTTCCTTCTTTTTTCGCTAGTTTCAGCGCTTCAAAAAGGTTATTTTATTGTTTAAAATAGCTTTTCGCAGCTTGAAACAGTTTTTTCGTTCCGCTAATAGCCAGGTCTCTCCAAAAAATCACAGGAGCTTTTTAAGCCCATTATCACCTGCCCGGCAGCCGGTGCCGATAAACGAGGCGCGAAAAAAAGACGCGAACAGTCACCAAAAATCTATTCATAGGGGCACTATAGCCAGAGTGCGAAAGAACGGTTTTTCGGACGAACGAACGTCTTGAAATAAAAAAAAATGGTAAAAAACGATATTCTAACCGGCAAACGTTTAGCTTTTATAATAAAATAGCAAATTACTAGGAAACCAGCCCGATAACCCTTTAGAAGCGCGAACCTGAGCATTTATTTGTGGAGCGCCGGCGGCGAGCGAGACGAGCGATACGAGCAGAAGCACAACGGCGCCACTTGATATAGGGCCGATGTTGGAGTGATTGCGCAGGGGGCCGGTGACCATCCGATACTTCCAGGCGCTCTTGTCACCTGCAAAAAAAAGATATAAATAATTTCCTCGACTTGGATTAGTAAAATGGAAAACAAGTCAGAAAATGGCACAGAATGAATTTAAAGATCAGCCGTCACAGATAGTAATATCTGAAAAAATACTTCGCAAAAAGCGTAAAAAAAGCTCTGGGAACGAGGTGAACCGAAAATTAAACAAATCATCAGAGAAAATTGGCAAAAAGCCGGAAATAATCATGGAATTATTTCAAAAGCTTCAAGACTCATACTAAAAAGGGTAATTTAAAGCCGGATACCCCGCAAAAAGCTTAAGAACTCTCTGAAAAATACAGGACCCGAAAATCAATCAATTCCATATCTATTTCTAGGCCGGAAATGCGTAGCTCAAGCCTACTTCCTGAAGAAAGCGCCGAGCAACGACCATAAGCCACTAAATGCTACATTTTCACGTCAGAAAAACACTGGATTAGTCGTTAGCCGGAAACAAGGAGGCTTACTACAGGGTCATTCGAAATAACAAAGTAAAGACGGTCGATTCTCACACACAAACACAACAGGGCGCCGCCTAGTAATTGTTGGGGAAAATGCGGGGTGAAAGTATCAGAGTATACGCAGTCAGGTACACACGGCCCCACCAACAAATTATATCAGAGACGCGAAGTAGCGGGCAAGTGGGCAATTCTCCGTAAATTTTCCCGGGAATAAATGGATGCCGGGGAAGTGCTAATGAAGTGCGGGCTTTTGCTACACGGCTATTGGGGGTACAGGAAGTGAGCCTAAATTCGAACGAATGGATAATCGGATTTGGATAAGCGGAAAAAACGTCCAAATTCTTTAGAAAAAAACTAAAAAAGATAAAAACTGCTAGGAACCCGATCGCTTCGCTCAAACCAAAAAAGAGGGAATGCGCTGCAAAGCTGGAAAATAACCCGAAAATTATGAAAATGGTAAAGACAAAAAAAGAAAAACTTTAGAAAGCGAGCCATTTCATTTTCAAGTTTCAAAAACCACACAAAATTTTGGCCATTCTTTTTCGAATAGAAAAAAGCCAACGCGTCCTTTCGCAGCTGAGTCAAGAAATCACATAATGGACCTGAAAAAGTGTTTAGAAAAGCTATTTCAAGGTTTAGATTGCCAAACAAGCGTCAAATTGTTATAAAAAAACTAGTTCGTAGCCTAATTTTTTGAAATTATCGTAAAAAATGACCAAATGACCAAAATTTCACTTCAAGCCATTTTTGGCGACAAGAGCAAATAAAAATTCCGCCAGAGCAGCGGGTTCCTTGATTTTTGAAATTATCGTAATGAAACGCCCAATCGTCGAAAGTCCAAGATTTGAAACGGCAAGTTAACACTTTTAGGAAGTTCCCAGAATTTTCTAGGTATTTTGGGGACAAGGCAAACCCAATTCTCAGCGAAAAAGTGGAATTCTTGAATTGGATCTGCTAGAGGATAGGGAATGGTGTTCGAAAAGTGACTGGTTCGGGTAGAAAAGGCAATGTGCCGAGCCCGAGGGAGCCAGGGTCCGCCTCATCGTCGGTTATTGAAGCGAAATGGAATTTGTTTGCGCTGCGGCTCGAATTCCCCCGGTGGCGGTGCTCTGGGGGTCTACATTGGCCACCACAGGGATGGATGTAAGCTGTGTCGCATCGCCGAAACCGGGACCCCAACCCGATGGCCATTCACCGGATATCGATTTGTGGTAAATTGGAGGGGTCGAGAATCCGGGGTGGGGAATTAATTTAAAGGTGGCGTGACAGGGAGATGATGATGGAAAGGAATGAAGCGCGGTGGATCCCCTAGGGTTTCGCTGCCCGCGACACGCAACGCGATCCATTGCGTAATCGAATACGGTGCAGCGCGGGTTTTTAGCTCTCTGACGCGTTACGTGTCGCGGTGGCGACCAGCCTATAGGGCGCTCATAGAAAAAAAAACCTATTTTCGCACCTTGAAGGGCACGGTTACGGCATCAAAATAGAATTTTTCCGCCTGCAATACGCAACGGGCGGGGTGCCAATTTTCTCGCGTAATCAAATCCGACGCAGCGCGGGTGGGTAAGATCTGACGCGTTGCGTGTCGCGGGCGTGGCGAATCTAGCGATTCCGTGCAAAAACCTATTATCATGCCTTGCCTATCCCCCTTAAATGGACTCGTAACGGATTAATATGGATTTTCTAGGTTTTTACCGCGCCGGCTAGGGCCTGTGTTGCCATTGCGCAATCGAATACGACGCGTTCCGTGTTGCGGGAGCGGTCCAAGAGATCGGAAATCCATAGTAAATAAAACGTGATGTCATCCCTTGCCAATCCCTTTAAAAAACCGCCCTCAATCGCGATCTGGGCTATCGATTAGGGAGCGCCAAAAGTGAGAATGGGCCTGTAGGGGACAGGAAGGGGGGGGGGGCATATTTGTTTATTTTATGACTAAAGGGGGTGGCCGAAATCGGGGAGGGTGAAGCCGATGGGGGAGAGGAGGGCGGCTCGTGCCCCCCGGTTGACAGCCAATCTGATCAAAGTGATCGGGCAGCGAGCTTTTAGCCGAAAGCCTCGAAGCTAACAAGGGAACCACCTAAGGTCGAGGTGGCGTTTCGTTATGGGACCAAGCCCATTTTGTGCAGAATTTTTTTGCTGATTCCGAACTCGCTTTCAATTTTTGCCAAATAGCCCGATTTAAAAAGTTACGGCGATTTTAAGATCATATTTGAGCCCACGGGCAGTCATCTGTCACGATGCCCAACATTTTTGTTTTAATATGTCAATCCATTTTAAATAGCCTGTCTTGTAGAGAATTTTTTTCTGATTCGATTGGTATATTTTATTACTGCACTGCTGCCTATCGATGATCACTTCTGGGAGTGTGAAATAGCCTGTTTTTCAGCATTTCCCATACAAAAAACGAAGTCCATACCAAGAGTATCGTCGATTTTTTTCGATTTCCAACAATTTTGAGTTAAATAGCTCATTCCATAGAGAAAGATTTTCTGAATATGATGGCGATATTCGTTTTTGATGAATCATCCGGGAAGTGCAAAATAAATGGCTTTGAAGTTGACAAATTTGGGAAAAAAAAATGGAACTTTGAAGCGCTATAACTTTTTAAAAAGAGCTATTTGGCAAAAATGAGCAGCGGATTCGGAATCAGCGAAAAATTCTGCACAAAATGGGCTGGGTCCCATAACGAAACGCCACCTCGACCTCGGGTGGTTCCCTTGTAAGCCATAGCTTGAGATTTCAAAATTCGAAATTGGTGATTTAGGACAAAAATTTTTTGATGCCTTTTCCCGCCCATTATCCAAAAACTGTTTCCAATCTTGGCGCAAAATAGAATTTTTAGGGGGCTTTTCTCGGTTCAAAAAGAGTTTCTGAGGCTAGAAACTTTGAAAAAAGAGGGTTAAGTGTATGAAACTGATCATAAAAGAAAAGTGCCCGTTGGCAAAAATAGTCCCAAAATTGTATTTTTTCGCTGCTTTTATGGCTAAAAATTACTTTTAGCTCTAAAATGCATAAAAAGATGGTCAAAGGTCCTAAAAGGCCTGGTACGTTTGGAAAGAAAGTTAGAGCCATGCTGATATTTTATTAAATCGAAATTCGGCCTGACGGCCGAGAAATCGGCTGTACAGAAAACAGACATATTTTTCTCGCTTATAGGATAGGATTTAAATGCCATAGGAATTTTTCTAGCAACTTTAAAAACTAAAAATTGAGTAAAAACAGTAAATAGGCAAAAATTCCTGACATCAAAATTTAGAACCAGCCCAACCACCGGAAGATCATCAAAAACCATCTTTCCGAAAACACCTAGCAAACTAAGTGCGAAATCGATGACCGGCTGCAGCCGGCCGGGCGTTCACAAATCGACGAGTCGAAGACACGAACGAGATGTTAGTCATGGCCCATATGGCTTGCGGCAAAGAAAGAGCGCGTTCTTTGTGCCGCGAATCTTCCAGAAAGTCACACCAAGAAAACCCGAAAAGATGAAGCGGGCATCGAGGTGCTTGTGCGTTATCGGGGGCCCTCTCCATTATTAATCCAGAAACTCCTAGCAGCGTATCACAACGTATTTTAAAAGTGTTTTTAATTTAACTATTTAGAAAATTTTAAAAACGCGAAAAAAAGCCTGGGGCGCTTTTGCATTATCGGGGGGGGGGGCTTCCGATTAAGTCAAAATGCCTTACCGTGATACGAATTATTTTAATAGCGTTTTAAGTAGCATATAACTATATTTAAACAAGCAAAATTGTCTAAAAACTTGTTGAAAAGTCAAATTTTGCTCAAGAATCGGCAGGAAAAATCAAGATTTTTGTATTTTCAGATAACATTTTGCAACGTTTACCTCTAGGAATCGCCAAAAATAATCTAGAAACTTCACCTCTTATTGTGTTAGAAAAATGGATCCTACGGAGAGTAGTCGCGCGCAACAGCACCAAGGAAGAGCCTATCTTTCGTGCCAAATCTTCCAGAAAATAACGCGAAACCCCTGAAAAAATGAGCCGGGGCTCCAACGTAAGCGTGGCCGATTGGCAGCTAGCAGAGAGTGCTGCCGGGGGTGAATATCTGACCAATCTGCCGACGCGTGATGTCCCTTATCAATCTTCACTGATTGTATGCATACACACACCCGACGCCCTGGAGAGGGCCCTGATTTTTCGAGAATTTATGGGGTTCCGGATCAAAATTTGAGGGTGACATTGGGGGATAAAAGTTATTGGCGGGCCGGTAAATGTAGAGCAAGAGCCAAAATTCAGCAAAACTCCCGTTTTAAATAGAAAAATAAGTAAAATGGACATCAAACTTGAAGAAGCCTAATAAAAATAATTCACAAGTTCTCGCTAAATTCTCTAAAACAAAGAAATTAAATTAAACGGCAGAAGAAAGACTTATATTTTTCACGTTTTCATGTACATTACATTTAAAACAGAGACTATTGATGTGTCTAGCACAAAAAGGTATCAAAGCCTATGAAATTGGCAGATCAAAGTATCAGAAATCAAGAAAATAAGCTAAGTAAATTAAAAAAGTAAAGGAAGTATTCAAAAACTAAACTATCGAGGTGTTTTCCTCGAAAATACAGAATTTATGAAATTTGGCAAAATAGACGAAAAATCAGCCAAAAACCGTCACAAAATTGATCATCTAAAAGTTCTAAAAGCTAAACGAACCGCAAAAATGGCATGCAAAATTGCTAAAGCGCCATGTAAAAGCCCTAAAGATAGTTTTGTTCGAAAAAGACGCATCTTTTTCCAACAGCGCCAGGGAACGCTGAAAAAGTTCCCCAAAAAAGCCACAAACTAGCCCAAAACAAGCTTTTAAAGGTCCCAAAGGCTTTAGAAACCGTAAAGATTTAATATTCAATCGCTAAACCTAAAAAGGAACTCCCGAATCCATTCGCCCCCGCGTTTCTAAGGGCCAAGCCAGGAGGGGGGCCCTTGGAGCGCGCGCAATGGGCCCTAAGGGGGTGGCCGTTAGGGGGGAGACCCCCAGTCAGTCCATGGCCATGGCCACACCACTGGGGCCCACTCCTCGCCTGGGCCCTCACCAAAAGCTACGGTGCCTCGAGCGCCAACCCCCCGCCAGGAGGCTTATCGGGGGTTGAGCAGGGAATGGAGAGAGGGTGGAAAACGAAAAAGGAGGCCAGAAAGCCCAACCAAAAAGACACACCGCTTAGAGAAGGGGACAGCAGCTGGCGACTGGGATCGGCACACCTGCGAAATGCACTGGAAATTGAGGGACGGGTCTAGAGAAACCTACGATGAAGAAAACTAGCTAAAAACTTTTTAAAGGTTCGAAAATTCGAAATTTTGGGCAAAAACCCGGTACTGTTGCATTATCGGTGGGACAAATTTTTTCTAAGAATCCAATTTTTCCGATATAAAATCCTGAAAATTTTTCGAAATAATGAGGGAAAACCTAAACTTTTTTAAATTGTTATTTAAATTTTAAATTTTTCAATCTTCTAAACGTAAAAACTTTGCAAATTGCCATCAAAAATACAAAAAAAAGCGATTTTTCGAATAAAACGCCCGATTTTCGACCAAAATACCGCCCAAAATTTCTTTTGAAGTCTTTTCATTGCTTACTGGCTTTAATATATAGGTAAATTATATTTCTAGACATGGGAAAAAGTCGTCCCCCCCGATAATGCGAAAGAACCGCCAAACCGGGCCCCACCACTTCGAATGCAGTTGACAAAAAGATGAAAAAATGGAAGTGAGGGGGACCTGGTCTGGAACGCCCTTGAAGCCGTGACGTCGCCGGCCCTTGGACTCTGAGGAACCTGAGGCTTTTTTGGCGTGCTCTGTCCATCAAATTTTGTTTGCAAAATCACGCAGCTGTTGCTCCTTAAACGCTTTCTGTTCTATCGTAAAAGGACAAAATTTAATACACTCGGAAACGCTCGGAAGCCTTGCAAGTCCCTATAAAGCGAATTTACATTCTAAAAACGGCCAAGTTTACACCGTATTAGTCGAAAAATGACAACTTTTCAAATTCCGGGCAGCCTTCCCTATAAAACTCATTTTCGGTTCAGAACTAATCTAAACAGGCTCATTTTTTGGGAATTTTTGGAAATCAGCGCAAAACAGGGACGTTTTGCACTACAAAATGATATTTTTCGTAATTTTCTAACGTTCCAAATAAATTTTGCGGACGAAATGAAATCCATTTCTTACGAAAAATCACATAAACCCGGCTGCCAGGCAATTTCCCACCGCGGGCACCTCGCCCAATTTGGCCGCCAGGTGCACCAAGGGCAACGCGCCAACAATGGCATTTTTTTTCTTCCGGGCCCAACGCTTTCTAAGAAACCAAAAGTGATTTGGCGGGCGGCGAATTTTGACTTGCGTGGTAAGCTACTTTAGCCCCCAAAATCCCGGAAACAAGATTTTAAAAAATGAGTCTAAGCCACTGCCCCATTCACGCCCAGAATTTGCGGCAATAAGGACCTAAGCAACGCGACGCTCCATTCGTCAAGAAAATGTATGGGGCCAAAACTTCGTAGCCTTATAACTTTAAAACTAAATAGAATCTTAAAAAAAGCGATTTCCAACTTTGTAGAATAGGAAAAGGCGATTCCAATGATACCAAGCACTAAGAAAACTGAATTCAAAAAGTATCGAAACGAAGGCGGTTTTTGTTGACGACTTTGTGAAGAGTGGTATTTCGGAGGGCTAACTTGCTGTCTTTGGTATCATTCGAACCGTAAAATTCTACTCTGCAATAATTGATATTGGGTTTTCATTATTAAGTCGGTTTGAAAAAGTTATAAGAGCTTAAACTTTTTGGCGCCCGCTACGTTCCGCTCCAATCGACGCTTTTGCCCCTCCCGGCACATTGCCGTTTTTGGCCTGTTTGACTGGCCGTGCATTACGTGATAGCACAAAATTACAGTCCCATAAATTTATCGGATTTTTATCACAAATAGTTGCGTTTAGCATCGAACTATTTAACACGGGAAAATGAATTTGGTGAGGTAACGGTAGCTGAAACGAGATTCATTGCGTGGAAGTTTTAGAAGACTAGAAGCTTTTTCAAAGGGACGTCGGAATAGGGTCAAACATTTATGGGTCAAAAACAAGGCAACAAGGCAAAATGGGGGTGGGGGATCACAATTCAATATGTACAAATGAGTCAACGGGGGCTTGACATTGAGGGCAGGCCAATTTACCCTGGGACATCATGCGATTATAACACGGTTCACAAAGGCAAAAGTGATTGCAGGGCTGGAGGAGACATGTCTTCTCACTCCGTCGACACGCCGAACAGAGAAGCCGCGAGACGGGACGCCGCCGGACCGTGTCTTGCGGTCCCAACATATCAACGGCATCCCGAACTCGCTCGGCTCGCTGGTCGACCTTGGCGAACAGATCCAAGAAGAACTGAATCGGGTGGAACAACAAATAAAAGATCTTCTTGATCGTGTCAAGCTGGGGAAAGAAGATGGTGACGACGGAGTAGAGCAATGCACCAATGTAGGGGATCGCTTGGTAGAACACGAAACGGATCGGGTCGGCACGGGTAGCCTTGCGGATGGCCCAGCTGAGACTGAAAAAGAGGAAGATCATGAAGACGAGGAGGAATGGGTGTGAGAGGCAGAAGTTGAGCGTGGAGCGGAACGGCAGTGTCAGCAGCGATACGCACCCGGAGAGCAGCCACCACGCGAACGAGATGATGGCGATGGGCACGGCGAGGACTGTTGAGGCGGTCTCGTGCAGTTCGTCACAGGGCAATCCTGAAAAATTATCTAATTTTTTGGCGCAATTGCAATCCGTTTCTCCTTTAGGATTTTTCGTTACTATCAAACTTTTCTAATACAGAAACCAGCGTCTACAATTTTTCATTTTCTAAAAAAGTCTTAAAAACCAAACAAAAAAAGTGCAAAGTACCAATTTTAGGACAAACATTTCTGATATTTGGACGTTTTATAAGTTTTCCAGATAGTTTTTCTCTTTCAAAATATAGCTAAGTTCTACTATAACCCCTCTCAAAAAACTGGCTCGTTCATTACTATGTAGGATCTGGATTAGTAGGAAAAAACCGACATGTCACAAAAATGCCGATGCATATAACAACTATCAAAAATATGGATATTGGCAAAATTCAAGGGGCCAGGCCATTTTTAAAAATTGCTGAAGGCCGAACACACCTAGAAAATCGCATATTCCTCGTCCGGCCACTCGCGCGCCTTGTATCAACGAATTCAGATAGTCGTTGTAGCCTTCGCCGACATGATTGAACATTCGTGAGGATGAGGAAGGATCCTAAATTGAGTAAGTTGCGTAATACCCTATTGTCTAGCTAACAAGGGGACGTTTTTGCGTGCCCACGAGGTTTCGAAATGCTATCTAGCGCTGTGCAGACTTTTGCTAATTAAAACCGCGTTTTCAGAATCTGCGAAACGACGAGAATAAGGAAACTACGAAACTTTAAATGGCGAAAACGGCCGAAGTCGGCCATTTCGCCAAACATTAGAGCTACGTAGCTTTTGAAATATGGTCATTTCGCACATTTTGAAAGATAAGTTTTGATCAGCGAAAAATTTTGGACAAAATGGGGTCGGTTTTCGAAACTCCGTGGACACTCAAAAACGTCCTGCTTGTAAGTATCTTTAGACTCTTGAACAGACCTCATATTGCGATGCGGGACGTCTTGAATAAGCCATGTCGATACGATCGTCGAGAGAATTGAGTCGATTGGCATCAGACGGGGGAGGCCAGTCTTGTTGTGCTGTTTCACTTGCACTTTTGTTGTTTATTTGTTTTCAGCCGCCGGATTTCGTTAGCCAATGCATGTCAAAAACGCGCGGGTTGCAGTGTACGGAGGTGTACCGTGTAGCCTTAGCGGTTGGAATTCCGCGGCGAAGCTTTTTCTGTTTCTAAAATTTTTTTCTATACCTTCCAAAAATATATTTTTTAGGATAAAATATTGTTTATATTATTTAAGCAGTTCTTGATAAAATCTAGATGCTTCGCGCACCCCTAATTTAACGCTCTCCTGGATGCAACGGCTCAAAAACGGCGCTGTTTGCGTTAGCGGACTATCCTTGATTTTTCACCGACTTTCTACTGATCCTAGGATAGTTTGAGATGCTGAGCCCGATAAAACAGCGTTCCGGAATGGTTTTTGGTCCAAAAAAAGAAAAAAACTGAGGCGGGAAACCGCCGATAAAAATGGCTTTGCTAAAGTGAAATAGCGACACAAAACTATATTTCTTGATAGAAAACAGTATTGCCAGCTTCTTGTATTTTTTTTTGAGGCATTTAAACCTTCCATTTGAAATCATAAATAACACTTTTACAGATGTTACGCCCACCGTTGCGGCTAGCCGGTGCCGCGCGACTGGAATCGACGCTAGCGGCCCGGATGCGAGAAGCTTCCGGCGGGAAGACGATGAAACGGGCGGTGCCGTCGGCGGATGATGTCGACGTCCATCGGGATGCCAACGGGAGCCGTTTCGCGAGATGTTCGTCATGCCACGACGGAAGCTGCGCGCGCAGATGAGCATCGAGCAGCAGACGGGGAGGGCTGAGGTGTGGTTTTTGGATATTCTTGCGAAAAAAAAATTTAAAAATGCAAGCGAAAACCGTGCGTAGTTATTTTTATGCTTTTTGCGCGCCAGATGTTTGTTGTGATCGTTTCAAAAGCACTAATGCCTCGGTTTGCAAAATCTCCTTTTTAGTGGAAACAACGCAGCCGTTTCGACATCGGCAATCGACTCGCCGTGCGAAAGCCCCGCTCGGAGACGATGGAGCCCGACCAGGATTGGCCGAACGTCTGGCCGGCCGCCCGATCATTCAACGCTTCCGTGGTGCCGCTTCCGGTCCGCATGGGCGCGCGGCCAAACCCGGAAAGAAGGGCCCCCCTTCAAGAAACAGGGCAACCTCGAGCTGGTCAAGATCCCCAACTTTCTCCACCTCACCCCGGCCGCCATCCAGCGACACTGTGAGGTCATCAAGAAGTTTTGCACGCCATTTCCGGCCGAGTTGAAGAAAGAGGAGGCTGTTGATCAGGTTTGTGAAATTATGTACTTTTTCTGAACCTGTATTTTTCAGTTTTTGCCGATGAGCCTCTACTACAATGACTACGTTCATCAAGGCTCCTCGATTCGTGATCCCCGCTCCCGTGTCGTCACCACCACCCTGAAAGTGAAAAATTTGGGCTTAACCGACGCGGCCTACCAGAAGATTCAACGACTGGCTGGTCAAAGGTATAGACAAGGTGTTAATTTTGACACAAGATGTTTTAGATACGATGAAGCCACGGATACGCTCACGATTCTCACGGACCGCTGTCACACAAGAAAGCAGAATGACGACTACGGGCAGTACCTGCTGACGGTGCTGTACCACGAGGCGCACAAGGTCGAGCAGTGGGAGCAGCAGGCGACGAGGGTCGACGCGCTGAAGCTCGAATTTGACGGGTCGGCTTCGAAGGAAAAGGTAAAAACTTTGGTACTAGACTTTTGACTGGGGAATTTAGCTAAGTTAGATTTTTTGAGAAGCCTATAAACCACAGTGTTTTTAGAGTGTTTTAGCACCAAAAAGTGCCAAGAAGCGTTTTAGAAAATCCGTAAGCCTTGAAATTTTAGCGGTTTAGTGCTTTTTTCGTAAATTTGTGAGCAAAATTTCGAGATTTTTTTTGCGTTGTGTATTTCAAAAACCGTAAAATTCTATAAACATAGTGGAAATGTTATTGCTGGGCCGGTATCTTGCTATAGGAATGAACCCTAGCAGCTATCCACCTCTAACAAGGAGTGCCCTTTTAGTGTCATCGGCAAAACCTTTTGCTACCTAGCTCATTCGATAGAGAATTGAATTCTGAACCAGCTCCCGTTGTTCGTTTTTGCGGAATGGCTGTCTCCGATTTTATAAAATTAAAAAACTAAAAACAGCATTTTTGGACCTCGATGCTCGCGCCACCCCCAAAATGGCCGCCCTGGGGAAGAGCCGCTCTGACCTCTCCCCACCACCAGTAAGCGTGGCGCAGTGGTTAACACCAGGGGATACCGAACTTTTTTTTGCGATTCAGGCAAAAGTTCGGAACTCACATCAACAATTCTTTTTGCTTTTTGAATTTTGATTGCGCTTGGTTCATAGGTCAACGTCCGTTTGATTTGAAGCGAAGACAATCGAACAGTCCTTTGTGAAAAAGCCTATGTTTTTGAAAACCATGCGCTAAATAAGAATCTAGTTGGTGCAAGCCGGCTTTTCTCAAAAATGCACATGAAACGGCCACAAGGGGTTTCAAGCGTAACCTTATTCAAAAAGCAAAAAGAATTGCTGATGTGAGTTTCGAACTTTTGCCTGAATCGCAAAAAAAAGTTCGGTATCCCCTGGTGTTAACCACTGCGCCACGCTTACTGGTGGTGGGGAGAGGTCAGAGCGGCTCTTCCCCAGGCGGCCATTTTGGGGGTGGCGCGAGCATCGAGGTCCAAAAATGCTGTTTTTAGTTTTTTAATTTTATAAAATCGGAGACAGCCATTCCGCAAAAACGAACAACGGGAGCTGGTTCAGAATTCAATTCTCTATCGAATGAGCTAGGTAGCAAAAGGTTTTGCCGATGACACTAAAAGGGCACTCCTTGTAAGATAAAAACACCATAATTTATTCTTTTTTTCTATTCTTATTCTCAATTTTGGCTCCGATAAAGTTTTTAGGTGACGAAAAAGGCACAATTTTTAGGATAGAAATGATTTATTTGAAAAAATTTTTCCAGATAATATCGCTGCTCCAACGCGCCAAGGAGTGCGACGCCCTCTCGCCATCCGTCCAACTTTCCGCCGACTCGAAGGGCGACGAGCCCGAACTTCAGCAATTTGCCGAAAAGTGGAATCGATACCGCAACGAGAAGGAATCGCCGGCTTCGACGAGAAGCTACGCCGAATCCGTCAAATCATTGCTAGGCATCCCGAAATTGGCTTGAATTTCTTGTAGTGTGCATTCCGTTTAGTTTAGTTCTTTAGTCTCCCGATTTTGGCTCGTTGAATTTGCTGTTTTGCTAAGATCCATTGCCTTATTGTCCGCCTCCAGTTTTGGGGCATTTTTTGTAACCTGATCTTTCGATATATGGATGATTGTTTTGAATAAACTTATTTGAACCTGAGGAATTTGCCTGGAAATTGCAAATGGGTTGAAGCCGAATGATTTTTCGTGTGGAGAAGCAGGGGTTCTTTCGCATTAACGGGGGTGGGTGTTACCGATTTTTTGACTGGCAATTTGTGGAAATTGTTTTAGCTATTTTGAAGGGCAAACTTTAGAATCTTTTCACAGCGGTTTACGGTTGTAAAATTCGATCGCAAGTTCATTTTGTATTCATAGCAAATTATAAAGCGTTTACGGCTATGAAGGGTAGAAAATTCTATAGAAACAGCTCCTTTATTTATATTAGCTATAAGATGTGAATTCCCAGAAACTAGAAAGCCTTTAAAAAAATGGAAATTTTGATCGAAAACTGTTTTTTTTCCGTCATCCATTAAAATTTGCATAGTTTACGCTTTTAGGATCAGGTGTAGTAGAAAAATTAGTTACCAAAAAGTTTGCCCTTCATTAATGCCAAAGCATCAAAGCGAGCCATTTCAAAAACATGTTTTTCCAGGGCCATTCCGATAGATGGTACATGTTGGAGATGCGGTTACAATGCTTGGATCGGGGCTGGCCTTCTTCTCGCTGGGATGGTTATTTTTTGTAAAGCAGGTATGTTTCTTGGCGTTTTTCTAGAGGTTCCATTTTTTTTCAGTTATTTCGCAACTACGAGGTGCACAATCGAAGTGTGCAGCTGCTATTCGCCCTGACGTTCGCCATCTCGTGCACGCTGTTTGTGCTGATCATTTTCGAGATTGCCGATGTTTTACAGGCTGAGTACGTTTTTTAGACCCTAGTTTTACTAAATGTATCTTTTAGTTCCCGGATGACGTACTGGCGGCTGAATCTCTACATTATCCTCTTCATTCTGATCGTCATTGTGCCGCTCTACCTGCCATATTGCTGTCTACGCTCTTTTACGCAAAGTAATAACCGTTATTTTTTACGGAGTTCCGTTTTAGTGTCGAGAAGTAAAGCGCTCGCCTCTTCCCTGATCATCTTCACCACGTTCATCTACTTTTTCTGGAAGGCCGGCGATCCGTTTCCGATTTTGAGCTCTCAGCACGGTAGAGCAAATTTTCTGTGTCTTAAAATGCCTTTTCTAGGTATATTCACTATCGAGCAGGCCATTTCTCGAATCGGCGTGATCGGCGTGACGGTGATGGCGTTCCTCTCGGGTTTCGGTGCCGTCAACGGGCCCTATCAATGCTTGACGTACTTTGTTAGTTCGGTGAGTTTTTAATTTGGGTTTTCTATTTTCTATATTATCCAATGTGACTCTGCTATTTTCTAGAGCTTCTAAAACATTATTATTTCGATTTTTCAGGTCACCATGGAGGATATCTACAAAATGGAGCGAAAAGTGCATCAAGTGAACGACGCGATCGTGCGCAAGCTCTTCCAAATCGAGGATTTCAGCAATCAGCTCGAGAGTTGTGGGTTTCTTTGAAAAGCCAGTTTATTCAACGATTTTAGCGCTGAACGCTGCTACCGGCGCCACACCACTCTACAAGCGGGCATTTAGCCGATGGTCCGAACCGTCGAGCGGAGGCATTCAGCAAAAGATTAAGTACGTTTTTCAACGAAAATTACAAGTTTTTGACTCTCAGGGGTCTTGAGCTCGAAATCACGCAAAACGAAGAGCTGCAGCGGCATCTATTCTACGAGCTGATCGAGTTGAGGCAGAACAAGGTATCCAAAATTTCTAAGACAGATATTTTTAAATTTTAGGAACGAGCCGACTATTCGAAGACGTTCCTGGGCAAGTACTTCAACATGCTCGGCTATTTTTTCGCCATCTACTGCGTGTGGAAGATTTTCATCTGCACGATCAATATTATTTTTGATCGTGTGGGAAAGGTTAGAATTTACAAGTTTAAAGAACTTATTTTTCTCTAAATTTATCGTAGTTCTTAAATGCGAAATTTGTTTTGAACATTTTAGTTCTGAAAAGTCGAATTCATATTTTAGGTCGACCCAGTGACGCGAAGCATCGAAATCCTGATCCATTGGTGTGGCCTGAGCTTTGATGTAAGTGTTTTAGCATTTTTGAAAATTATTTTGGTTTTTAGGTGCGTTTCTGGTCGCAGCACGTCTCCTTCCTGCTCGTCGGCATCATTGTCGTCACCTCCGTGCGCGGCCTGCTCATTACGCTGTCAAAATGGTTCCACGCGATCGCCTCGATCAAGAGCTCCAACGTGCTCGTGCTCTTCTTTGCACAGTTGATGGTAGATTCGATTTTTTTAAAAGTGAAAACCCCTTTCAGGGCATGTACTTTGTCTCGACGGTGCTCCTGATGCGGATGAACGTGCCGTCGCAGTACCGCGAGATCATCACCATCGTGCTCGGGGATCTGAAGTTTTCGTTTTATCACAGATGGTGCGTGATTTTCGGTTCTTTCGAATTATCAGGAGCCCGAAGTTTTTGTTTTAGTCTAGGAATGCCTAGTAAATTAATCGCATGTATTCAACAGCGTTTATACTAAAATTAAACTACATTTTAACTAGAAAATGATCTAATCCCCTTAAAAAGTAGACTTTTTGGTAAGGCATTTTTAGGCGAAAAATCGATAATTTCGTATTTTTTTAAAAGAAACTTGTAGGTTTTTGGCGTTTAGGAATGGTGAAAAACGGTTTACAAACATTTCGTCTATTTATATTTGAAAAATTGGATTCTATTGAAAAATTAGCCCCCCCCCCCGATAATACGATAGCACCTTTTATTTTATTTTCTTAACTATGATTTTGTAGGTTCGACGTAATCTTCCTCATCTCGGCGCTGTGCTCCATCGCCGTCCTCTACCTCATCCGACGGCCAGCACGAGAAAAATCCGATTTTTAAAGTGTTTTTTGTATTTTTTTTCTAAGCTTTGCCTTGATTTTCCATTACTGTAAGCGTCTAGAAAATATTCCCCCATATTAGCAAAATTTCCTTTCGCTTGATTCGGTGCCGGGTTATATTATATGTAATTTAATAATGCTTGTATTTTTCCTAATTCCCCAACCAACGCGGGTCGCTCACGATAATTTATTACTTTTTTTCCTCGCGGGGTTGTGATACGTTGTGATATTATTTATGTGTACTTTTTTCTGAAATAAAAGATTTCTGCAGGTTGTGTTATACAAGTCGATGGATTTTAAATAAAACTGTGTTCCGCACATGAGTCTAAATGTCGTTTTAGCGAAATGATTTCCGCTTCATGTTTTGAGCCGCGCTGCCGATTGCTGTTATTCTTGAAAGTCGTTCTTCGGAAATTCCGTCCGGTTTTTATTTTTCTAAACGATTGTTAGAAACCTCTTATTCAAAATTTCGCTAAATTCGATCGGTTCTTCCTCCTGCTTTTATTGTGATCTTTTTATACCAATTTTCGAAAACGCCGATTTTTGAAAACGCGACTTTCGAAAGTTTCGAAAATCTTCGAAATAGAGGTTGCGACAGCGTATTGCTAGATTTCCGCTGCCTGCTTCTTCTTTTTTTCCATGGTTTCACGATGAGAAGCGTATTTGGAAGTAGTTTCACCATTTCATAGTTTTACAGGAAGATTGCTTTCGCTGACGACTTGTAAAGTAAGACCTTTTTTCCGACTTCTTGGCCCATTTTTACTTTCGTTCCCCTTCATTTCCCATTTCTTGCTTTAATTATTTTTCGCCGATCTTATCCTTTTTTTCAGGTAAAGCGGCGATGCGTCGCAGGGGCAAGCGCCGCGCCACGAAGCGCCGAAAAGTTGGTGCCGAGCCGAAGAACCCGCTCGAGCGCCCCGACCAATCGGCGATGGATGGTGCGTTTTCCATTTTCCATTGTTTGCTTCTAATTGTTTGCGATCGAATGCGATTACTCTTTTGCAGATAAAGCCGCGATGCCGCTCGCGAAACGTCGAAAATTTGAAGATGAGCAGGATGAGGAGCACGAGCTGCCCGGCGACTCGGTGAAGGACGGTGAATCGAAGCCGCGCGTCCAAATCTACGACTTTTGCTGCGAGATCCTCTGGAAAATCGTGGAGCAGCTTGAGGTGAATTGCTATCATTTTTTCGAAATATTTTTTTGTCGAAATTTCAATGCATTGAAATTTGAATTTCGAACTGTTTCAGAAGAATAATCGAGGCAGAGTAGGCATTGGAATTTCGGCTAAATGATTTTCGACAAATTAAAATCACCCGCTTTACATGTAGAGGTTGTCAGGTCACAAGCTCCAAACCGGCTGAAAATTGGTGGAAAAATCGAATAAAATACGGGGAACACGATCCGATAAAAATTATCTGCTAATGGGCACTTTTGTTTAATAAACTTTTAATTTTAAGTTTTTGTATGGAAAACCCACCTAGAATCGCAGCGAGCCTGGCCAGAACCAGGGCGCGCAGGCCCGAGGTCTTGAAGCCTCCCCAAGGGGCCTTGCCCGTCGGTCGGGTGGTGTAGGGGTAGGGTGCGGGGAATGGTAGGCCAAAGGTCATGGGTTCGGTTCCCGCATTTTTTATTTTTTTTTGCTTTTTGCCGTTTTTGCTTTTTATTTGTAGGGAGCGCGTCTAGAATAGTTTTTATAATGTTTGTCGGTCCTATTAATCAGTAGCGGACGTCTCGACAAAAAAGAAATTACAAAATTTTGGAAGTTTTGCAAAAAAGGCCTACCTACCTATTCCGACCCCATAAAAATCGACAGGATAGTTTATACAGATTAGTTTTTGTACAGGTATTGTAAACAAGCAGTCATTATCGGAATCTGGAATCTTTGGGCTCAATTTTAAACACCCGGGGTCAGAACTAACTATTTTAAGCAGCTGATAACCCACCTAGCGGCCAAAGCTATGCGATGGGTCGTCAAAATTTTCGTGGAAAAATTTTTTCAAATAATTTTTTTCCGGGTGTGGGAAGGTACCGAGTGTCGTACTTTCCGTGGCAATTCGATCGAAACATTTATTCCGAGGCCGACAGCCCGATTAATCCGCTGAAAGTCCATTTTCCCTTCATTTTTCTTACTTAAAATTAAAAGTTTATTAAACAAAAGTGCCCATTAGCAGATAATTTTTGTCGCATCGTGTTCCCCGTATTTTATTCGATTTTTCCACCAATTTTCAGCCGGTTTGGAGCTTGTGACCTGACAACCTCTACATGTTAGGTTGGAGAGGTGCTCTCCCTCGCAAAGTGCCACCCGAACCTGCTGGGCGCGCTGAAGGAATTCCCGAACAAGGGCTACAACCGCGTTCAATGGGGCGCCGACAGAGTGGTCTTCTCGGATGGCATCACGATACAGGACGACGAGGGAAAAAACTGGACGCACGCCGAGGCGGAGATTCTGCTCGCCGATGCGTGGGTGGAAAGCCTGGACTACTCGCTGCATCTCGACACCAAGCTCAACATCAAAGTCGGCACCGTCAACTTCCAGGTAGAGTTGGCAGCTGAGGAAACCGGTTTTTGAGAGAACGGATTGAAATCAATGCTTGGATTGACCGGATTGTATTGAAAAAGATTTTTTTTTGGTTCTTTCGCATTATCGGGGGAGGGCGAACTTTTTTGTGTCTAGAAATGCCTATTAAGTGCATAGAAAGTGCTTTAATAGTGTTTTGAGTAAGCTATAACTATATCCTACTATATATAAAAAAATAGTGTTTGTGTGTGTGTCTGTGCCACTTTGCATACAACTTCCGTCACCGTGTTCCAGTAGTATCTCAAGAAGGGAAATACTTAGTGGTATGTTCGATACGTCATTAGATGCGTATTGGTCAGGAGATGACTGCACGCATATGATATTTAACAAAATCACCTATTTTCACTATTAAATTTCAGTTTTTGTTGTAAAATTGGAGAATATCTTTGTTAGGAATCAATTAGCATGCGCCGGATGTGGCGATCGTCCATATAACGGGAAAGAGGATCCGCTTTTCATTTTTGCTTATCGGAATCCAGGAAAATCATGCAAAGTGGAGAATATTCTAGGGTCAGACGGGGCCAGGGTTGAAAAGTCGCGAAGCGGCTTTTCAACCCTGGTTTCAATCATAAAAACTTTGAAAAAAGTCGGAATTTTGGTCCAAAATCTGCCCTTTTCGGTCGAAAAATCGATATTTTTGATAGTTTTTAATACAATTTGTATTTGTATTTTTCACGTTTAGGAATAGTAGAAAACTATTTGGAAAGAGTTGCACTATTTATATTTGAAAAATTAGATCCTAAGAAAAAAAAGTTGCCCCCCCCAGCCCCCGATAACGCGAAAGAGCCGAAAAATCGATTTCAATACAATCCAGTCAATCCGATCGATCGCCGGTTTCCTCAAATACTAACGCTTTTTTACAGGGCGAGCCGGCAGACGCCTACAAATGCGCGGCGCTGATCGAAAGCTGGGAACCGTGGAGGGTGAGCTTCCCGAAGTGGGGCGCTTCCGTCTTCCGCTTCTACCCGGATCTGGCGCGCCTACTAAAAGATATCAGCTACATCGGCCTGTTCCGCTTGCCGATCCGCTGGCTCAGCGAAGTCCCGGAGTGGAACCTGACGTGTGTCGACCTGAAGATTGCCACCGGTGGAAAGGACATTGTTATCCAGCTGGCCAACGTGTTCCGCGCCCTCTGCGACCAGTGGATCTCGTTTCAACGCTCCGAATTCTGCCTCCAAATCTACGTCAAGGACTCGCCGCTGGCGCTTGCTGAAGTGCTGCAAATTTTGGAGCAGGACGGTTACGCCCTGCCGATCGTCCGCCGTGATCGCTGCCGGTTGACGTACGGACACTTCCTGAACCGCCTGCTGATGCGCGGCCACTATCCAGAATGAGGTATCTCACGTTGCTGCCTGATCTCATTGTTTTGTTCGTCGATACTTTTTAATTTTTCAACGTTGTCAATAAATTGTTTTGTCGAAAAAGCTGTGGATAACGCAAAAAAAAGGTAGTTTTGGGGGCGCTCCACGCTGCACGATTTTTTAGCGTCAGAATATTGCGCAGCTTCTCAAGCGCGTTTTTATAACCCTCTGGCTTAGAGCGCGCTGCGCGGTTTCTAAACATTTTTCTAAAAGAAATTTGTCCGCTCTTCAGTAAGCGACGAGGCGTGGAGAAACAAAGTTGGCAAACAGCGCGCAACGCCGCTGAAAAAAATGCAGAATCCTAGGTAACGAGTGGTCTTTTATTTTAATGGAATCCCCTGATGAAAAAGCTACACGTTCCAAATGATAAAAAGCACACTTAAGATTTGTATTTACAACGAAATATTTATTAAGACAGTACAGTAAAATGCGAATGCGTGATAAAGGCCAGGCCAGCGTCCTAATACGTGTGCATATAAAAACGATCCTTGTACGGGCTCATCCAGATGGAGCGAATACATCCCGAGTACAGAACCGTGCCATCAGGACGTTCTACTGCGTGCCGCGCTCCGAGCCGTGTGGAGATGCCGCCGACCTCAAAAGAATCGTCGTTGGTAAGGGAGTTGACGCGGACGATCAGGAAGAGTGCGTGGCGCTCGGATGACATCCACTGGTCGTAGAGCTTCTGGCACATGGACTGAAGCTGCAGGACGGCATTCTTTTCAGCCGTGTCGACGGAGAAATCCAGCTCCTCAAAGCCCCAGTCTGGAATGTCGCTCAACCATGCAACGGGGAGCTCGTAGAATTTTAACCGCTTCACATCCTTCAGAACGCGGGGGAGCTCCGGGATCGCGTTGATGACTTCAGCATTCCAATCCGGAAAGTCGACGTTTGACGGTTTCCATTTTTCGATCAATCCAGCGCATTTGTGGGCATTTTCCGGTTCGCCCAGAAAGATCAGCCGGTCTAGGCGCAGATCGGGGGCTATCGTCGTCTGCACGTCGTAGCGGAGCTCGTGCACAGTTGAGCCCGTCAGCAAAATCTCCGCCTCGCTGTGCGTCCAGCTTGAATATCCTGGGTTATGACCATAATGCCCCACATAGATGCCGACCTCGTTCGAACGACAATCCACTATATCGAAACGTTTGTCGTTGAGGTTCCTCGTCGCCCGTAGTAGATTGGGATGGCATTTGGCGACTGATACGAGGGCATTCTCATCAAGCGGCTGCAAGATTGGCCACAGCAGATCGTAGGGAAGGTAGCAGATATTGACCGAAGTTTTGTTGGCCGCTGTGGTATCGTCTCCCTTGTATTCGGCATTTCCCAGCAAAACCTCGGCTTCCCAGTCCTCAAAAGTTTCGTAGTCGATGATGGCCTTGCCGTTCGCTAGATGAACGATTTCCCAACGCTTTCCGGGCCAATCGACGACTTGTTGGCGCAGAATTGGATGCGATTTGGCCATTTCGAGCAGGGCACGGGCCTCCAGCGGTCCAAAAACTTCGTACATCAGATTGACGGGCAGGTCGAGCAGTGTCTTCTCGGCTTCAATTTTGCGGCGCTTGACATTTGGCGATTGTAGATCGTCGGGAAGAACGTCAGCCATTGCCTGAAAAATGGGAATATAGTTGTTTAAAAGAAAACAAACAGAATAATAAAGAAAACATAGAACAATTCTCATAGATTGACCAGCAACGGAGCGGGGAGCGAGAGCAAAAAAGCAAATTTATCGGGGAAAGCTTAGTTTAGTGTTAGAATTATTAGCTTGGCGAGCGCTGCGGAGTTTCTAGATTGGATTTCATATGTTTTTGCCCTGATCATCCGCGCAAATAACACTGTTTTAGCAAAAAGAGTCGCGCTCGAAAGCTAGTCGGTATGCCGCAGCAATTTTCGCTATTTTCGGCCAAGCGCTTTCTTACTCGCTAAAAAGATATAAGCCGAATCTCCTTCAATTGATCGGTTACAAATATTGATCAGTAGGTGACCGAAATAGTGCTGGTTTTGTGCGACAATGTTTTCAACGAAATATTTATTAAGGCTGTTCAACAAAATGAGAAGGCATCACAACAGGAAGGGATCAAAACACATGCACTGTCATCCAAACACGAACCTCGCGAGGAGTACGGCGAGCGTTTCCCCGCTTGGCCATTTTATTATATCCCAAAGCATCGTATCCCCAAGTCAGAACCCAGCAATCAGATCGTTTGGCTCGGTATTGGATTCCGGGCTGTACAGAGATTCCGTTCACTTCAAAAGAACGGATGTTATGCGAGTTGCCGTAGATTTCCAAGTCGATTCCGTCCCGTTCGGATGCAATCCATTGGTCGTAAAGCTTCTGGAACATGGATGTCAGCTGCTGAGTAGCATTCCTTCCCTCAGAATCCAACCGAAACTTTAGTATAGAAAAGTCCCAATCCGGAATGTAGCTCAACCATTCGACGGTTAGAACGCTTATGTTCAGCCGTCCGACATTTTTCAGCGCCCGAGGGAGTTCCGGATTCGAGTTGAAGGCTTCAGCATTCCAATGCGGAAAATCTATTTTTTCAGGCTTCCATTTGTTGATCAGTTCCGCACATTTGTAAGCCATTTCTTGGCTTCCCGCAAACATCAACTTCCGTACACGCATATCCGGGGCGATATCTGCCAGCACGTCGTACCGCAGCTCTCGCACATCGGCGCCGGACAACAGCACTTCCGCCTCCAGTTGTGTCCAGACCAACGGGTTTTGCCTCGCGAGCCAAGAAGTGCCAGACAGCAGAAAAACCTCTGCATGGATATTCACCTCGTGGAAATATTTTGTCCTCAGGCTCTTTGTCGCCCGCAGAAGATTGGGATGACATTTGGCTAGCGCCATCACTTGGTTTCCATAGAGCGGATCCATGATTTGCCACAGCAAATCGTAGGGAAGGTCGCAGATGTTGGTCGAAGCTCCCGTGCCTGGCGAGCTGTGTTCCTCCTTGTATCGAGCCTTCTCCAGCAAGACCATCTCATCCTCCCAAGAAAAAACTTCATAGTCGATGACGAGCTCGTAATCCGATCGGTAAAGCATTTCCCACGCCTTTCCGGGCCAATTGACGACTTGTTGGCGCAGCCTTGGATGCGATTTGGCCGTCTCTAGCAGACTGCGGGCATCCAGCGGGCCGAACACCTCGTACATCAAATCAGCTGGCAGATCGAGCAGTCCCTTCTCAACGCGAGGCTCGCGGTCGCTGAGATCCATCGCTTCAAGCTTGTCCAAGAATTCTTGCTCCATTCGTGCAGACGTGCCTGGAAAAGTTGATATAGTTGCGTGAAATGTGTGAACCGGAAGTCAATCGGATAAAACTAAAATGCTTTAGTGAATTAGTAGCTTCCGGCTTACAGAAAAAGGTGTAAAAAGCGCGCTATCTAGGGGAAGCTATACGCCGAAAGTCGCTAAATTAGTTAAAAAGCTATTTATTTAGTTTTTGCTAGCTTTCCCCCTTTTTGGCGCTTTAAACCCCGTTTTTCAAACGTCCAAAACAAAAAAAATGTAGAAAACCGGCGGTATCCAAGAGCTACTTTACGCCAGAAGTATCTAAATTATCAATAGATCTTTTTAACACATTTTTATGTATTTCACCCCTGATTTTCGGCCAAAACCCCCATCTTTTCAAAATTTTACAGCAAAAAAGTGTAGAAAACCGACGGTCTCCAGGGGTGATTCGAGACAATGCCCTCACCCACCGCCCTGCCACACACGCATTTTTGAGCAAAACGAACGCCAGGCTTTTTGGCGTAACTTTTGAAACTTAGAAGAGCTAATGGGCGAAATAATCTTAATATTCATCTTTTTACTACTTTTGGCGCTTTCGAAAGCGCAAACGACGTACACCTGTGAATGCCAGGGCGGTACCACGGATCCGGATAATTCGTGTAATATTCAGGTCAGTTAAAAGTTATAAATCGTGGATTTTCTTTAGTATAATGGCGCCACGTTCACCGTAAATTATTGCACGTGCGCCGATGGGCTGGAGAGCACGTGGAAGAACGTCAGCGGGACGTATCTGGCGTACTGCCAGCAGTCGGAGATCTGGTGTAGGTTTTAGTACAGAAAAATAGTCTCTTATTATGTTTTTAGGTTTATTCTGCGTGAAAAAGCTTTAAAAATAGTTTTATAGACGGGCGGGTTTTTAGCCCTCAGGCAGGTTGATTCCCGGGGCGCGCAATAGCAGTGACAGCCTTTTAGGTCGCGTAATGCAACTGATTACTCGATGTTTTGTTGAAACAAAAACTATTATAAGTGTAAGAAACTATATTGCTTTCATCGCAAGTTTATTTTATTTTACAGTTACAGCTACAAGAATATTATAATCACATGCACAACGGCTTATTGCTCGGGTCGACGCTTTACAACGGGGCGCTAAATCTTTGCTTGCTTGTACGTATAAAACCAAATATTTTGGAAACAGCAAGACGCATCACACAAGGGTGCATCAGGATTAACAGGGGAATTCTAAAATCAGTTCTGACTTGTGACTTTAGGGTATCCACTCCAGAAGCTTTCAGGCCACACTTCCGAGCGGTACACGATGAAAAGTAGGGTTTCCTAAGTTAACATAGGTTTAAGAAGCGCAATTATGAATCGAACATGGTTGGGCTGAGAAACTAGGAGGTTTTCAACAAATAGACCAGAACTATCCAAAACTAAGCCGCTTCTTTCTTTCCAAGGCGAACTTCCTGTAAGCATAGTTTTAGCGCTGATCTTACGCTGTCCGGCAGCAGGAGAATTCTGAACAACAGGCCTGCCTTGGTTCCGGTTACAACAAAGCATACTTTTACAAATATGAAATACTTTATTCAGAGTGGTCGTCGAGTCCGGAAAGGTATCGGTAAAATTTTGCGCGAAGCATACATAGTCATGATTTTGGCCCAAATTTTTTTCCGTTGATTGCACCCGTGCTGTCAAGCCGAGAAGCTAGAAGGCTCGACAAAATATATTTGATAATGTCTCCCTTGCGGATGCGTCTTGCTTTTTCTAAGATATTTGGTTTTATACGTACAAGCAAGCAAAGGTTTTATCGCCCCGTTGTAAAGCGCTGCCCTGATCATATATACAATGAGCCGTCGTGCACGTTATTATACTATTCTTGCCGTTAAAATAAACTTGCGATGAAAGCAATATAGTTTCTTACACTTATAATAGTTTTTGTTTCAACAAAACATCGAGTAATCAGTTGCATTACGCGACCTAAAAGGCTGTCACTGCTATTGCGCGCCCCGGGAATCAACCTGCCTGAGGGCTAAAAACCCGCCCGTGTTTTATAGCCTTTTAAAGTCCAAATTTTGGTTTGTAAGGTAGGAAAAAGAGCCTAAAAAGCTTATAAACATGATTCTGCGGGCTAATTGAGGTAAAATGATTGTTGTTTAGGTTTTTATAAAGTATTACTAGCTTCTAAATCTCTTAAAATACTTTCTAAAGCCTTTTGCAGAGTTTTTAACGATATTTTTCGATCTTTGGCCTTTTTAAATCTATTTTTACGAGTTTTTAGACAATTTCCGCGTCAAATTTTCAGCTTTGCAAATTCTAGTAGATTTATTGGCCCTGATTTAGGGCTGACACCGTATTCTGTAAAAGAAATCTGATTTTTAAGCGTTATACCGCTGCAACACGGCCTACCTGTCCGACACGTGGAAAACGGTGACGAAATGGGCGATCGTGGCCACGTCGGGATTCGTGATTTTCATGGTTTTCATCGTGATTATTATGAACTGTATGCACAAGTTGGTTTTGGAAAGCAGGTCGTCAAAATTTTAATTATTTAGAAGTAAGGGCCCGCAGCGGATGATTCATCTCTTCGAGGAGCTGACGATGGTCGTGCTTTTCCTGGCCATGGGCATTGCGCAGTTTTTCTTTTTGACGAAGGAGGTTTGGAAATGAGCTTATTAAATCGGTTTTAACGTTTTAAATAATTTGTAAGTCTTTTTAAGCGTTAAAAATTTGCCTAAAAAGCTGTAAGTTGAGCGAAATAAATTTCACAAAACCTCGTTGTACAGCTTTTGTTGTCCCTAAACGAGCTTAACGCTCAAATTTAATTTTTCATAAACTACAAACTATAGGTTTTAGACATGCTAGAGCATAGAAAAAACCTAATTTTTGCAAAAAATCGGTTAAAAACTATTTTTTTTTACAGAAAACTGGGAAATACGTTTAATGGCGTAATCAGTTAATTCCTGTAAATTTCAAACTACAAAAATTCCAGATGCCATGCAAAATCGTGACGATCGCCATCCAATTCACGATGACACTGCTAGCAGGGCTCTTTTTGATGGAGGGCCTTTTTGCGCAGGGGTAAGTAGCCTATTTTTACCTCTGAATTTATCAAATTTAATGCATTTAATTTCAGCATCCAGTTTAACAATTTAACCAGCCAAAACCCGTTCAGAATGATCAACTACTCGAAGCCGAAAAACGCGGGGCTGGGCACACCGATGAGCCTCTTCATCTCGTTGATCATTGCCGCCATCTCGACGGGGGCCACGTATTTTTTGCAGCACAAATATTATGCGGTCAGCGGGTTGAGGTAAGGGTTACGGTAGTTGTGGCGTGATCTAGGAAGCGCCCAAATCGACCCTGCCATCCACTAGGTCTAGACCGCTACGCGAGACGTCAAATGACACGTTAATTTGTTCATCTCATGCTTTTGAAGGCGTTGTTTAGAGTATCCGGTAGCCGTCTGGACCTAGTGGATAGAAGGGGTGACAATACTGTCCCTCTAAAAGTCCATTTTCAGTTGCCACGCCGTGACCTCCGTCGGGATGATGTACGGCTTCATCATCCCCGTTTGGCTGCTCGTCTTCCTCGCCGGGGTTATGGTGATTTTTTTTGAATTTTCACAGAATATCGATCGATTTGCAGGCTCAACGCGGTCTCCTGAAATGCGTGAAAGTGCAGTACGACTCGGATCTCGAGCAGGTCTACTGGGCATAGTAGGTTTTTGGCCAAAAAACGCGGATCTTCGTTTACAAACATCAGATTATCTAGAATTTCCGGTTTTGCGATTAATTACGGTATGGAATTCGTAGAATTTGCTTCTTGGAACTTTCAAAATTTTTTAACATAGATTACGTCATGAATTTCGGTCGCTGAAATTTATAAAGTCTAGTTTTTCGAATTTTGTAGCGTATTAGAATCGATTACGATTATGATTTTGAGCTTCAGCATTCGATTACCCCATGAAATTCGGTCCTAATTGGCTGTAAAATTAGTAATTTAAGAAAAAACTAAATTTATGCATTTTTTTCAGTAAATCAGCCAAAGTTTTGGTCCCGTTTTCGACGCTCGTCACGACGATCTACGTGCTGATTATGTTTGGATTAGATCAGCAGCGGTTGGTTCCAGTTTTTTAATCTACCATCTCTTAAGAACTTTATATAACTTTTAAATGGGTGGTAAGAATTTTTTAATTAGCACCTCGCTTTTTAAAAAGCCAAATTCGGTGGATTTTAGGTGGTACGTCCTGATACTGGCGGCAATTCTGAACGTCATCCTAGCCTTCTACCTCTACGTCGCGCACACATTTTCGCAGCAAAAGGTGGGCTTGTTGGGATAAATTCTCGACGTCAAATTTAGCTAGCAAAAAAGAAGGCGCCAGGACCGGGCGGGATTTACCGGCAATGTCCGAAGGATAAGCAGGTCAGTGGAAAGAATATATTTGAAACGGAAGGCATACGAACAAATCCTTCTGATTACATTCCACGCCCCGAAATCTTGGCGGTCTAAGGGCTAGGCAACGCGGCGCTCCTATCGACTCAAAAATGTATGGGGCTAAAACTTTGAAGGCTTATATCTTGAAAGATATGGCCGATCTTCAAAAACGCGAATTCCAGTCTTGTAGAAGGGAACATAGCGATTATAATGATACCAAGCACTAACAAAACTGAATTTAGAAAGTATGCTAACGAAGGCGGTTTTGGTGGGTGACTTTGTGAAAAGTGGTATTACGGAGGGCTAACCTGCTGTCTTTGGTATCATTCGAACCGTAATTTACTCTGCAATAATTAATGTTGGCTTTTCAATATTAAGTCGGTTTGGAAAGCTTATAAGATTTTAAACCTTTTGACGCGCGCTACGCCCGGCTCCAATTGACGCTTTTGCCCCTCCCGGCAAATCGCCGTTTTTGGCCTGTTTGATTGGCCGTGATTCTTTAAATGGTTTAGAAAAATTTAATAAATTCTTTGTAAAATCATTTTTTGAAACTTTATTTTCTATAGAATATAAAATTGATAATTTTAATAAGGGTTGTTACCTTTTAACGATTTTTTTACTTCAGGACGACAACGACAACCCCGATTCGAAATCGGATGCCGCCCCAGCACCCGAACCCACAGAAGCAATTCCGGTCGATGCACCACCAGCTTATTAAGAAAGAGGCAATAAATAAAATAAAACAAATGTGAATAAAGTGGTACCGTATTCGAATCAAAATACAAAAATCAAAAATCAAATTTCAAATTTTTTTTTGAAAAGCAGTGGTTTCTCAAAACCCCACTTTAATTTTGAGGGCTTTCATACAATTTTTTACAATTTTTATTGATCGAAAATAACTATTAAATTTTGATAAAAAACGATAGAATCAATACAAAAAAGCTCTTCTAATACGTTTTAATACGATTTTTTGTCAAATTAACCCATAAAAACTCCAATTTTAAATTTTGGATTTTTGATCATGTTCAGCCCTGTTGTTGTCCAAAAAATGAAACCAAGCCAAAAGTTGCGAGGAGCATCACGGATTCCGAGGTGTCCTAGCAACCCTACCGTAGCCTCCTCAAAAATTCTGGCTCCAAAAGGGGTGAAGTTCCGTGGCACAACGCCTATTCACAACCACGAAAATGTTCGGGTTAATTCTAATTTTTATTCCGACGATAATATGGGTGGAGGCGACGACTAGTGAGTTGAATTTTGTCAGGACATTTGAAAAAGTTAAAAATTTTTCGAATCACGGTTAGCTTCCTAAATGATTTCTGCTACTTTGTCTTGCGAAAGCGCTTTATAAACGGTAGCGGCTAGCCTAGCTCCTGGGGCCAATTTCACAAAAGATCGCTGCTTGTCTTACCGGGCTCTTTCCTAAAGGATCGCCGCTAGTTTGCCTCAAATGAGCCGTTTCCCTAAGGATCAGTGCTAGCTTGCCTTACAGGGTTTTTCCCAAGGGATCACTGTCAGTTCGACTTTTTGCACGATTTTGCCAAGAAAGCCTAAGATCTTGAGCCTCTTTCAGCGACCACGACAACAACAATGATGACGACAACCACCGTCGATACGAGCTATTCGTACATTTGCGTGTGTGACAATACGTCACAAGTTGTCGCGGGCACCGGATGCTCGATTACGGTAGGAAAATTGAAGCTGAATTGCGGTGTTATTTACCCTATTTTGTACAGAATTTTTCGCTGAATACGATCCGAATTTTCGCTGAATTTAAATTTAATTAATTATGTCTATTTCAAAAGTTACAAAGCTTTTTCTGAAAATATGCTTAAAAATTTACCGTTTTATGGCATAAAACCGGCTATATTTTTTTAAAGTTCAGGATTGGACAAAAACTGATGCCGTATTCAAAATCAGCGTAAAATTTTTTACAAAGAACGCCGGTTAACGTTCGAAAAAGGCGGTCTGAACACGCGAAAAATCCAAAAATACGATTTTTCCAATTTTCAGGGCTCCGACACGGAAGTGAATTACGCCGGTTGTTCATGTGCTGACGGGACGGATATCCAACCAAAGCAAGTATCTGGTATCTGGGTACTGTATTGTGGAGATGAACCGACTGGGAATTATACTGGATATACAACCACTACTACGACCACTGTCAGTACCTCTACGGGTAAGTTTTTTGCAGACTTAAACACAAAAAGATGTATTTTTTTTGATTCGCTTAAATCATTGTTTTTTTTCAGACTGCGAAGACCTGGATGAAGACGGGGAATGTGACGAGGCACAAGCATTACGGTAACTTTAAGAGGGCATGGTCAGGATTCCAGGGACGACCGCAATGCAACCGCGTGCGACCCTTTTTAGCCATTTTCAAGGCGGGAGAACGTGCGAAAGTGCCAATTTTGAGGCTAATTCTGGCATTCCCAGGCATCGCATTGAGCGCTCCAGCGCTTCTAACAATCAATTTTGCACGCTAGAGCCATTACGCCATGTTATCCTGAGGCGCGGAATCCCTTTACCAAAAGCGTTTAATTTTTCTCAGGAATTTGGCGTTTTGTTTCGCCAGAAAAAGTATTTTTGTGCACTTTTAGTCAGCAAACTTGGGTTTTTGGCCTAGGTTCTATGCACGAGCTTCCAAATTTTGCCCTGCATGCTCCTTCAATATTCCAAAAAGGGTATATTCAGCTGTACGACACGATACATGTCGGAGAGCCTATACAAAATATTCAAATGGGCATTTCTGGTGATGTTTATATGGATTACCGGATGGGTGTTGGCTACGATATTTGTCAACATCAAGCATAAGTCGGTTTTTTTGAGTTTTAAAGGGACTGGGAAATGCAAAATCGACCCATGCCTGTGGCTAGGTCTAGACGGCTGCGCAATACGCCGAATGACACTTCATGGTTTCTTAAATTTTTGCCCTGAGGATCAGTCCGTTGCGGTCAGCAAAATAGGTCCAGATGTGTCATTTGGCGTATCGCGTAACTGTCTAGCCCTAGTCGAGGAAAGGGGTCGATTCTCACGCTTTCTTGTCCCTTTAAAATCGGAATTTTCACTGCTTCACGCTTTTTTCAATATTTTAATTTCAGAAATACCGGGCACCACCGCTACATCCATCTTTTTGAGGAGATTTCGATCGTTTTGTTATTTTTGACGATGGTCGGGCTGCAGTTGTTCTTCAACATCAAGCAGGTCGGCAAAATTTTTTTTTCATGAATTTTTAAAACTTTAAATTCGACAAAAAGCTTTTTTAAATAAAATTTTAATTGGCCCAAATTAAAAGAAATTATTTTATTTAAAACAAAATTTGACAATTTTTTCAGAATCCCTGCAAACTCCTAAAAATCCTCTCGCACCTCTTCATGGTCGTCACTTGCGGAGCGTTCTTTTTTGAGGCCTGGTTCGCCAATTCGTGGGTTTTTTTTTGCCATAATTACCGTACTTACAGTAGCTACAGTATCCCCGAAAACCGAAAAGTGTCATTTTTCAGTCTGATCAACGCGAATTCCCTGAAAAACGGCAGCGTCCCGGCTTTCCTGAACTATTTGCTGCCCGTCGTGATGGGTGTCGTCGTTTCGCTACTTTCATATTTTGCGAAAAAGACGGAATATGCATTGAGTGGATTACAGTAAGACGCCGTTCGAACCAAATCAAATTAATTTAGCTGCTTGGCGCCGACAAATGCTGAAATCTTATGGGCCTACTGTATCCCGCCGTGGATTCTGTTGATGGCCGCGTCGTGGAAGGTAAGGAAAAATTTGAATGTAGTTTTATTAGCAAATGGTAAAGGGGTAGGCTAGCAAAGACCATTTCGGGCGCTAGGAATTTTGCGAGATTCCTGAAAAAAATCGGAAAGCTAGTCGCGGGATGCCCAGAGGCAGAGTGTCTAGTCGGAGGCTAGCAGATGAGACTTTAGAGACAAAAATCAATTACAAATTTGGTTGAATTGCGTTGGAATAATAGCAGTGTGCCGTGAGGAAATCGGGCAAGCTGGCATAGATCCTTTAAAAATGTAAAATTTTTGAACTATCCGAATTTTAGGTGCAAACCGCCTTTCTGCAATGCCGAAAATTCGACCCGAAAAAAGCCGACGAGAAGCAGATCTACTGGGCATTGTGGGTTGCACAACATTTTAGAAAAAAATTCCGACAAAAAAAATTTGATTAATAACGATAGCGACGTACGGTAATTCCAAGCGTGCCAAAGTTAAAAAGTTATATTTTGAAATTCGAAGCGCGCGGGATACGGTAAGACGTAATAACCAAAAATCCCACGATCTCAGGATGAAAAATCTTTTTAAATACCTAAAAAAGTACCCATTTCAATTAGCAAGCCACCCTGCAAAAATTTAGGGTACTGTAATCTGTAAAACGCTCGATAAAACGAATCTAACATCTTTGCGCTCTCCAGGAATATGGCAAAACGGCATAAACGAAATTTTCGAGTCGATAAGTTCGCTTCATCATATAGAAAATCGCACCTACAAAGTTTCGAGAACCACGCAAAATCCTTCATAATTAATAACGCCACTTAATAAAAGCTAAAAAATTGTAATGCTGAGGGATACGGTACAAACCCAACTACGAAACTTCTGGGGTTTTTAAGCCTAACACCCCATTTAAATCCCTAAAAAAGTACACCTACCTAATCCGGAAATCGTTCCCCCGGTTTCGAAAAACCCCCGTAAAATTAAGGGCATTTTGGCATAGCGAGAGGCGTCAACAAAAAAAAGTATACTGATAGTGATAGCGAGAGGTCGGGGGAAACCCCCCTCTAGAGGGTCAGCTTTTGCCCTTTAGCCCTTTTTCAGGGCAAAAAAAGATAAGAAGTACTGCCTCGTGTCGTGTCGTGTTGCTATACTTTTAAAGTACACCCACCCGGCCGTAAAAACAAAACTAAAAGCATGACAAATCCGGGGATTTCAAGGCGGACTTTTCGGGAATAAACAAGCGGAAATGCCGGTTTTGAAGGTCCTAGCGAGGCTAAAATGAAGTGAAAGGGGGCGGGGCTTAAGGTTTAGATACCAGGAAAAATACGTATATTTTAAGGAGCCTTATTTAAAATGTTTTCTATAACGTTTCACCTCTTTTAAATTTGATTGAACAGATTTTAAGATTTGAGTTGATGCTCTCTTTCAGCCGATCAGCCCGTGCTCTTCCTCCATTCGGATGGCTTCTCTTTGGCATCTATATGTCGATGATCTTCGGCATGGATCAGCAATTATTCTGGGTTCTCGCGCTCGCCATTGTGATGATGATCATCTACGGGCCGGCCATATTCTTCGTTCACACTTATGGACATATTAATGTGAGTTTATGACTGTTTCTCTCTCTCTCTCTCTCTCTCTCTTGTTCTCTCTCTCTTACTCTCTCTTTCTTTCTCTCTGACTCGAAAATCGCCTATTTCAGACTCAAAAGCTCTACCACCCGAAATGGTTTGGATTCTACACTCCCTGCCCTCCAGATCAGCCACGCCCATCGTCGCCCTCACTTTCTGATGATGAGGTGGGCAATTGAGAATGCCTTTTAATGGTTGCAATTTGAATTTAGAGTGAATCCACGCCGTTGCCGGATGATCCGAAGAAAGATCCTGATGCTCCCCCACCGGTTCCTGGAGGTTTGAAGTTATCAGATATCTTTTTCCCTTGTCTATCTCTCTTTCTCTCTCTCTCTCTCTCACTATCTGTTACTGTCTCACTTTTTGTCTCATTCTCTCGCTTGATCTCTGTTCCCTCGTCCACTCTCTCGCTCGAGAAAAGTGGTAGAAAGTGACTCGACTGGTAAAGGAAGAAAGAAACGGAGAGTCTGAATGAGGGTGAGAGAAACAGAGAAGAAAGAGAGCGAGAGAGAAGATAGATTTGGTGAGAGAGAAGCCGATTTTAATCCCGATCCAAAATATGAATTTTAGAGAAGCCATCTCAAAAACCTGGAGCACCACCACCACCAGGAGCGGTAAGTTTTTGTAAATTTTGCTTTTCATAAAAACGAGAATTTTGTGATTGTCTTGCATTGAGGATGATTTTAATTCCGGTTTTTAGCCCCCAGCCGCCCCCTCCGGTCCAACCCACGCGAAGGCGCAGAACTTTTACGACTGGCTGCTGAATGGGCAACAGGGACCGAATATGGGCCAAGAAGGGGCCAATATACTGTTCAGGCCCAGGCATTGAAGATAAAAAAACTCGGTCGTTTCTCTCTCTATCTCTCTCACGCTCTCTCTCACTCTCTCTCACTCTCTCGCTCGTCCTAAAAAATTGTGTATGTTAACAAATTGCAAACAAGAGAAAATAGACAGGGTCTATTTGAGCCAGTTTGCACGTCGCGTAGTTGTCGAGACCTTGTCGAACGAGAGGGTCGATCCTGGGACTTTTCAGCCCCTTTAAAACTGTTTTCTGATATTTCCGTGCCGTGAAAATACCCGCCCGCTGATTCATATTTTGTGCCCATGACCGGAAAACCCATTATCTGGGGTTGCCCTTTGGCACAAGTTGTGTATTTTTGTGTATCCCTATCTGAGCCTATCCACCCGGTGTTCCTCTAATCCCTTCTGTCAACTGTACAATCACGGATTAAACTGTTGATCAAAACAGCAGATTTCTTGTTTATTAAATCAACAGAAATCACGTAGTTACGAAATTTGCAAAAAGCTGCAGCTGGTTTGCATGCAGCAAACTGAACAATTGTGCAAGATTCGTTTTTGAAGGGACCTTGGATGCAACTTTCCGGCGTGGCAATAGATTTTTGGATGCTGAAATATTGAAAAAACAAAAGTTCATCTGTTAAAAATTGCGACAAAAATACCTGGAAGAGAAAAATTAGGTTTTTAGATATTAGACGAACCGCCATCTGTCCCAGAATCCCGCAGGTTGTCAGGAAAAATTTGAAATGGGTTTAAAGACGAATTGGCAAGCAGGCAAGTCGCTCCGGAGTTCCAACCGCAATCCCAACAGCTCAAGATTTTTCGTACTCGACATAGGCTCCATAGAGCTGCAAATCACGGTTTAAAATACCGGAACTTGTCTTCGCTCTCTCTCGCTTTCTCTCCTTCTCTCTCGCCCCCCCTCCATCTCTCTCTCTTTCTCACTCTCTCAAAATTAAATTTCACACATTTGGACAATTTGCCAAAGTCCGTTACGCTCCCTTTTTCGCAAACTTTTCAGGATTCCAACTAATCCGATTGCCCCCTGGATTTTCTCAATTCTGCAACATTTGATAAGCCGTGGTGACACGACGCGACCTAGATGTCCCCCGGTTCAAAGTCATCTTGTCTTATCCGTCCTTCTGACTGTCTATTCTAATCTTCGTGAGACTCTGCAGACAAAGAACAATGCAACTCTGCACCTGCCAATATCAGACTTCCGAAAGCCGTTCCGTTGCCCTCAAAAATTTCCATGAAAAATCCACAAATTTCGGTCCCGGTTTTGGAAGATGTCTGGCCGAGAGAACGAGATACAAAAAAAGACAGAGAGGGAGAGAGAGCGCGAGAGAGAGAGAGAAAGAGAGAAAGTCGAGTAGTTGTAAAAATAAAAATAGCAGGGCGATCTGGAAGTCCGTGAGATCTTTCTGGTCAGCCGATCGGTCATTGATAGTATTTTTGGGGGTTTGGGGGTTGATAACCCGTAAAATGCGATCATTGCAATTTTAAGGTCAATTCAATGAAGAAGGAATCGGAGGCCGCCTTTTTTTGAGCATCAGGTAATTGGCCGGGTAATAAGGGCTTGGCATAGGACCCGGTCGACCGGGTACCCGGTTCAAACGGGTACCCGGCGGACCCGGCCGACCAATTACCCGCTGGAGTCGGGTAATTGGACGACCGGGTCCGCAACCGGGACCTAATCGAGACCTAGTCGATACAAGGGGTCGACTTCCAAGCTTGCCGGTCCCTTTAAGGCTACACTTTATTGACTTACAGTTTTTCAAAACAGAACACTCGAAAAATTCGAATGTTTGTTTTTATTTTGATTTCCGGTGCGCTACACTGACGTCTCGCCGAGCCCACGTGCCCAACAACACAAATTTTGACATGACGGCGTCAACACACCAACCTTTAATGAGCAACAAGCCCGTTCTCTTATCAGTTTTTCGGTGGCCATCAGCCGTACAAGGTCCCCTCCCCAGCGTCACCGACTTTTAAAGAGCGCCCCACTGACCGGGGAACCAAAAAAAAACCCGAAAAACGGGGCTTATCAGAAGCGGAAGGGGGATAAGTGTTTTTGTCTGGGTCAAACACGTGAATAACTTGTTCTGAAAATATTTAGTCAGTGATTTTTATAACCTGACTCAATGCGTCTCACTTTTTATAACAGGAAAGGGCAAATAACCTTTTCAAGGCGGAATTTCGAAGTGTGACACAAGGCGGATAAGCTGCAGACAAAACCAAACACGCTCTAAATAATCAGTTGCGTGAAATGTTGTGCAACTAATTCTAAGCGAAGAAAGTCATGAAAAATTACGAAATTCCGTTTGGCTGCAATCGAGAGTATCGAAACGTAGCATCGTAACGTATCGGTTATCGGAGTATCGGAACGGAAAGTTCTGAAAAAGCCTCAAGCGATTGCGATTGGTATTTTTTAATGAGAACATTGCTTATGGAGCTGACCAAGCCTAAATATGAAAAACCTTGCTAGCAAAACTACTGTAAGTTGGCACATCAGAACCTCTTGTAAAATCCGGTCTCAGGAACATTTGCAAAATTACGAAAGGTCCGAAGCACGATTTTTTGGGGAAAAACTATAGGGAAAACTGCTTCCTGTTCAGCAATTCGACGAATTACCAGTTCTCTTTGACCGATTACGGAGTTACCGGACACCGGTTCCAGTTCCTCCAGTTGTATAGAAACCACGCCGATTTGGACCGATAAATCCAGATCCAAGCTATTGTTATTTTAAGGATACCCAATTGCATGAAATTCTTCTAATCCTTCTTTTTATTACCGAGACTAGTCTGACCAGTCCGCTCGGTCCCTCACAATTCGTCTAAACACGATAAAAGATACATCTTGCCCTCTCGCGTTTGACTTCTGGTAGAAAAGTGCAAATAAGCACGCACTAGCGAATCGCTAGTAGTGATACAGAAGTACTTTCGGAAAAAAAGGAAAAGATTCCAACACTTGCCGGAGTTTCTCGAGGAGTTCATTACTTACGCTACTACTTACGTACGTCCTCGGCCGTCAAAAGGCGTGTTGCGTCGAAACGGAATTCTTACGGTTTCAATTTCCGGTTTCATCCCCTAAGACGCATCAAAAAATTATAGAAACGTATGTCGTGTAAGGCTTTTGATTTTTGGTTGTTATGAAATTTTTGAAACCATTTCTTGCCGCCGATTTTTTATCAATCATCGAGTACCTTCTGGCGTAGGATCTGCCAAAAAGTTGCGACCAGCAATTTGCACTTCTCAGACACCCAAAAATCCGGCTTTTCCAACTTGATTTGATTCATAACCGTTCAGTGGCCGATTAAAAGTGCAGTAAACTACTTTCGGACTGCCGGCCAAGGCAAATTTGGCTTTTTAACGTTTATTTGGGTTTTCTGGGTCACCATTCAATCCGTCTGGGGTATGTAGCTTCAACTACATTCTTTCTGGTTTCCAAGTGCACCATAACATTTTCTGACTGTCAGTTCACCCAAAAAACACGCCTGGAGGTCGCATTTTTAAAGGTATCGCCAAGTTGTCCTTTCAAGAGTACAGAAAACAGAAGGCGTTCTTCCAGGGCGAGAGAGAGAGAGAGAGAGAGAGAGAGAGAGAGAACGGCTTCCGAATGTCCTCCTAATCAGAAGAAGCATGATTTGCTTCTCGAGATGTTTATTTACCGTCTGATTCTGATGGGAAAGGGCAATTTTTGGGGGGCCAGAAGACGTGGGGGTGAGAGAGCACGTGGTGGGGGAGAGGGCAGAGAAAGGGCGAGAGAGCGCGTAAAGGGAGTGGGGGCAGACAGCGAGAGGGTGAGAAGCCCCCGCCCATACCTTTCGGAATATAATCCCATCCTTTCCGTCTCCATGGCATCAGAAACGATTAGGCAAATTTGCCGATTGGTAAACTGGCTGCCGGGCGGCTTAGATTTAAAGCGGCTTGGATTTTAAGCGGTTCCTGTTGATTTTTTCGGCTTTAGAATGTTTCATTTTCCTTCCATTCCAGTTTCCGTTCCGCTTTTCGCTAGTTTCAATTTTTTCGAGGATTTTTGATGGATATTTTTGTCTATTGCTAGGCAGTTTGTCGAAATTGAAAAAGAAATATAAATTTTACGATCCTTTTCGAAGTAAATTAAATTTTTCTAGATTGTTTATTTTTGTTTTTTCAACTTTTTTTGATTACTGTAAAAATATTGTTAAATCCAGTTTTCTATATATTTTTTTCAGACCCTTAAATGGACAGCCCATCTCCAACAAGCGCTCTTCTGGGGCGCCCGGACTTCAAGGGGGGCTACAAAACCCCCGGCATCGAGCAGTTCACAAGAGTGTAAGTCGTTTCTATAGATTATTTATTAAATAAAATAGTTTTTAATTGACCAAAAATTCGTGAAAAATTTATACAACTTTTTCAGACCAAAAATCGAGCCTCAATCCACCTCCCCACCCCTCAAATTGATCCTGATCGCCATCGCAGTCTGTATGGGCGGCAGTTTTCACTTTGGATTTCAGGTAAGAAAATCCGAAAAAAATTTGTTTCTGATTTTTTTGTACCGTTTACACGCCCCTTTTTTTGGCAAATCTGACGTCAATTTTTCAGTTGGTAATCACGAACCCGACGCAGGCCGTCTTTATCAAATTCGTCAACCAATGCCACTACGACCATTATGCCGTGCTGTTGGAGAAGGAGTCGCTTGATGTGAGTTTCATTTTCAGTCTGAATACGCATTAATAGATACAGTGGCATTTATTAGGCCTTGAAACCCTAAAAAATTAGCTATTTTTCATTTTCAGACGCTCTGGTCGACAATCGTGGCTCTCCTGTTCGTCGGCGCATTAATAGGCTCTTTCGTGCTCCGTTACACCGCCGAGAAGCTCGGCCGAAAGAACGGTCTCTATCTCTCGTTCTCGCTCGGCCAAATCTCGATTGCGATGGCCGTTGTGTCGTCTTGGGTGAGTCATTGAGTTTCACCGATTTTTGGCTTCGATGGGCCTGTAAATTCCGATTTATCTAATTTCCTAATTTTAGGTGTTCTCGTACGAGTTGTACATTGTATCTCGCATCATCCTCGGCATCTCAATCACGATGAGTCTCGGTCTATCAGCCATCTACCTGGCCGAGATCTCTCCGAAAAGCTGTCGCGGCAAGGTTGGACTCGTCACCGGAAGTGTCATCCAAGTTGGTCAGTCATTTTTAAGGTTTTTCCTGGTTTTCTCTCTCCGCTGTCTGTCTGTCTCTCGCTCTCTCTCTCTCTCACTCTCTCTCTCTTTCTGTTTAAAGATCCTAACCATCATCATTTTGTTTCCAGGCACCGTATTCGGCTCAATTATCGCGATGCCAAACGTCTTCGGAACCGAGGCCGCGTGGCCCCTGATCTACATCACCGAATTCGGACTGATGCTCGCCTCGTTCCTCTGCCTCCCGTTCTTGCCGGAGAGCCCATCGTATGTTGGTTTACATGTCTGCGACCGAATCAGCTAAAAAATTAAGCTTTCCCATGGAAAACTGTCGTTTTCAGGCTTCTCCTGTCGCGTGGTGACGAGTGGGCAGCGCGTCGTGCCATTCAGTTCTTCCACTGTTGCGATGAGATGACGGCGTTGAAGGTTATCGCTGAGATGAAGGTATGTATCCAAGCCTACGAGCTACAACTTGAGCGTAATTGTTGTCCATCGTACAGATCACACAAAAATAAGGCCAATTCATCCAAATCTTTTTCTAGGATGACTCCTCGCACTCGGAGAAGCCGCTCGGCATGATTGAAGTGCTGCAAGACCCGAAATTGAGGAAGCGGGTACGGTATTTGAAACAAAATGCGTTTTTTTACGAAAAATGTAATGGAAATTCGGAACTTTCTGCCTTCACCGCCCCTTTAAAACACTCCAATTTTTCAGACTTTCGTCGGCATGGTGGTCGCATTTTCGATGGCTTTCTCCGGCATTGCTGGTACGTTGTTAAAGGGCTTTCAAAGGACCATTTTTGCCGATTTTTCAATACTTACCGCATTCTTTACAGTAATCAACGGGTTCGCCGTGGAAATCCTACAAACGACCGGCCTCTCCCAGATGCAGGCTTCCGTGGCGAACGTCGGCTTCACCATCATCAGCTTGGTGAGTTTTTAGGGAATTAGATAGCGTAATCGGATAATCCGAGAAGATCGATTACGACATGTAAATAGGAATCCGCAAATCAGCAATTTATGCAAAATTTAACGATTTTAAAAGCCCGGCTGGCAGTCAGTTAGAGCCATGGACTACGCCATGTAATTCCGAAGCCTTGAAATTCGCGAATTTTATAATAAATTTAATTTTTCAATGTTTTCAAATCCAGAAAAGCTTATCTGCCTGGCAATTAAGCAAAAAATACCTGGAAAATTCATTTTTTAATAGATTACGACATTTTATACCTAGTTTGTTACTAAACCTGGCTCTTCCAATCGATTACGACAACTAAATCTAGCTAGCTCCAAAATGCTTTTTTTAGCGCAAAGCCGTAGCAGAAAACAGGGCCTTTTGCGCGGACATTATAACCGAACCCGAGGATGTCGCTAATGATGTCAGAATTTTAAAATTAACATTTTTAACTAACTTGTCAACAATTTACAGTCCCCTTTTTTCAGTTGGCCGTCTACGTGGCCGCCAAGGTGGTCGAGACGCACGGACGTCGTTCGCTGCTCCTCTCCACAAATACAGCCATTTTGGCGACGAATATCGTGATGGCCATCCTGATGCAACTTTTCAATATGACCAAGGTGGGTGACGGGGGATGTAAAGTGGAAAGGAGCGGAAAATTAGGGCTGGTAGCTAGCAGAGATTCTTTGGGAAGTGAAAAACTAGTCAAAGGTAGGTTTGCAAGGATCGTTTGGGAATTGGCAAGACCTAAAAGGTTTTGGCCAAGCTGGAGGGCAAGCTAGCGGAGATTCTTTAGGAAGCTAAAAAAGCCTGCGGGACTGGAAGGCAAGCTAGCGGTGATTCTTTGAGGATTGCTGCAGCTAGCAGATATACTTGAGAATAAAAACTCTCGGTGAAACTTGGAGCAAAATCAAAGCAAACTAGCCGAGATCCTTGGCGAATTGGGAAAGCTCCACACAAAAAAAAACAGAAAAAAGCACATTTCTGGTCAAACCAGGAGCAGGCTAGCAGAGATTCTGGGAGAATTCACACATCCAGCGGAGATTCTTAGGGAATTATTGCAAATAGCGGAAACTCTTGGAGAATTAACCGTTTTTTCGGTCAAAATGGGGGGCAGGTTAGCAGAGATTCTTTGATATTTCCCGAGACTCTCAAAAACTCTCGATTTTCAGTGGCAAGTGGTCGGCTGGCTGTTGATCCTGGACATTGCCGTCTTCACACTGTTCTTCTCCATCGGTCCGGGACCCCTCTGCTACTTTGTCTCCACCGAGTTGTTGCCACAAAAGGCCCGATCCGCGGCCCAGGGATGGACGGCTGCCGTGCAGATGGCCGCGTAAGTACCATAAAGCTGGATAATCCAACAAAAATTTGTTCAAAAACTGATCGATTCATTTTAGGCGTGCCTTCCTTTTGATGGCCTACCTGCCGCTGAAAAACTCGACGAACAACGCGGCGGCGTACGCGATACTTTTCGTGCTGCCGGTCGCCGGCTCGATCGCCTTCATGTACTACCAATTGCCTGAAACGAAAAACCGGACGCCAACTGAGGTGAGTAACTTCAGGAATTTGGCACCCAGAAACGCTAGAAACGGATTTAAAACCTGAAAAACGTACTTTTATCGGCTAAAAACCGTAAAAAAAATTTGCTTTTTCGGCTTTTTTCCACCTCTAAAACGCTATAAATGCCCTTGGCTTCAAAACTTCCGGCTAAGATACCATTAAAAATTCACTTTACAACTTTCTCGCAGCCAGGAAACCCTCTAAACCCTAAAAAAGCAATATTTTTCGATTCGATCGGCTAAAAATCATTAAAAGCTACGTTTTGCCTTTTTGTCCCCCGGCCGGTCCTCTAAAACCCAAAAAAATTCGCTACCATAACCTCCGAAACCGTAAAAAAATTCTCTTTCAAGCCTTCTGATATCCAGTCAGCCCTCTAAAACCTAAAAAGCACCATTATCGATTCTATCGACTAAAAACCCACTAGAAAGTCATTTTTGAAGCTTTCTGGCCTACAAAACCCGAAAAAATCTATTTTCTGCCTTTCAGGTCGACGAAGAGACGCGTCACCTCCCCCAACTCTGCGGCCAACCCATCGAAAAACCCTCTCGAATCGACGACATCGACGAGGAACTTATTTATTAGAAGGGCTACCGATTTGATCTCTACTAAATCGGATTCTCTTCTTCTTTTCCTTTGCCAATTTTTCGTGCCCAATTTGTGTCTTTCCGTGCTCTCACCCTACGTGTACATATCACAACACCGTTCGGCTATACTGGTCATCTTTTTTTCTTAATAAAGAGATTACTTATATACCGTCTATAACACCAAAAGAATAGAATTTCCAGTTCCTTTACATTATCGGGGGGGGGGCAATCTAGGCTGTTTTTTGACGATTCCTAGACGGAAAAACTTTACGAATTTTCACTAAAAATAGAAAAAGTTAGATGGAAACCGAAAGAACCCGATTTCCGGGGGGAAAGTATTTCCGGGGGAAACCAAATTTTTCGAGCCAAGCCTAAATTTTTTTCTAAACAGCGCATGCGTTTCTAAATGGTTTTTAACCAGGGTTGTTCATTTTGAGTCCGGTCCGCGTCCGTCCGCGTCCGGGACGGGACGCGTCCCGTCCGTCTCATTAGCATAAAATTTTGCGGACGGACGCGGACGCGTCCCGGACGGACGGGACGGACGCATGGCGGACGGGGACGGGGAGCGTCCGCGCGTCCGAGATGCAAATTAATTCATGGAAATCTTAAAATGAAAACCAGGAAAGTCGCAATAATTTTGCAGGTTTTGCGGTACATTGGTTTTATTGGACAGTAGGTTGCCATGTACATGCTTAATGACATGCAGCAGGCTACATGCAGGCATGACATAAGACATGCTAAAAACCAGACCCTACCAAAGGTTTTACGCCCAAAAATGAAAAACTAGGCGCTTCATTATGATTTGAATCTGCTTTTCTCATTTGCATCGCGGACGCAGTTACTTCCGGCGTCCGCCTTCCGTCCCGTCCGTCCGGGACGCGTCCCCGTCCGTCCGCAAAAATTTATGTAAATGAGCGGACGGGGACGCGTCCGCGTCCCGGACCGTCCGCGTCCGTCCGCGAACAACCCTGTTTTTAACTAATCCGGAGCATAAAAACTACCCACATTTTAATTAAAAAATTTAATTTTAGGTCGAAAAATCCTATCGAACCTTTAGGATTAGCGGGGGGAAAGACCCAAAATGACCAATTTTCGACTTTTTCAAACATTTTTCTAACTTTTTTGAAAGGTTTTTCTACTTTAAATATAGTTAAAATTTACTAAAAACCATTTGAAAATACTTTATATTTGATTACTAGGTCAACCGGGAAAACCAGGAAAAAATTTGGTTTCCCCCGCCCCCGGAAATACTTCCCCCCCCCCTCCGGAAATCCTAAAGAACCGAACCCGAAAACTCAATCCAGTTTCCGCACCCCAAGACGTCAATCTGACAGCTGATTCCGAGATATTGAACCCCAGTTAGAAAAACAAACCGTTGGGCCAGGTGCTTTTCGGCCTGGCGTGAGCACCACGAGGAGATTGAGCATGAGGAGCGGTGTACTCCCGGGTACGCGACACTCCATTTCACGGGCGGGTCGTGTGGACTGGGCGGTGAGGGGTCGACTGCCGTCCATCAACCCGCTGCCAATCCCGTATTCATCCGATCCGCCACCGAATCGAGGGCCGTCTGGGGTGAGAAGACGCCGTTTCCACATCCGCTTTTCGTTTTGCTGGCTGCCAGATGGAGATCTTGACCGGTTAGTTTAGCCTCAGAGGTTGTAGATGTTGCAAAAAGTACTGAAAAATAAGGCGCTATCATTTTTCCTGGTTTCTGTTTCCTTAAAAATACTTTCATAACGTAAATTTCGTAACTTTGATAGAAAATATATTACTTTGGTATACCTTGTGAGGTTTCAAAATGTAAAGTTTTCTTTACGAAGCGCTTGGAATATTACGAGGTGCTTGAGATACAATTTTTTTCGTGGCTTCTTGTCTCTTGAAAGTACTTTAATATCACAGATTTCGCAACGTTGCAGACAAAATAAGCTTAAAAAACGGGTAGTTTTACTGCGGAAAAGTTAGATATACTGAAAACAAGGTGAGATCGGAGTTTTCCTTATTTTCTAGCTCTTTGAAATCACATTTTAGTAGCTGAGCCGGAAATAAAAGCTTTCTTAAGCTTAAAAGCTAGGCCGAAACTACCTACGGACTAGAACAAAAATTTCAGCCTCACTGCAGCGACTAAAAAATGAAGAAGCCGGGCAAAATACGGCAACAGGCCCCGGTGAACGATTGAATGGTTCGGAAGGTGGGTCCACACACTTTTAGAGACAAAAATAATATGGCACGATTCACACAAAAATATGGGCTTTTTTATGAAGTTTCAAAAACCAAAAAAATCTACGTGGAATCGAGAAAGATTTAGATTCCACAGAATACAACGGGACGGCCACGCCCAGCTCTGTGAATGGTTTCAGCAGAAAATCTTCAGCAGCTACATGGGTTAGCCTGAATGTTGGAGGGCAGGTAACAGATTGGAAAAAGTATAGAAACCCGATAACCTTCCAGATTTTCCAAACTACCCGCTCCACATTGACGCGCGAAGACGGGTTCCTTTCGAAGTTGATCCGCGAGGACGGCGGGCTGGCCAGCGATCGGGTTCGTCGTCTAAACGATGGCGTAATTGCTGGATTCAGGACGAGCGCGGCGCCTACCTGATCGACCGGGATCCGCAGTACTTTGCGCCGATTCTGAATTATTTGCGGCACGGGAAACTCGTCGTCAATCCGGGAATTTCACTAGAAGGTCCGTTTTCAAGCGACAAATTGAAATTTTGCATTCAAAATTGTTATATTCAATGTTAAAAGTTAAAGCCAAAATTTTAAAGGTTGTCGTCTGGAGGTTTTCGGCGAAAACGCACGAAAAATTATGTTTATACCAGCGCCCAAAACCCGCTTCGCGGACCTTGGGCGCTGGAATGCGGCCTTTGCATGAAAAGTTTGACTTTCTGATAGCTCGGGTCCTTCGGACCCCCCTTCCCTGTCCCGACCAAACCCGCGAGTGCAATTGGCAAGAATGAGGAAATTTTTATTTTTTCATAATATGCAAATTAGCCCTCCGGGACCTCAAAAATGAATAAAATCGCTTTTAAAGGGCTGCCGACGGCATGTGTCGATCCCCCCTCATCAACAAATTGGCAAGTAGCCAGCAGGGGAGAGAGCGCGCCCAGGGGAGAGGCGCAGAGACATTTTCTTTTTCCGCGCGTAACCGATTGACTATGCCGTCGGCATCCCTTTAACTTTGTAAACTTGTATTTTATCGGAATTCTGAAAACACCATCGGATAGAGGAGGGTCGATTCCACCGAGTGACAAAAAATTGGGGCGTTTTGAACACGGGAAGGCCCTCAAATCGTGCCTCGAAACTGACCTCCGCACACACACAAAGATACGCGACCAAATTATATATGGTAGGATGTTATCCTACTATATATAAAAAAATAGTGTCTGTGTGTGTGTTTGTGTGTGTGTGCCACTTTGCATCCACTTCCGTCTGTCTGTCCGGAGGATATCTCGCTGGGGGATCAATTTTATGGTACGTATGATACGTCATTAGGTGCGCAATGGTCTGGAGATGACTGCACACATAACCAAATTTTCAAAATTACAGATTTTCGATATTAAATTTAAGTTTTTGTGAAAGCTCTTTTGTTAGGAACAATTAGCATAGACCGGAAGTGGGGATTCGACTATATAAAGGGGCAGAAGACGTTCTTTTTCATTTTTTTGTCATCTAAATTCAAGACAGTTATGCAAAGTGAAGGATAAAATGGGGACAGACGGGGCCAGGGCTGAAAAGTCGCGAAGCGGCTTTTCAACCCTGGTTTTATCTATAAAAACTGGTGATTTTCTCTTAATACGGCACAATTTTACATTTTCCATCTAAAACTTGTTGTATTCAGTGTACAATAAGTAACACAATAAATTTTACAATATTTTTTCTGGCTTGAATCCTTGAAAACGTACGAAAAATAATTTTTTTTTGCCTTTTGACTGCGGAAAACTGCTGTATTTCCATGGAATTTCACAAAATTCCAGGCGTCCTCCACGAGGCCGACTTCTACAACTTGCCCGGCTTGTCGCACCTCGTCCTGGAGAAGATCAAGGTCCACAAAACGGAAGAGGCACAGCAGCGGAAGACGGTCTATCGCGTCTTGCAATGCCATGGCGAGGAGCTGACGAGTTTCGTGTCGGCGCTATCGGATGGCTGGAGGCTTGATCAGGTTCGTCCGATATATAGCGACCTTTTTTGGCGTTAAAAGCCCTTGAAAAACTTGTTTTTCGCTTTAATAACAATAAAAAACGGTTCAAAGCGCTTGAAACCGAGTTAAATTTATATTTATTTGGAGCCTATTTTCATAAAACAAAATATTCAGCTGGTGCCGGTCGCGTCAACAATCTACACAACGGACGGCCAAAAGGAATACCTATGCGTCGTCTCGCAGGAATGCCCCCATTCCTTCTTCAACGACGAGCGCGAAAATATGGACCGTGCCAAGTTGTTACAGCAGCGGGCGCGCAGTTAGTTTTTAACAAAATTCAGTTATTTTAAAAAATTCGACGCTTTTAAACCCATGAAGACGTTAATATTAAAAAGTGAGCGTTTTTCGTGTAGCCTGTAGTTTTGTATGCACTTTCTAACGCAAAAAAAAGATTTTAAAATTTCAAGAAGCTACTTAGAAATTTTGAGCTTTTTTTTGTTTTTAAAGTTATTTAGAGTTAAACTGGATTGTAGTTTATAAAAAAACGCAAGAGCTAGAGTTTGTAGCCCGTAGTTTTGTTTCTACGCTCAAAAAACAGCGCTTTTTGCTCCTGGCAAAAGCAAAAGCAAACAAACGCATTTTTAAATGTTAAACTATCGTAACTGTATTTGAAAGTAGTTAATAAAACGTAAATTCCTCGTTTGTAGGCTATAGTTTTGTTTCTACGCTCAAAAAAACCGCGAATTTTCAGATAACTAGCCCGTCAACGCTACAGCCTGCTCCCCGCCTTGATGTATCCCGGCTACAAACTACGCAATATTACGATATATTATTTTATTGCTTATTTTTATTAAATTTAATATTCTAAAATTTCATTCGTCGCTGCTCCTGCTCATTTTCCCACCCGCCGACACGTTCATCCATTCCAAAGACAGAAATTCGCCCCCATCTTCCCATCCACCCAATCCAAAATATGCTCATCCAATTTATTTTATCTATTTTTATTTTTACTTGTATATTTTTAGTTTTTTTTTTCGCGTGTCAATTGTACTCTAGTGTACATAATGCTATTATTACACTGCCTGTCAGGGCGCGCATCGGGGCGGGGGGGAGGGCGTGGCCTAGTGGTCTAAGGCGCCGGTCCCAACTCCAGACAGAGGGTGCTGGTTCGGTTCCTCTGACCGACAGAAGCCCGTTAGGTTTTTGCACTTTTTTGCAAAAGGTACAGAAGGGGATCCAAAACCGATCTAAAGAGAAGCCCAAGCGGAAAATAAAAAGTTTTGCTATTTCCCGGGCTCTAAAGAAGAAATTCTCTCAGATGGTGCCGATTCGCTCAATAAGGGAATATCATAATAACAAAGACATGTACTGCCCAAATTAGCCACAATTCAATGATTTCAAGCCCCTTCATCCGTACAAAGCTGAAAACTTTGACTAGCTTCAGTTGTTCAATTATTAGGATCTCTCATTCAGCACCTTTTTTACTTCCCAGGACCGCAGAAGTACCCAATTTGACAGTACCTATTCTTTTCCGTTGAATATCGAAGAAAAAACTCGGAAAATGCGGCTAAACGCAAAGAAAAATGCGGCGCACAAAGCTCGTATTTTCGCGATTTTTCCGGCTAAAATCCTAGATAAATCCTTATTTTCACGCCAAATCACCCTTAAAACCCCTCCCATAATGTGCGCAAGAGTCTTCTCTATATTTCGTATCGGTGGACTCCCCACAACAACGTCGTTTTCGAAAGTTATAGGCATTTGAAGTTGAAAATTTGTGAGTTTTTTTTGGCCCCTTTCTTTGCCTCTCTCTCGAAAAATCATGGATCGGTAGGTAAGCATAGTGTGCGCGCGGGCATAGGAACGTTACGGAGCGACCCCACCTCTCATGAGCGCCTCTCTGAATATCTGACAGCCAGTGATTATTATTTTAACCCCAATTAGTGCTCAACACCAAAAAATGTGGCGCCCCGGCTTTTCTTTCGATTTTATCCGCAATTTGTGCTATTTCTCGATGATATCGCCGAAAGTGGTAATAAACGGCTTGAAATATGGGAATCGAGCGGTTTTACATGGCGTACAAGTTGTAGAAAACGGAAATTATATCCAAACACATCTGTTTTTAGCGAATGGGCCTAAAAATTTGGCTTTTGGAGTTCTATCAGGAAAAAAACTATTTCTAGCGCTTCAAAACGCGAGATTATTTATTTGTACTGTTCTAATCGCGGAAAAAGTCGATTTTACGGGCCGATTGAAGCCAAAATACCAATTTTTCGAGGGTTTGCTCTGCAAAATGCCCTGAAAAAAAAGCTCTACAGAGCCTGATAACATTAAAATTATCTAATTTTAGCGAATCTCATTGGAAAAAGATATTTTATTGTGGAAAAAAAAGTAGAAAATAGGTGAATTGAGGAGTTCCGCTTCCATACAACCAACGTAGTGTGTCTATTGGAGTGGCTCGTAGCTCCACCGGATTTAAAATTTTCATTTTTGCCAATTTTCCGGTCAAATTCTTTTTTTAAATCGTCGTAAAAAAAGCTCAGAAACGCTTGAAATCATCGAAATCGCCTAATTTGAGATTATCATGTTCAAAGACGTGTTTTATCGATAAAAAAAAGTTAAAATGAGGTCAATTTATGTGAGTTCCGCTTCGATACTCGGAACGTTCATTGTCCATTGGAGTGGCTCGTAGCGTCTTGTTTAAAAAACAATTTTTTTTCCTTCGAAAATTCGTTTTTCGTGAAATTTTGTGAAAGAAAAGTCAAATTCTACTTTTCAGCATCACCCCTCGTAAATGGATGATCCGGGCCCGTCTCGGCGCGAGCCATTCATCAAGGTGCAGTCCTTTCTCGACAACCGACTGTCGCAGATCGCCGAATTGACATCGGTAAGAAAAAACTCTTCGGTTTTAATTTAATTTTACAATTCAGGCTTCTCGGAACGATTCGCTGGTGAAGAATGAAGTAACACGGGGCCCCCGCACCGCCCTGCAGCGCATGCCACGCCACATGCGCCGCCGCGCGATGAGCTACGATTCCAGGCGCTTCCCGCGGCTGTGAGTTCTTTATCTGGTTTTCTATGCCTTTTTCCAGGCTCCGCTGCCAGGCGCTGAAAACGAAAAAGAAGATCAAGTCGCCGCGCCACTTGCGCAGGCGCTACCAGCTGAAGATTTCGCGCGGCAAGAAGATTGGATGGCTGGAAACTCATTTATGGCATGCCAAGCGACACGAGATGTGCACAAAGTGGGGCAGGGTGATCGCGGAAAAGTGCTATCAGGTTTGGCAATGTTTGAAAAACAGTAATTTTCGAGTTTAGCGTGGATTTCGGTCAACATTTCGGGCGATCGAGCGGTTTGCGGCCGTCCACGACATCTCCTACACGCAGTGCTTTCAGGTATCCGGCTTTTTATTGTCTTTTCAGTGTCACCTCGTAAACGATAGATTTCGCGAGCCAAAAGCCGGCGATTTTAGCGATTTTAGCCGTATATTTGGTAGAAAGGAGGCTTATTGGAAAAATAGCAGATTTTTGCATGCATTTGTAAAGATTTCGGCTTTCGGAAGTGCTTGAAAAGCTAGGAATCTTGTCTGTGCCTTCATCTATCGATTTCTGTCTTTTTATTCAAACCTCCAAACCCAAAACGAGCCGAAAACGAACGTTTTTTAGCTCACGACAACTTCCGGTTGGGACGGTGGGCCTGGTCCACTCATCGACGGGTTACTGAAGATTTGCCGCCTCAGGAAGGAAGAGCTTCTGGAGACAATTCCTGGTTCGCCCTTTTTCCTTACCGCTATATCCATAATTAGGCAAATTCGAGGCGCACACCGAGCTTTTCCACCCGGTCACCCGGCTGTCGTACGGTCCGGCCAGGATCTCCATCCACCGCGCAGAGTTCGTTCTTATGAAGCTATTTCACCTCCAATTTTTTAGCACCGGCTCATCTCTCGTCATTTGGGTGCATCCGGCCGCCGCTGGCTATGTAAAGGATCTCCTGAACGAGATCTACAACCTGGAGAGCCCGGAAAAAGCGGAAATTCAGGTTTTTACTCTTTATTTTAGTGTCTTACTCCTATTTTAGCTCCACGATCTGAAAGGCGAGTTCTGTCGTTTCCGGCTTTTCGGCCCGATGGCGCTGGCGACGCTGAGGGCGGCGTTTGTGTTGGCGAATCCTGCCGAGGCTTCGAAATATCGGTATTTTCTAGCTTTTATTCCTTATTTATGTATTTTAGTGACAACCACGCCCAATGGGAAGCAATAACGGATTCTGATCGCTTGGCTGACGGCTCGATCATCTCGCTGCTTGTTCAGGTATAGCTTTTCGCGTGGTTTGACCCGCAATTTAATACAGGACGTACGTGTCGCGATCCCGGCGCGACGGACGTCACCCATTCTACAACAACAGGGACACGATGAAGCTTCTCGTGATGGCTGCACAGCTTCAGTGGTGATTTTTAGCGTATGGAATTTAACGTAGTTTTCTATTTTAGGTTCCCGACGTCTACGATGCTGACGAGCGTGAAAAGGCGCGGGCGGCTCGCATCAGCGACGGGCAGCTGAATGCCGATCGTGGGAAAGCTGCTAGGCAGTTGGCGGCTAAAAGCAATGTTAGGATTGTTGATTTTTGCTATTTTATCGTTTTCAGATGCCGGTGCTGATCGTCCGCCTCGGAGCTGCCGAGCGTCGCGGCATTTTGAGCGGATTTGACATCATCGCGCCACGCGGCTTTGGTAATATTCTTTATTATGCTGAAAACTGAATTTTTAAGCCCGAGATATCTGGCGGGCGCTGCAGATGCGGAATTGCCGGTCGATGTCGTTGCGAGACTACCGTGCAGCCCACCTCGAGATCCAGGCGCCGTATTTCCCCGAGGATTGCGTCGACTTTGTGGGGTACAAGGAGCTGGCGAGGGAGGACACGCTACGAGTTGAGGTGGAGTTTTCCGGAATTTGGCCGATTTGGACAGCAATAAATGGATTTTAAAGGAATCTTTTTCTGTATCTTTACTATGACCTGAAAGTCGTCGTAAAAAAGTAAAAAAATAGAATTAGTGAATTATCGGTAATGAAAAAAATTTGAGGAATTCGCAGAGAATAACATTTAGAAGCCGCTATTTTTGGTTCCGCCACTCGGGAGAAACAAAATTAAGAAAAAAGGGAATAAGAAAAATTATTGATTTTAACAGTCTAAAAAATCATTAGAACAAAAAGAAATAAAGTTTTTGCGCTATAATGGCTGAATTAAAATAAAGAAAATTGTGTTGATGAAAAATGCTTTTAGACGAGATACAGCGCGCGTCCACCCCACGAGAGGTCCAATTTTGTGGACCTCGGCGTGCCGTTCCCCTTCTGCTTCGAGTGGGAATTGCTCTGGAAAGAGCTGATGGGCCATCAAGGTAAACCGGCGTTAAAATAGATTTTTCGTCGTCTTTTCTAGCCAGCTTTTTATAGTTTTCTCTAGCGTTTTCTAACTTGCTTGTTTTAGAATTCCGAGTGCCTCGTCAATTTTACCTCTATCCAAAACCCAACGATTGTCTGTTGCCGATTCGCATTCTCATGCTGGCCGGGTCACTTCCGGAAAAGTATTTATTTTTATATGAATGGTTCTTTGGCGCTATCGGGGGTCTAATTTTTCGTACAAGTCCAGAAATGCCTAGTGCTTGATTTGCATATTTTTTAAGCTTTTTTGTAAAACATAACTTTATTTAGACTCAAAAATATCTCCAATTTTAAAAAATAAAGTGGAAATTTGATATAAATATCGGCCATTTTTCGTCGAAAGTTGTGGTTTTTGTCTTTTATCAAAATTTGTAAAGTTTTTACGCTTAGGAATAGTCGAAAACAGTTTATAAACACTTCCCATATTTATATTTGAAAAACTGGCTCCTACGGAAAAATTTGCCTCCCCCTGATAATGCAAAAGAACCAAAAGTATATATTTTTAGCGGGTTTAATACGAATAATACTGTTTTGTTTCAGATTCTCATTGATCTGCGCCCCAAATCTCGAGGAGAAGCGCCGCATTCTGCAGGGCGATCGCTCGTTGACCCTAGAAGAAGTCCCAAGGAAAAAGAAGAAGCTGGCCGGAGCCCCGGAAAAACCTGTATTTTCTACCAACTTAAAAATTATAATTTTTTTTAGATTCCTGTGCGCCCAAAAGACCCCCTGAGCGGGTTTGTCGAGCTGGACGTCACCAAGAAGGAGCAAAACGCGCCCATCCGCCCGCTTTTCGGCTTATCGAGGACGCTCACCAAGTAGATTTACAAAGCTAAAAACGAAATTTTGTTATTTTAGAAAAAACGCCTCGCTTCTGGAGCTGCCGAAAAAGGCCGACACGCAGCGTAAGGTGGCGGAGAAAGGGGCTGCCAAGAAAACTGAAGAAGAAGGAAAAGAAGACAAACCCCGGCCGTATCACAGCACTTGTTCTCGGTGGGTTTTTGTATTTTTTTGTGAATAAAATATTTCGATTATTTAAACTTTTCACTGACCGCATTTTTTCTATAAATAAAAATCACTGAATTTATAAAATTTACATAGTTATTACGTATTTTAGTTGTCTTCTTAGTGAGATTGAACTATATTTCAGGCCGAAAAATCACATCGAAATGTTAGAAATGTTAAAATAGTTGGAATGTTAGTCAAAATTAAGTTATTTTGGGTAGAAAAATTAATATTTTTAGTATTTTTAACGAAAACGAAGGAACCACTGAAAAACCAAAATCCCTTTTTAGAACAATTATCGGCCGAGTGGTGCGTGGCGGCCGTTCTCAAAGTACGCTCTCCGGCGTTGGATACGGCTACGTACCGTACAAGCTCTTCAAGCAGTTGCCGATGACGGTAAGATTTTTTGACTCAAATTTTACTGACTTTGAATTTAGCACGACGGTGCCGTGGCCTGGATTCGAACGAACAACTCGGTGCACTACCACTTGGCCAAGCTCACCATCGACCCGGCGCCGCATATCGATTTTTAATTTGTTTTATTTTCCTGTTGTTTTTGTGGCTTATTACCTGTTTTCTTGTTTCTAGAAATTGTGGGATTTATTACGGGCCCCGATTATGATTATTTCCAATGTTGTTGTTATCTGTTCTTGTTGCGTTGATTGTTTTGAATTTGCTGTTTACCAATAAACTATCTAAAACAGGTCCAAAACGTCACAAATTGTTCTTGCGCTACGGTTATCCACAGACAAACTTCATCCCAACGATAAGCCGGAATTTCGCTGGTTAAATTTTGCGAAAATCTTTGTAAAAAATTATCAAGGAACGATGACGATAATTTTGCCATTGAGTAGACGTACGAACGTTGCGTAGTACGCTTGCGTGGCTTGTGGGAGCTTCGTCCAAGGATCGGCCGCAATTTATGTGTTTTTTTTCGGATTTAGCCCAAAAGCTTAGAAAATAAAATTACTTTTTTACGGAATGATGGCGTTACTTTTGCGTGCTCTGCTTTTACGCACAGCTTCTGGCTAGGATAAACCGGAATTACCTGTTTCTCGGCTTTTAGCTAATAAACTAAGGTTTTTACGAACCGATCAAGGGCTACGGTTTACTTTCCCCCCCCAGCCGAACGGTTTTCGCTATAACTTTTTTATTTTACATTATTGTAGGCTCAAATTAAAACTCTTAGTATATTTTTTGACGCTCTATCGAATGGCGTTGCGAAAATCCCGACAAAATAAGCGAAAATACCGACAACTTTGAGACCCTTCGGCTGTGGGGGGTAAAGTAAACTCTTACCCGATCAAGTCACCTTTTCGATTATCATTGCTGTTGCTCAAGAAAAAGCTTTAGTCCGACAATAATAGCTAGCCTCAATCCCTCAGAAAAAGCCGATTAAGCTGAGATCGAAAAGGCTCTAAACCTATTTTCTTTTCGCTAAGCCAAACCGGAAATGAAGGTGCGCCTTTCATGCATGCATGGGCCGAAATTGCGGCTTCTTGGGGTTTCACAGAAGAGTTTTGGAATTCAGTGGTGGCTCGATGAGTTTATTTTTCCGTCTAGCCTGATTTTGCCCACCAAATCGCGCAGTCCCAACGATAAGCCTCAATTTCGCTGGAATTTGGATCTGGAATTCCAGAAAATCCGACTAAATTGAGATTGATGCGGCTTCTCCCTGTATTTTTCCGGCTAAGCCAATCCGGAAATGAAGGCCATGGCCTTGGAACCGGGGGCCCAACCCGGGCATTAGTGCCTGAATGGGCAAACACAGACACCCATGCCACACCACATGCTCCTCCTCATCCAAAAGTCGCGGCTTCTCATACCCCCCACCAATTCCCGCCAATTCGAAAAGCTCTGCCGATCGCGCAACTTTTTTGAAATGTCGGGAGCGTGACCTTTTTATTGGTATTTTGAAAACAAGCGCGCGGCAATGCGTTGAAAAACGCTATTTATTTTTCTAATAATGCTTCTGCTTCTTTGAGCTTTTCAAGAATCCGGGTAGCCTTTTTCTTCTTTGTTTTTGACGTTTTATTTCTTCTCTGTCGCGATTTTCGACCTAACTCTCGCAATTTTCAGGTAAACTAAACCACCTCGGACCGGGATTTGCGCCGAAAAGCACGAACTCTGCTCATCGACTTGAGGTCCGGTTTTTTCGTTTGTTTTTGAATTGTAAAACTAGCTTTTGGTGATTTTTACGGCCAAATACTCTTTTACCGTCGAGGATATGTCTATTTCGATTTCGCGTCAAAAACCTGCCTAGAAATAACGCTTTGTAGGAATTTTCTGGTTTTAATTGTGATTTTCGCACACTGAAAGCTTTTCTCGCTTTGAAAAGTATTGTTTTAGGGGTGAAATAATATTTTTCGATTAAGAATCGGCCGATCTCAATTTCCCGTCAAAGTTATCCTGCAACAATGATCTTTATAGTTATTTTGGGCCTGATTCCGAATTTTCGGCCGCCAAAAACATCTGTAATCTGTCTACAAATCTCTTGTCTCGTTTTGCCGTCAAAAATGACGCTGCAAAAAGGTTTTTTAGAGCTATTTTGGGCCTATTTTACAATTTATAAGCAGCTAAATATGTTGTTTTTGCTTGATAAAAGCATGATTTTGGGATTCAGTTAATAGTTTTGCTATTAAAAATAAGGATATACCGATTTCGCATCAAAAACAACTTTATAAAGAAAATTGTTGGCGATTTTGTTTTAATAATTCCCCACTTTTCAGGCCAGCCATGCCCCTCCCCGGCTCCGTCGAGTTGAAGCGCCCGGATCTGAAGGGTGAATTCACGTGCGGTGCGTGCCGCAAGAGCTTCTGCCACATCTCCAGCCTCAACCGCCACCGCGTCAACTTCCACTCTTCGAACCGTCACTGTCGCCTCTGCGATGCCCCGATTCCCGTCGACGAACACTTGCGCTCCCACATGTCACAACGGCACCAAATTGAGCAGGTCTTCACGTGCAGCTGCTGCAATTGGGCATTCCCCGACAAGAAGCAGCTGAATATGCACATCTATTCGATGTCCAAGACCGGCCAGCCGGGCCCCGCCAACGTCATTGCGACTGTGGATTTGGAGCCGGGTAAGATTTTGAGTATTGCCTTTTGTGGAATCTTTGAAATCGCAGCGCAAAGCTAAAAAGTAATTTATTAATGGAAACCAGGGTTGAAAAGCCGCTTCGCGACTTTTCAACCATGGCCCCGTATGATCCCATCAATTCTTCACTTTGCATAATTCTCGCGATTTTCGATGGCAAAAAAAAGAAACGCTACCTCTATTCCCTTATATAGGCTACCGTGACTTCCGGCGTATGCTAATTGTTTCCTAACAAAGAGGGTCCACGATTTTTCAACAAAAACTTAATTTTAACGTCGAAAACAGTTAATTTTTGAAAATGTTATTGGTGTGCAGTCATCCCAAGGCCATTGCGCACCTAATGAGGTGTAAAACATACCCCTAACTACCCCCCTTATTGAGATACTACTGGAACACGCTGACGGAAGTTGCATGCAAAGTGGCACACACACACACACACAAACACTATTTTTTTATATATAGTAGGATTTTTGCGCATTTTTTGACAAGTTTCGCTCTGGCCGAGATCTAAAAAAAGCGTTTTCGAAAAATCTCTTGGGTTCTTTCGCATGATCGGGGCGACCCAGATTTTTATCTAATAAAGAAAAGTGTTTCTAAACAGTTTTTACTATTCCATAATTTAAACCTGGAACAACTTTAGTAAAAAATAATTTTCACGAATTTTTGCGATCGGGTAGCGAAATCATTTTAATGCCAAATTTTAGGAACCTTCGCTGTCGAACGTCCGCCTAGTCGACGCGCCTCCGAACCGGCGCCCAAAAGTCGGCAGCAAGCCGCGCGGAAAGTCGAGGCCCCAGCTGCCGAAGCTACCAAAAATCCAGTCCCAGCTTTGGCCGACGCCGTGCAGAATATCATCGTTCAGATGGTAAAAAAATCTTGTTTCTGAAAACCTGGCATTTTTAGGTGGCCACACAGCTGCGGTTGAGGGCCAACGATGAGGCGCCGGCCGCCTGGTTCGACGCTTTTCTCGCCAACAATCCGGCGCTGGCCGCACTCGCCACGGATGCCACTATCATGGTAGCTTTTCTTTGTTTTCAGTTCTAGATCGTTAGCGGGGGAGGAAAATGGTAGTTACAAGCCTAAGCAGGTATCCTGATGAAATTTGGAAGTTTTATACAACATTTTTGAACGCTTGTTTACAAGGAAGTGGTCAAAAAAAAGTACATCTGTTGAAAATTGATATTTTGACATTTTTGGGCGTTTTTCATTGCTTTTAAGGGACGTCTAGATAATTACAAGCTTGTTTCATAGCCGATATTAGCAGTTTCCGATTAGAAATAGCCATAAAAGATATCTAAATGATTTTATGATTTTTATGCTTCACTTTTTGGGCATTTTTCGGCATTCTTGGCTAAAAGTTACAGTTTTTCTACGTTTTTAAGGCTTTAAAAATGATCTTTTCATGGTTATAACGGCCTAAAAGTGCCGGAAAATAGTTCATATTTCTTCCTTCTAAAGGGTTTTAGGAATATCTTGAAGATCTTTGTATCGGTCTTTTTAGGCGCTCGCCCGCCCGGAGAGCCAGGCGACCGACACTTCCGACAGCGGTGATGACCAATCAACCGCGGCGCCGAGTCCTTCTACCAGCCAGTTCTCCACTCAAGAGGTTTGACACGAAAAAACCTATAAAATTTTTTTCAGTTTTCCGACGCTCCGCTATCGATTGAGCTGCCATCCCCATCATCGCAAGCCTCTACCTCCGCATCGTCGGCCATTTCTGAAGCGGAATCAACCGGGTCCACGGCCAGCGGAACGAAGCGGAAGCGAACCCTCGATGACATAGCCTCATCTTTGGCCAAGAAAAAGGTTATCGATTTGTAAAGTTGATTCTTTAGATGTATCTTTTCACTTTTATCGTTGTCACTTTCCACGAGCTTCACTTATCCCCCTTGAAAAATACGGTTTCTGGCTGATTGCCGATCTCTAAAAGTGCATAGTTATTACATTTGTTAAACTTGTTATTGGCTTGTTGATCTCTTTTTCATCCCACCATTTCACAAAACTTTCAGCCCGTTTTCTCACTTTTCATGTTGTCACTTTTGCGTTGTCACAAGGTGTTAATAAAAGGTTGGCAAATCAACATGCAGGATATCGAGTAGTTAGCAGCTTTACGCAGTATATTCAAAAACTTTGGCTTTTTTCATAAAAAAACGAACAAATTTGGGTACTTATCGTTTAGCACATTTTAGTTTCGGGAACTTTTTCCAGTAATTCTGTAGGGCAGTGTTTTTATAGCATTTTACGCAGTTTTTAGATGTGAGAAGCTGATCGAAATTCTTAAATTTTTCGAAAATGTTACCGTATTTCCTCTAATAACCCCGGGGATTATATTTTTGCAATGGGAGGCGGTTGTATTCGAGGGGGGGGGGAAATATTTTTCGTGATTTTGAGCAATTACAACGATTTCGAGCAGTTCAAACTGCTCGCAACTACTCAGCAACGCAATATGAAGCTTCAACAAAAACGTTTTTGGCAGTTTTTACTTCTTGGAGGCAAGTTCAAAAAATTTTTTTGGGGAAGCTGGTTATATTAGAGGAAATACGGTAACTTTTTGGAAAAAAACGCATAAAATCACCCAAGGTGCAAAATTTTCAATTTTTCAAATATTTTGCTCCTAAAAACGATCTGCCTATTTGGTTTTTCAGAACGCTTCCTATCGCGTTACGCTCTGCCAGCGAATGTTGCCCCGCTGGGAACAACCGAGGCAGAAGAGCCCGACAAAGAACGAACGACTGTGGCCAGCGAATTATGGTGGGTAGCTTTGCTTGACTTCACGTCACGTTAAGCGCGTGGCGACAAGATTTGCGTTGCTTTTGACAATTTCCTGGGGGTTGTAAATGGAAAAAAAACGGCGGAAACGCTAGAAACTTTTGCCATTCGAAAATGTCTTCTTTTCCGAGATTCGGGGCTTATTTATACCTGCACCCCGAAATCCTCGCGGATTTTGGATGGCCGGAGCTTTTTCTAGAAGTTGGAAATGACTGAAAATGAGCTGCACAAACGTTAAAAATTTTTTTTGCTACCGAAATATTAGTAACTGGTGGGTAAAGGCGGAAAATAAAAATTAGCTTCCCCCGATTAAACGGCAAGAATCCTAATTTGATTATTTAGGACAGGATAAGCTGATGGCCTGGGAGCAGCCGATGCAAAAAAGCCCGACAAAGAACGAACGATTGTGGCCGGCGAATTATGGTGGGTAGCTTTGTTTGACTTCCGGTGCCGTCACTTTATAAACGTAGGGTCAAAATGGTCAAAAGATGCAGCGGAAACGCTAGAAACTTTTGCCATTGGAAAATTTCTTCTTTTCCGAGATTTGTGACTTTTTTACCTCTAAAACTTCGTGGATTTTGGATGCCGACGGTTTTTTTAGAAGTTGGAAAGGACTGAAAATGGGCTGCACAAGCGTTAAAGACTTTTTTTTTTGCTACGGAAATTCGCGTTTTAAGAAAATTCCTCTGGAAATGTAAAAAGATGCAGCGTTTTATCCGTTGATATTAGCGCGCAACTGGTTTTCGGGACGTTCGAAATGAGTAAAAAAGCTGCGGAAACGTTGAGAGCTTTTGTGTTCGAAAATTGAAAAGCTGACGCTTTAAAATTTGCAAATTCAGCATAGAAAAGCAATTAGTATTCCGAGAAATTAATTCATTTTTCAGGCACGATGCTAGCGCTCGGATCAACCTCGCTGGACGGACTGATGGTCTGCCTCACCGACTACAGCCACGACAAGACCGAAGACCGCCCTCTCCTCGCCAACCTGCCGCGCCTGCAGGTCGTCAGGGCGCACGAGCTCGTCGGCGTGGATACGGTACGTTTTTGAGGTGTTTTTACCCGGAAAAATGGCTGTATCTTCTCTAAAAATCGATTTAATGGAGGTTTCCTTCTTATTTTTGCTTTTTTTGGTACTGGACTGTTAGCAGCTTTTATTTTTGCCGCCTATTCTTTCTCGATAATATATAAATGCATTTTTATAGTGTTTTTAGTAGTTTTTAACTGCTAGAACGCTATAAAAACCTTTTAGAGGTTGAAAATTCGAAAATTTAATCTTTTGGTCACTTTTCATAAATTTTTTATCAAAGTCAAAAATTTCGAAAATTTTTCAATTTTTTATAAGTGTTTCTATAGCGAAAAACTGCATGGAACGCTATAAAAATGCCTTGTATTTCGTTATCGGGCGGTACAAAAAGGCTGGGGAAAATTTGTTCCCCCCGCTAACAGTCCAGTACCTTTTATTTTCCAGGTTGGCCGCTTCTACTTGACGGCCGAGTGGACGGTGGAAGAGAGCGGCATCCTCAACGCAAAGTACCCAAAGGAATTCGGCCAACCTCTGGCGACCAAATGCATCAACGGACAGCGCGTGCCATCGGTAGTTTTTCAACGCATTAAAATATTCAATTTTTCGTATTTCAGCTGCGCTCCCGCATCACGTTTGCCCGGAAAGCCGACCTTCTTGGGCATGACGTGGCCGACCCGCAGAACTGCTGGTCCCCGGATGTCGGCCGTGTCCAGGCCCAACCCGGCAGCTACACGCCCTTCGTCGCCTACGATTGCACCCTCATTTGGTAGGCGTTTTGGCCTCCGATACCTAATTTATGTCTTTTTTTAGCGAATACGCGATGCCGCGGCCGCCCTTCACGAAGTCGGCGCCAAATTCGGGGTTCACATGGAAGGCCGTCGACATCGCACTAGCCGCTGATCAGCAACGAGCGGCCGTCGATTTTATGAAGGTTTTTTCGAGTTTCTAGACTTTATAAAGCTATTTTTAGTACGAGTTCACGCCGCCGTCACCTTTGGAATTTCGACTGCTCGCTAACGAGCGCTGGAATGAGGCGCGAAAGAAGGACAGACCCGCATTCTTTCGGCGACTTATGTGCAAGGGAAGATCAATTTTGGTGTATTAAATTTAGGGGAAGTGTTGTTACAAATTTTACTATTTCTTGGCATAAAAATATCAAATTTTTGTGAATGCTAAAAATTAAATTTTTAAAGGAAATGGCTGATTTTATTTTGAAAAGATTTTTGCAGGAGGTCATCTACAAAGCTCGATACGTCAACGACTTTGATTTGCGCTGTTATGCTGTGGTAATTCCGCTGGCCAATATAATATGCTATTTTTAGGGCGAAGGTATGGATTTCGGGGTGATGATCGACGTCAATGCGGTATTCGATGGCGAGCAGGCGTTCCCCGTCGAAAACCCGAACCCGTACGCCCTGCTCGTCGGCTGCATCTACGACAACTCGGAGCTGGGCGAGACTAAAGTGGTGAGCATTTTCTAAAAGTTTTAAATTGAAAAACGGAAATTCAATTATATTTCATTTATATTTATTTTTTCAGTCGATTCTTCCCGAGTTCCGGAGCCGTTATCTGAAGGCGCGACGCCTCGACCCGATCAAGCCGGGCGAACACCGCATTTTAGTAGGCTTTTTGAGAAATTTGAACTGTTTTCTCGACTGTAAAAGTTTATTCGGTTCTTTGGCATTATCGGGCGGGGGACAAAATTTATTCCTATAAACTCAAAACCAAATTTTTTTTCCTATAAGTCAAATCGTCAAGAAATCCAGCGCATTTTTTATTCTGAAAAAAATCGATGGTTTTGGTATTTCTACATACAAATTTGTAATGTTTTGACGTTTAGCATTAGTAAAAAACGGTTTAGAAACACTTCAGCGATTTTGATTAGTAAAATTGGGCCGGTAGAATAAAGTTGGTCCTCCCGATAATGCGAAAGAACTTTTTTGTGAAATTTGAACTTACCTTTTTTTATCGAATTTAATAGCTTATTGAATGCAAAATGAAATTGAAATTAATCAAAAAAATTAAAAAAATGAAATGAAATCGGAAATTGCTAAAAAAAAGTTTGATTTGTATTTTTTGCATTCATCGCCCGTATTTTCAGATTTCGGAGCAGGTGCGCGTGGTGTACGATGATGACGACGAGGGAGAGCCCCTGGAATATCTGGACCAATCGATGGATGAGGAGGACAAATACGATCGATGCGTCTGGATCAAGCAATCTTTTCTCGACCGGGAAATGGTAGAAGCCGGCGGCCATCCGAGGGAGATTCGACGCTGGATGAAGCATCCGGATCGCCGCATTCATCCCAATCATGTCCCATTCGAGTTTTGGGAGCAGAAGCCGAAAATGGTCGGTTTTTGTTTGACTCCTAAAGAATCTCCGCTAGCTTGCTCGTTTTCCTAAAAGTTCTCTGCTAGTTTGCCTCTATTTTCCGAAATAGTCTCCGCTAGCTTGCCTTTTACGCTGATTTTCTTTGTAGTTTGCTCAGTTTCTTTCTCTGTTAGCTTGCCTTGATGGTCTTGATCTTCTTTCCCAAATTACCCCCGCCAGTTGAGCTCGAATCGATTTTTGAAAGTTTTCGTGGCTAGTCTCAATTCCTCAAGGTTTTCCGCTAGTTTGCCCTCTCTATTTTCCGAAATAGTCTATTCTAGCTTCCCTTTTCCTCTGATTTTTCTTTTTTGGGCTGTTATTTTTTATTTTGCCTCAAAGTTGCCTGCTAGCCTTTCCCCACGGTTTTGAGGGTACCAACTTTTCCCAAAGGATCCCTGCTAGCATTGCTCAAAAATTTTCTTTTTTAGGTAGTCCTCGAATGGATCCTGACGCGAAAGGCTGACGGCATCCTGGAAATCTGGCAAAATTCGGCTTCCCTGGTTAAATCCGAGCTGAATGATGAGGTTTATTTTAATTATTTTATTTCGAGATTTCGCTTTTATTAATTAAGGTGAAAATTAAATTTGCATTTTTATTTCTAATTTTTTGGTTTTTTAAAGATAAGCGACTCCACAATTCGGGGTTTTACATACTTTAATTATTTTTTTGCAATTTTTGCATTCTTATCTTTTTATTTCTAGAAAAGCGCTGGGGCTTTAATTAATTTTTGTAATCTTCGTACTTATGTATTTTTTTATTTTCCAGAAGAAGCGCCGCCACGATTCTGGCTTCTACGCGCACCAGGAGCGGATGTGCTATCAGCCGATAGACGATCAGAAGCTCTCGATCAAGGGGCTTATCGTGGCCAAGAAGCAGGATGAAGCCATCGTATGGCCATGTATGCCGAAGGGAGGATGGCCCGGAGCAGCACTCATCAATAGACAGTACGTTTTTATGTGGGCTAGCTAGCGGAGAAAATTGGGGAAATTCATGCGCCAGCTAGCAGGGATCGTTGGGGAAGATTCGGGCGAGTTTCAGTGGGCTAGCAGAGTCCATTTGCGGAAATATTTGCAATCTAGCAGGTGGGATTTCGGAAAACGGCGTACTTTCGTAACGGGCGTACTAGCAGCGATTTTTGGGGAATTTACGCAAATGGCGGTGCGAGCTAGCAAAGTTAATTTGAGAAAAATCGGGTTAAAATTGGTAGGCTAGCAGAGTTTTTTTTGGAATCAATGACGTACTCCCTGAAATCGGCGTACTAGCAGCGATTTTTGTGGAAATTCGTGAGAAGCTTGCATGGTTCATTTGGGAAATGGACTGGCAAGCTTGCAGAGGCCATTGCGGAAAATGGCATATCTTTCGAATCGGGCATACTAGCGGAGATTCTTGAGGAAATTCTTGCCCAGGCTATCAGTGTTTATTTCAGGAAGGCTAGAAAGCGGGGGCTAGCAGTGTTTATTTGAGGAAAACTAGCACTTTTAAGCAGCTTTTAATGTCTCCGTTTTTAGATTCCTCCCAGACGGCGCCGTCGTTGGTGATGAGGTCTCGTTCTTCGCCGTCCGGACGAAGCGCATCGGCCGCTCCGATCCACTCGACATTGGACTCGTGGCTGTTTGCGAAAAGGTGAAAAGTATACAATTTAATAATGTAATTGATTCGCATCCACGGTGAAAACTTTAAAAACGTTTTATCGCTGATTTTCCCCATCCTATTTACGTTAGAAAAGCTTATTAATAAATTATGCCATGAAATTACGGTTCTCTTTTGCAGGTCGATTGCGCGATTAAAACAGGGAAATTCCAAAATTAAATTTTCTTTACGATTTTATATATTTTTAAACGTTTTTTACGTAGAGGAAATTTTGCTTTTCGGTCAAATAAATCAGGTTATTAAAATTCCAGTTTCGGTGATCGATTACGCTATTAAAAACCTCGGTTTCCCGAAATTCATGATTTTTCCATTGTTTTAGCTGATCGGCTGGCAGCCGCGTCGCAACCTCGACCCCACCTGGCGTCTCAGCCAACGCCTGGCCACCGGCGAGATTACGGTAATTCTGAGTTTTTATAGTTGATACGACGGGCTTTTTTTTAGCGCACCTTCCGCTTCTGCATTCGCAATAATGAGCCGAATTTCTGGGACCCGCAGCCGCAGCTCAACCTCCACGGCGAAAAGGTAGGAAAGGTTTAAAGGGATTGGCAAGTGATGGCTACGGATTCGTTGCGGATATACGTGCTGCCACGGCACGCAACGCGTCCGCAGCTTTTCCATTGCGTAATCGATTACTGCATATACAGCAATCAATGGAAATGTTTTTTTCTTTCGCATTAACGGGGGGGGGGACCAACTTTTTTCTATTGGTCCAATTTTTCTACTAAAAATAGAAGACGTTTTTCTAATCTGTTTTTTTTGCTTTTCCTAACCGCAAAAACGTTACAAATTTTGATGAAAACGCGCAAAGATATCGATATTTCGGCCAGTTTTAAATAAAAAACATTTAAATATTTGTTCTCCTTGTTTTGCACTTTAAATCTGGTTAAATTTGACAAAAGACAGCAGCACGCAGCACGCGACGCGACGCTACGCTTGCGATTCTATTGCGTAATCGATTAGGCCGGCTTTTGTGGATTACGTAATCGATTATCACGCGGGTTGCGTCTCGTGGCCATGCCAAAAATCCGCGAAAATCCTATAGCTTTGCCTTACCAATCCCTTGATTTTTCTGGCTTAATTTTTAATTCCTTTTTCCAGGACCTGCTGATCGTGGAAAGCGCGTACGGCTACCGGGTGCTGGTGTGCAACGAAAAAGAAAAGACGCTCATCATCGACATCAAGAACTTTGTCAAGCGGCACGCGTTCGGGATCTTGGAGGTACGCTGAAATTCGTCTTTTTGATTGCGTCTTGTATTTTCAGGAAGAGATCCGCCTGCCGTGTATCTTGCAGCCGTCGCCGATCCATGGCGGACGCATGCCCACCCCGCTACGCCTCGATACAGGATACGGCACCGTCGAGGTACCGGATAATTTTGTGTTTTTATTGATTAAAACCGTTATTTTAAAAGTGGAAATTCTCGATTTTTGTTTAATTTTTTTTTATGTTTAGTTTTGACTTTTTTCTAAGGATTGACTTTTCTAATCTGAATATCGCGAGTGTTTCTAAACTGCTTCACGCTATTCCCCAAACACAAAACTTTACAAATTTGATTAAAAAAAAGAAAAATTGCGATTTTCGATCAAAATGCCGATTTTCGACCTAGGTATTGCCTACAAATCTTGACTTTTTGTGCCTTTCTACTTAGAATATAGTTAAATTTTAGTAAAGATACTATTAAAAATCCTTGAGATTATCTGACTAGGCATGTCTGGACTTCTAGAATAATATTAGCCTCCCCCCGATAAAGCAAAAGAACCAACCTGAAATTTTGAGCCAATTTAAAGTGTGCAGTTATTGAGATTCTGTGCGATTAGTTCGAATTTTTTTGACTACTATACAAGTTTTGCGGATTAAAAAATTATACAAATTGTCACGATTTTTTTTACCCTGTTTTTCAGCTGCTCTCCAAGCTGACGACGAGGTTGTCCGATGATCTCGAGACGATGAAGCAGCACCAAAGCGACATCAGCTGAACACCTCGAATATTTTGTCATTTCCCCGCCATTTACAATGTTATTTTCATCGATTTCTCCGTTGCAATTTCGCTTGTTATTTTGCTATTTTGCTGACGCACAGCACTCTCTGATTTAGTTCCGTTGATTCTCAGATAATTTGTTAGGTTTTGTGCTTTAGAAAACTCGATATTTGTTCTTGCTTGTTACGTTGACAGTTGCTAATAAATGGATTAAAATGTTTGCATACAAACAGCAATGTTTTGATCTAATCGAATATCAGCGCGTATTTGTTTCTTACATTGCTGTTGAGCTTTCTAGTTAGTTTTGTAAGAAAAAGCTTCTAAACGCCATATTTTTGAGTTATTGAGGTATCTTCGATTTAGAAGTTTCAAACGAAAACGGCGTCTTTTGAGAAGAATAACTATCAAAAGCTAGATTAGTTTAGTTGGTTGAGTTAGGTTAGAGATAATTAGGAGCTACTTTTGCCTTCATCTACAAAATTATCGCCATTTTTTCAGGAAAAATGACTGGCGTTCGTCGCAAGAACCCACAGTTGCCAAGTGCCAAGCGCCGGAAAGTTGAAGCCGAGAAGGGACTACTCGATCTGCCGCTCAATCTGATGCACGAGGTGTTCGGCCCGCTGGATGCCCGTAGTCTGCTCGAGACGGCCAAATCGCACGAAACCCTCCGCAAAAACGTCATGGATTGGCCGGACAAGCGCTGGGAAATCGTTCATCTATCGACCGATGAGGCCATCATCGACTACGAAACGTTTGACCGCAAAGACGCCATGGTTCTGCTTGGCAACTTGGGCTACTTCGAGGAAAATTCGGTAAAGATCTGCGACCTTCCCTACGAGCTGCTGTGGCCGATCTTGGAGCCGCTTGATGAGAATGCCCTCGTATCAGTCGCCAAATGCCATCCCAATCTCCTACGGGCCACCAAGCACCTGAAGAACAAGCGATTCTACCTCGTCAAATTTACTCGGCGTGAAGCCAGTTTCGCCGGTAGACCGCGAAAAATTTTGACGCAACTGCAGGCGGAGATATTGTTGACCGGTGCCTTTGTAGAAAAACTTGAGTGCCTCGTGCCGACAAAACTTGCGCCGGATATGCGTGTGCATACACTCGTATTTCGTGGTCAATGGAGAGACGCTTACTGGTGTGGCGGATTGATCGAAAAATGGAGGCCCAAACAGGTCGTCTTTCCGACGTGGGAGGCAGAAGCTTTCGACACGACTGCGGATCTGGCTCGCGAGCTAAAAGAGGTCTACATTCTAAAACTGCCGAGCCTGACGGTTGAATGGTTGAGCTACATTCCAGAGTGGAAATTTACCAACTTGGAGTTCACGTTGGACGCCAAGGGAAAGGACCCCACCCCACAGTTCCAAGCCATGTTCCAGAAGCTCTACGATCAATATGTCTCAGGAGAGCGGACTCGCATCAGCTTGGAAATGTACGTCGCCCCGGATATTATCGGCACTTATGAAGTCGGCGGCTTACATGACGGAGGAAGGCACCGACTAGACGGTCGTGGCGGCATGGTTCTGGTATGGGGACGTGACTTATTGCGAATCCGTCAAGCAGATATGGAAAGTTATTATATGAATACATACCGCGATTGATTCGCAAGGACTTACCTTTGTTGCTTTCTTTTGTTAACATTGTTGATAAATATTTCGTTGAAAACGTTGCTTTTTCAAATCAAGAAGTGTTTTCTAACTCATTAATATTTGGGCATCATCAAGAGATCAATGCGACTCATCGAATTCTGCATCTGTTGAGGCGGCTGTGTGCGTTTCGGGTTCTTTCGCATTATCGGGGGGGGCCGCCCGCCGGCGAACTTTTTTTTGCATAACTCTAGAAATGCCTAGTAAGTTAATACAAAGTGTTTTAAATATTCAAAAAAGCTCGAAATTTTGGTCAAACCTCGACCATTTTTGGTCGCAAAATCGATATTTTTTATATTTTTCAGCAAAAAGTATAAAGTTGACACGTTTAGGACTAATAAAAACTATTTAGAAACACTTTCACTATTCATATTGAAAAAATTTGATCCTAAGAAAAGGTGGATTCCTCCCCGAAAGCCCCCCGATAATGCGAAAGAACCGCGTTTCGTTTCTGGAAAATTGTAGCTGCGCGCGGACTAACCTTGTTACTCGCGCCAAGTGTCAGTTGAATTAGAGATGCGCAGCGTTCCAGGTTAAGATTTTTATGAGCAAACGCGCTGTGATCACCGCGCAGCGTGCAGCGCGATTTTCGTTCTGCTGTTCGCTTTGCGTTCAGCCATTCGCCCCAATTTTATTTTCAGGCACGTCTCGCAGGGATGGAGCAACAGTACTTGGACAAGCTTCCGCGTTCGGTCTGCCGCTCAATCTGCGGCACGAGGTATTGGGATCCGCTTTGCAGCTCGCAGCCATGGCAAACCGCCGGGAATTTTCACGCAGAGATTATGAAAATTTTCACGGCGCCTAGCAAATTTGCGGCTTTCGCGAGCTATCAAATATTGAAATTTGGTCAAAAATCGGTCATTTTTGGTCGAAAAGTCGCTATTTTTGCATTTTTTAAAATCAGAATTTGTAAAATTTTCACGTTTAGGAAAAGTAAAAAACCTTTTGGAAACACTTCCATCCACTATTTATATTCGAATAATGAGATCCTAAGAAAAGAAGGTTCCCCAAGAAAGAAAAAAAAACCCTAATATTCCTTTTTCCTTGCAGCCATTCGCGCAGCTAAATTCATCTTTTTCAGGCAAGTCTGCACGAATGGAGCAACAATTCTTCGCCATGTTTGCAGCGATGGATATCGACGGCAGTGAACCACCCATCGTTGAGAAGGGTCTACTCGATCTGCCCGTCAACTTGATGTACGAGGTGTTCGGGCCGCTGGATGCTCGTAGCCTGCTCGAGACGGCCAATTCGCATGAAATTCTGCACAAACACGTGACTCTGTGGCCCGGCAAGAAATGGCAGCTCGTTTACCATTCGTATGAAGGAACCATCATCGACTACGAGGTTTTTGGCTACCGGGATGCGAAAATTCTACTGGCAAGCGCTGACTACAAGCGGGACGACATCTCAGCTGCTAGGAAAGCCTCGGCCAATATTTGCCACCTTCCCTACGAGCTGCTCTGGCCGATCATCGGCCGGCTCCCTGTGGCCGGGCAGCTGTCCGTCGCCAGATGCCATCCCCAACTTTTACGGGCCACCAGAAACCTGAGGAATAAGCGATTCGACACGGTGGAATTCCTTCCGGAGAAGGTCATTTTCTCCGCTTATCCCGACGCAGTTTGGACGCACCGGGAAGCCGAGATTTTGTGTGAGGGAGCCTATGTGCGAAAGTTCAAGGATTCCATGCTGACGAATAGCGCTCCGGGAATGCATGTCGGCGAGCTGATCTTCCAAGGCAAACGGCAAGACGCCGGCATATGCGCAGGATTGATCAAAAAATGGAAGCCGTCGCATGTTTTCTTGCCGTATTGGCATGACACAGCTTTCAACTCGAATCCGGAGCTCCCTCGGGTGCTGAAAGATGTCCGGTCGCTGGAAATCCGGGCGTTGCCCGTGGAATGGTTGAGCTACATTCCGGAATGGAAATTCGATTCGCTGAAATGTCGGTTGTACGCTGATGGAAAGAATGTCTCTACGCAGCTCCAAGCCTTGTTCCAGGAGCTCTACGATCAATGGATCGCGAGGAAGCGCGATAGATTCTCAATGACGGTTGACATGGTCACGGAGATTGAGCACTATTTCAATGTCGCCGAAAGAACTACAGGCCCTGGATATACACATAAAGTAACACGTCGTGATGGAGGTACCGAATTTGTACTGCAGTGGGGATGCGATGAAATGTTGATGCGTACCCTTCGTTTTTCTATGCATGCTCAAGTTCTGAATCTTCGTCGTTTTTACTGATCTGTTATGCCTTCTCATTTTGTTGAACATTGTTGATAAATATTTTATTGAAAAAACGCCCAATCTCTCAAGAATCGAATAATTCATCGGCTACGGCGTCTCTTTTAACTTTTCAGCATATATAGATATTTAATCTAAGCTTCTATTAGCACTTATTTGGTTGCTAGCTCATGGCTCAAGAGCTTTTCCGGTAAAAGTGCTGTAAAAAGCCTGAAACGTTGGCTTTCAGTATTTCGTGTTCGCTTACACGGTATTCCACCATATTCCTATTTTTCAGGAACGTCTGCACGAATGGATCAAGAATTCTTGGACAAGCTTGAAGCGATGGATCTCGGCGGCCGTCAGCCTCGCGTTGAGAAGGGACTGCTCGATCTGCCCGTCAATCTGATGCACGAGGTTCTCGGCCCGTTGGATGCCCGCAGCCTGCTCGAGACGGCCAATTCACACGATACTCTGCGCAAACAAGTCATGGATTGGCCGGACAAGGATTGGCTGATTGTCTACCGCGCCCAGGGCACCACTATCATCGACTACGAAACTTTTAACAGCCGGGAAGCTGAGATTCTCCTGAAAAATACTCAGCACAAAAAGGAGATTTTTGAACTGCCCTACGACCTGATAAGGGAAATCATGCGGCCGCTTGAGGCCTTCGAGCTGATGGGGCTTGCGAAGTGCCATCCCAATCTTCTGCTGGCTACAAGAAATCTCCCGGGCAAGAAGTTCGAGAGAGCGAAATGCTTTCCGCGCAAAGTGATTGCCAGCGTCGGCTACAAGCGGGAGTACGGTTGGACGCACGGCGAGGTCGAAGTTTTGCTCAACGGTGCTTTCGTGCAGCGGGTGGAATACGGCGTGGAGACGAATATTGCGCTCGACATTTGCGTCAATTCGTTGGCATTCCTTGGAAGACAGAAACATGCTCACAAATGCGCTGGATTGATCGAGAAATGGAAGCCTTTGGAAGTAATCTTTCCGAAGTGGAATGCCGAAGCCTTCAGATCGAACCCGGAATTGGCTCGGGTGCTGAAAGATGTCAAACGATTGGAAGTTGGCTTCCTGGCAGCCGAATGTTTGAGCTACGTCCCGGAATGGAAATTTACGAGACTGTCCTTTCAACTGAACGCTGACGGAAAGTATGTGACTGCGCAACTCGAATCCATGTGCGAGAAGCTCTACGATCAATGGAAATCATTGGAGCGCGACGAGTTCTGGCTGCAAATTAAGTGCGACTCCGGTTTTGAGAGTCTTCACTTCAGCATCATCCAGCCCGGCTCGTCTGTCAAAACCTCACGTTCTGACGGGATGTGGTTGCGTTGGAACCTTTACGATGCTAAGATATTGTTGATGAATGCGTTTTGGGAAGAGGAGATCAATGACGACTACTACGACATTGATTATTATTATTAGTCGCTCCCTTCCCTTTGTTATGCCTTCACTTTTTGTTGAACAGTGTTGATAAATATTTCATTGAAAAACGACCAATCTCTAAAAAAATCGAATACTTCATCGGCTTCGGCATCTCTTTTAACTTTTCAGCATATATAGATATTTTTAGCAGAAAATTGTTGACATCTAGAGGCTATACTCCCGTCCACGCTTTTCACGTGGTTTTCTTTTTGCTAATTTTGCCTGCGTTTTGCCAGTTGACTAAAACTAGTCCTCTAAGTTTCCGCATTTTTAGCTCTTTTCCATCTTCATGTCTATTTTTCCAGAAACAACCGCTAATTCTTATTAATTTCAGGTATGGCAGCCGAATACGACGAGCTGTCAATGTCGTTCGAATCAGTGGGCCCGATCCCGCTGATCCCAGTGCCGCAGGACGAGTTCGGCCCGGGGGTCGAGACGGGCAGCGCAATATTGAAGCATACCGCCGTCGAGACCAACAGCAAGATCGTCGTCGAGGAGAATGGTAGTCATTTTGCTGGCTATTTCTTTATTTACTTTCTTAGAAATTCATCATTTTTGTTTTTTTAACCGTATTACTGAATTCCAAGGTTTTTTAGCGGAAATGATTTCAAAGGATTTTCTTAATTATGGAGATTATTTGACTTTAAAACGAAAATCAGCCGTAAAAAAGCCTTTTAATTGTTTTGGAATTTCCAGACTTTTTTCTTTCTGATTTGGAGAGCGCATAATTCGTTTTTTTTTCACGGAAAATTGTCGAAATTAGTTTGTTTTTGAAAGCTAAATTGGACTTTTTCAAAGCAAAGCTAATTTTAGCCGTAAAAAGTTCTTTAAAAATATTTTTTTTGGAGATTTCTTTGAAATTTCCAGGAAGCGGATGCGGCGCCGAGCCTTTCGCCCACATCTCGCCGCATACGGAGGCCGGACTCGAAAAGGTGTGTATTTAAAAATATTTCTGAATTTTCCGTTTTTAGGCAACGTTCGCCTCCAACCAATTCTGCAAGGAACGGGCCCGAAGCAGCCAGATTGCCGCCGAAAAGACCGTCTACGTCGAGGTGCCCGCGGCTCGAGCCGTCCAATTCGTCCACGCCATTCCGTCGGTAATTTTTAAAAATGTTTGGAGTAGTTTTTTTTCGGTTTTTTTTCTGCGGTATCGTTTTTGATATTCTGCCAAATATCTTTTTTTGGCGTTTTGGGTTCTCGGCGTGACCGATTTTTATTTTATTTGTTGTTTATGAGCCCTTATATAGCTAATAATGAAATATAAATTATTCTAGTGGTATTTTTTAGTAAAATATCGTTATATTGCAAGTTCAAAAGCAATGATAAAGCTCGAAAAATTCAATTTTAGTTATTTTTGATCATAAAATCAATATTTTGTTTATTAATAACAATTATCAATTTATATGTTTTTTTTGGGGCTGAGGCATTGTAAAATGCACCCTATTTATATCATTAATTCGCAATTAGTCGGAATCGGCCATTTTTTTTTGGGCTTGAAAATCAATGTTTCCTTTTTAAAAAAAATTTGCAATTACTAACTCACTAAACAACGAAATTACCAAAAGACAATTTTTGCGTTTTAATTGTAAAAACCAATAATGTCCCTATTTACTTAAAAAAGAAAAACGAGTTCGGAAAAAACTAACTTTTTTTAGATGAAAGTCGTGACGGGAGCGGACATCCGGCTGGCCGGCGATTGGGACGACGAAGGTCAGCCATATCGCCTCTTCAGCATCACCGGCAACCCCGACGAGGTCAAGCAGGCCAAAGCGATTTGCCAAGAGGCGGTGAGACTATTTATTTCCGGTAAAAACAAATGTGTTTTAGGCTTCCGACGAGCGCTACATCCCCACCGCCGAGCAGCTGGCCGTCGAGACCGTCGAGCTGAATCCAGATGAGGAAAATGCGACCTTGGCCCCGCAGCGTACGTTTTTAGAGTTCTTTCGCATTATCGGGGGGAGCAGCTTTTTCAAAGGATTGAATTTTTCTGATAGAAATAGTGGAAATGTTGTAAAACGGTTTTTTCTATGCTTAAATGGCAGAGACTTTACAAATTTTGATAAAAAAATGCAAAAATATCGATTTTTGACCAGAAAAAACCGTTTTTGACAAAATTTTGACTTTTTGGAAGTTTATAGATAGTTTATCTAGTTTAAATATAGTTATATTCTACTAAAACACTACTAAAATACTTCCTGTTCAGTTAGTAGGCATTTCTATATCTATACAAGAAATCGGTCCCCCCGATAATGCCAAAGCACCGTTTTTGTAATTTTGCGGTTTATTTCGCCTCTAGCTTGTTTAAATTCAAATTTAAATTTAAGTAAACGGTTTTATTGGCTTTCTAAGTTGGTTTTTGAGAATTTAAGGTGGTTTTAAGCTAATTTTAATGTGCGTTTTGCAGCACGTGTCCTTCTGCAGCCGTGGTTCAACGACATGCAGCCGATTCCGCTCGATTTCTGCAGCGCCCCAGCGGTACGGGTTTCTGATAAAAATTCTCTATTTTAATTTTTCCAGGATCACTACGGCCCCCAGCCGGACCATGCGCACAAATGGCTCGAATACTACCGGAAGGTCGGCCTCATCGATCAGGCCATCGTCATCGACGCTCTCATGAAGGTTCGCAACTTTTTAAATGGTTTCTTTAGCATTATCGGGGGGGGACCAACTTTTTTCTGAGGAACCAATTTTGCGAATATAAAGAATTTAAAAAAGCGATTTTTCGTCCAAAAATCGGCCATTTAGACCAAAATTTGGACTCAAAATTTTTAAAGTTTTTTATTTATTAGTTTTCCACTTCAAAAGCAGTGAACTTTTACGAGCCAGTACTAAAACACTTACTATTACGTTACTTGGCATTGCCGGAATTGTAGGAAAAGTCCCCCCGATAATGCGCAAGAACCGAGCGCTTTTTGAACGGCATTTTCAGCTTTATTGTTTTATCGCCTCTCTTTTAGGCGCGTGCGCTGAAGCGATGAACGGCGCCTACCATCCTCCCAGCACTGCACGCCATCAATGATTGACCAGAGTATTTTTGTTAACTTTTCGATTCTTCCCATTTTTTAATTTTGTTGATTCTCTTCGATGCGGGTCGTTTCTATCCTTTCGAATGTTCTCTCTTCTTTTTTGCATGTATTTTGATGTCATAAAGTTGTTTGCTTGCCAATTGTGTGGAAATCAGGATTTGCAGTTCAATTTGCGGTGCGGTGGCTTATCTTTTTGGAAGGCTTTGGCATGGCTCGGCTTGGCTGTGGCTTGGCTTACGGGGCTTCGTGGCGTGGCTTGGAATTAAGGCTTTTCCCAGCTTTCTGAAGCTTGGTTGCGTCAGGCTTCTCCGAGTTCTAGCGCTCTTCTTCCGCGCGTGAAAAGTCGGTATTTTTTAGTATTTGAGTAAGCTTGATTTCCGTCGATCTAGGGCTTCAAAAGTCGCTAAAATTTCCGGTATTTTCTAACTTTTGTTTCGTAGGTGAGCTTTTCTCCTGTAGTTTGGCTTTATCAAAGCGATACCACTAGGTAGTTTTATTGCTGGGGTAATAGTGCGCTGAGCTGCTGCTTTTAGGCGTGAGACTCGTTTTATTGCTCACTTTTCGTTCGCACCTTTAACAAACCAATTTCAACTTTTCCAGGCACGTCTGCACGAATGGAGCAAGAATTCTTGGAGAGGCCGGAAGCGATGGAGCTCGGCGACCGCCAGCCTCGCGTTGAGAAGGGTCTGCTGGATCTGCCCGTCAATCTGATTTACGAGGTGTTCGGACCGCTGGATGCCCGCAGTCTGCTCGATTACGAGCTGGTCCTCGACTATGAGGTTTTTTCTTGGGAGGATGGAATGAGCTTGCTGGAGAACGCTCAATTCAAGGAGGAAAACAGCTCGAAAGGCACGGGAGCTTCGACCAACATCTGCGACCTTCCATACAATCTGCTATGGCCAATTTTGCGGTCGCTTGATATGAATACCATAATCGCAGTCGCCAAATCGCACCCGAATCTTCTGAGAGCGACAAAGCACCTGAAGGGCAAGGCTTTCGACAAGGTGGAACTTGTTCCCGAAGGGATCGTCTTCCGTGGTGCTCGGTGGCACTGGAACGATCGCGGCTCAGCTTTGAGTCATACGGAGGCCGAGATCTTGCTTACTGATGCCGTTGTCGGAGAGCTGAATTACAATATCCAGACGACTATTGCCCCCGATATGCGCGTGTTCCGGTTAGTCTTTAACGGACGACAGGAAGATGCTCACAAATGCGCTGGACTGATCGAGAAATGGAAGCCTGACTCGGTCCGCTTTCCGGGATGGGATGCCGAAGCCTTCAACTCGGATCCGGACCTGACTCGCGTGCTGAAAGATGTCGATCTGTTGGAATTTGGCGCGCTGCCAGTCGGATGGTTGAGCGACATTCCGGAATGGAAATTTGCGTCGCTGACATTTGGCCTTTCCCTGGAATTTGGCCGTGCGGATGTGATTCCACAGATCCAAACCTTGTGCCAGAAGCTCCACGATCAATGGAAAGCTGGGGAACGCGGCGAATTTCACATTGAGATCAATCTAAATCGCGGAAATATCGGATTGTTTAAGGTCAGCGGCGTATCTATCATGATACCTGATACACAACCGCCTTCGGAACGTGTATTAAAACGTCCTGATGGCATGCTTCTGAGTTTGAAGTACAGAGCTTTCCAGGTTTGCATGTCTTCATGTTGGCCCCACATGCGTTTGTAATGCAATTTAAAACCCAGTGTTGACCCAGAATTATCAAACGCGTTCTTTGTTTTGTCTTCTCGCTTTGTTGCAAAGGCTTGATAAATATTTCGTTCAAAACACTTGCAATTTTCAGGCTACTTGGCTTCCAAGCCTGTTGATTTTATCTAGAGTTTTCGCGTTGACGGATGGGTGAATTTTTGATGAGCTGTTTTGGTTCTTTCGCAGTAATGGGGAGCGGAAGAAAAAATTTTTCTTAGCGACCAACTTTTTTAAAAATTGAATAGCGGAAGTGTTTCTAAACTGCTTTAACTATCCCTAGTCGTAAAACGTTAGGGAATTTTAATGAAAGAAACAAAAAAATAGAGTGATTTTTCGACCAAAATGGTCGTCTTTGACGCAAATTGCGATGTTTTGAAAAATATCGACGTAGCCCATTTATCGATTGTTGAGGCCTCTTCCCTCGTTTTGAAGCCCGCTGGGTTTCGCCCCTGAAAACAGCGGTATTTTTTTTTTATTGTGAAGAGATGAAGCTGCGTTAAGGCTTCAAGTTCGGCTAAATTTTTTTAATACTGTTTGTACTTTTAGGTAGGAGGGTTCTGCTAAAAGGGCGCGGTTTTTTATGAATGTAATTCACAAGCCTTTAGATATTTCTAGCCAAGATCCGGCAACTGATATAGACTAACTTACGGCAGCGCTGCTTTTGAGCGTGATATTCTTTTAGCAACATGTTATATTTAGCAAATTAACCTAATTTCAACTTTTCCAGGCACGTCTGCACGAATGGAGCAAGAATTCTTGGACAAGCTTGAAGCGATGGACCTCAAGGACCACGCGCCTACCGTTGAGAAGGGTCTACTCGACCTGCCAGCCGATTTGATGTACGAGGTGTTCGGACCCCTGGATGCTCGCAGTCTGCTCGAGACGGCCGTTTCTCACAGGACCCTACGCAAACACGTCGCTCTTTGGCCCGGCAAGCAATGGGACTTCGTTTTCCGCTCGGGCCGCACTCTCATGATCGACAATGACATCTTCCAGTCACAAGGCGCCGGTGTTCTGCTTCAAAATGCTGTCTACAATCAGGGAACTGGATCGGAATTCACGGAAACTTCGACCAACATCTGTGACCTTCCCTACGATCTGCTGTTGCCGATCCTGAAGCCACTTGACGTGTATGACATGATGTCAGTCGCCAAATGCCATCCCAATCTCGTGCGCGCGACAAGGAAGCTGAAGGACAAGTGTTTCAATGGCGTTCAGTGTTTCCCGGAGAAGGTCGTTTTCCTCGGTGAAGATCACTCGGGCTGGAACTATCGCGCCGGCTCAACTTGGACTCCTGGCGAGGCAGAGATTTTATTGGCGGACGCATTCGTGGTCGATCTCCTATACGACGTACAGACGCCTATTGCCCCGAATATGCGTGTACGGTGGTTGGCTTTTAAAGGAGCACCGGAATATGCTCACAAATGCGCGGGACTGATCGAGAAGTGGAAGCCGGAGAGCATTATCTTTCCGGAATGGGATGCTAAAGCCTTCAACTCGAATGCGGAACTCCCGAGGGTGCTGAAAAATGTCGAGCGGCTGGTAATCGGCGCGGTGACAGTCGAATGGTTGAGCTACATTCCGGAATGGAAATTTACTTCGCTGAGTATTCAGCTAGACGCCAAGGGAGAGAATGTCACACCACAGCTCGCCCTGATGTGCCAGCAGATCTACGCGCAGTGGATGGAGGGAAGCTACGGTCGAATCGACTTGACACTCGAAATTCAACGAGGGATCGTTGATTCTTTCGAAGTCGGCGGCAAATCCATAGGGCCACGCACACGTCACATTTTCGTCGCTAGCTACCGCAGATTTCTGCACTGCAAAATGCTTGGCGAGAGTTTGCTTTGCATTACGGCGGATCGGAACGTTGACGATTGGATGTATTACGAGGACGATTATGATTTTGATTCTGATTAGCCGCAGAGGTCCCTTTGTTCTGTCTTCTTGTTTTGTTGATCGCCATTGATAAATATTTCGTAGGAAACGTCCCTTTTTTCTGGAAATCGAATAATTTATCGGCTTCGGCATCTCTGGTTTCATTGTTTCACATTTCGCGCGACCTGGCTTCCAAGCCTGTTTATTTTACTTTATTTAAATTTTAGTTATTTCGCATTATCGAGGAGGCAAGAAAATTTTTTTCTTAGGAACCAATTTTCGGTGCTTCCTGGTTATCGGGGGTCGGTTATTTTAGCGGGGGTCGGTTGCGAACTTTTTTCTATAATATCGTGCGGCTCGGCTAATTAAAAACTGCCCGTTTTTATAGACTTGTGCGCCGTTTGAAATGGTCTGGACTGTTAGCGGGGGAGGAGACATTAAGAAAAACGTCATAAAACATTTTGAAAAAAAAAAAATTATTTTTCGGTCTAACGTATATGAAAATGGCTAAAACCGCGCTATAACCCTAGATTTCGTGACTATAGGATAAATATTTTTATAATTTTTGATTATCGGAAGCTACTAAAAACAGTATTAAAATAAACTACAATTTATCACTAGCCAGGTATAGGCTAAACAAAAAGAAGATGCCAACCGACCCCCGCTAAAATAACCGACCCCCGATAACCAGGAAGCACCCAATTTTCTATTCTAAATGTTTTTATTAGTCCTAAACGTAAAAACTTTGCAAGATTTTATTAAAAAAAACCCCACAAAATGTCGATGTTTCGCCGAAAATGACGGTTTTTACCAAAATTTCGATGTTTTGAAAATTTTATTAAGGGTTTTTGTTAGTTTTCTAGTTAAAATATAGGTTTATTTTACTGAAAACATTATAAAAATGCTTATTAAGTATCGCGGTTTTTACTGGTAGTTATTTGATGTTCGAAAAAGTCGAAAATTTGGCCATTTTGTTTCGGAAAAATCACTTTTCCGACCTAAAACTCAATTTTCAGTTTTATGCCTAAAAATAATTTAAAACACTTTAGAAACAGATCCGCCATCCCCAAACAACCGTCGACTAGCATACCAAAAATTTATCCATACAAAAAAATGTCAAGCAGCCGGCGGCCAGCCCATCAAGCTGGGCGGCCAGGGCGGGAAGCAAAAAAAGAAGTAGCAGAATATTTCTGGGCAGGAGATAAATACAGTATCCTGGCGAGAGAAAGGGAGAATTAGAGAATTAGAGCACACTACGGTATCTTGTCGAACCGATCGAATTCTGGGGGCACATAATAGGATAGTACGGGCTTGGAAAAGTGGTTAGAAAAAGCCGGACTTTTTCAATCTGGGCAGGATTTTAAAACGTTAATTAAAACGGGGAAATTTGGGTTACAATCCGGCGAGAGAGCGTTAGGGATAGAGAGTAAATCGGGTAGGTGGGAGAGACAGAGAGTTAGAAAGTGGAGAGGATTAGAGAAAACGAGCGTAAAGTCGGGTTTTAAAGGCATTTAATTTCTTGGCATTTTCCAGAAATTTAAAGCTTTTTAAATCCCTTTAAAACCAGAAGAAAGATTTTTTAATAAACCGTGCCTATAAAACAATTTAAGAGTTTAATATTAAAATCGGGGGCATTTTCAGGGTTTTTTTCAGGGCTACAAACTACAAATTGAACTTGAAATGGACACGGGTACGCTTGGGACGGCCGGACGAGTCTCGGTCCAAATATCGATTCATCAGACGCCGCGTATCCTCATCCATACCTGGGCGGGGCTCGTAGGTGGGCACAGAGTGGCGGAACGAGGAACCGAATCTGGAAAATTTGTTTTTGCTTTTTCAGACTAAAATGATTTTTTAACGTTTTTGTAGCTTTATTCAAAAATTCGCTTTTTTTAAAAATAAAAAGGATTTTTGGTTGTTTAATTGCGATTTTTACGATACGAAAATTAGAGCGACCGTTCAACTGTATTCTAGCGTACGGTAAGACAGCGGAGTGCCGTAGAATTTAATCAAAACGCTTGACTACGCAACGCTCCGGTCAAAACGTGGCTGATTTTGCAAGTTTTTAGAGTCGAGAACGCCTGGTTGCGATGAATTAATCTACAGATTTCTACGCAACGCGATCGCGGCGCGTCGGCTTCTGTTAGTACACGACGCTTCGGTAAAAAAATAGGATGTTTTTTTAAGTTACGAAGGCAATTTTAATTCACTAAAAATACGAAAACTCGAAACTAGGGATTTTGTCAAAAGGCCAAATTTAATTTGTTTAATTTACTGTAATTTTTGCGAGATATTTGACGTTAAAAATAAAATTAAAAACTTAGATTTTTAGCAGAAATTTCGATTTTTTTAATTTTTCAGATAATTTTTTACAAAGTAAATTAAAATCTTGATTTTTTATGCATTAAAATATGCCAATTTGCATACCTGGGAGTGGCAGTGTAGATGGAAGAGATGCCCGGCATATAGCGGGCGGATAGCTCTCTTCGATGGCTGGCTTCATAGGGGTTGTAGGGGGTAGAATACGGGGAACTACGGGTACTGTAGGGGGATACAGAAGAAAAGGGAAAACGGGTCGGGGGGAGGGGATACGGTAGATTGATATAGAGAGGAATAGGGAGAGGAATAGGAGGGGCGGGTGGCCGATGAGTTACGCGATGAATATAGCCCGCCGTACATCACGTTTCCCAGGCGCCATCTGAAAAAATAAATTAAATCAGATTTACGTATTCACAATTACATAAAACATAACATAAAATTAGGGTATTTTAGCGTACCCACCTCTCGATCTTTTGCTCCTCCCTCTTCTCGGGTTCTCTAGTATGGTGCATACCACGAGACCGGGACACGATAGTGTGCTCTAAGGACGGGCGAAGGGGATGGTGCTCGCGATGAAGCGGATGCCCAGCTCCTCTGAAAATATTCAGATGGGGAATCTCTCTCACTCTCTCTCTCTCTCTCTCTCTCTCTCTCTCTCTCTCTCTCTCTCCTTTCTCACTCTCTCGAGCTCCCTATCTCTTTCTCTCTCTCTCTCTCTCTCTCTCTATCTCTCTCTCTCTTTCTCACTCTCTCGAGCTCCCTATATCTCTCTATCTCTCTCTCCCTCTCGGTGTCCCTCTCTCCTCTTTTTTACCCATTAAAAGGAGCGTGACAGCAACATTTCAAGCGTTTTTAGCTGTTTTGGAAAGAAACCTCTTCAGTTGAAAAACACGTTGCAATCCAGCTGTCACGCTCCCTTTAAAGGGACCTGGAAGGCCATATATTTTGATTTTTTTGCTTTTCTGGCATCCATTTAACAAAATGCGGCATATATTCGGCTTCCCGGCCGCTTTAAAACGACTGTAATTTGTGAAAAATAGCCTTTTCCATCGGAATTTCAGCTATACACATTTATTAGTCAGAAATTGGGTGGAGTAGATTACATAGAAAATCGAAACAATTCGATTTGTGCCGGGTGCTGGGTGCATTTTGTGGAAACAGTATAGTTAGAAAAACATGGAGAAGCTTTGTAAAGTCGAATCAGGGGCAAGCGGGTGGCGAGAGAGTGGGGGACAGCAGAGACACGCAGGGAAATAGAGAAAAAACAATTAGCCGAAATCGATCGTAAAAATTGGATAAAGCACACCGGGCTAGAAGCGGGACGGGGATGGCAGTATGGAGAAGTTTGTGGGTGGGTGAAAATTGGGGATTTTTGGGCGGGTTACGGTAGCTGGGGCAGATTTTAGGCGCTGGGTCTCAGAAATTGAATTTGTGGATTTTTTTTGTGGTGGGTTTCGTAAACTGGCAAACGGTAAGCATGTTGGCATAAAAATTAAATTAGTGTTCTGAATTTTGACAGAAAAATAAAACTGTGTAAATTTTTTTGGAAAATTGAAATTCTGCAATTTTTTGAATAATTTTTAAATTTTGAAATAAATTTGGCTTAACACAATGCAAAATAATAACGTTAATTTTCAAAATTTTTGTCGAAAATTAGAAAAAAATTAAAAAATTAATTAAAAAAATCATTTTTTCTGAAAAAAATGATTTTGTCTTATTTTTTGGATTTTTGCATCTAGGATTTGAGGTTAAAGGTCAAGAACTACTACCGTGTTCCCGCTCAAAATGACAGTAGAAATCAGGGTAAATAGAAGTCTGTGCCGTGGAAAGAAGCGGAAAAGGGGGTGGAGACGCAGAGAAATGTCTTTTTTTCTCTAATTCTCATTTTTCCTGGTGCTCTCTGTCTCTAATAGCATGGATACATATGAGTGTAGACGGAAGAGCGTGGCATAGCCGAGTATGAAGATGTTCTCAGGAGAGACATCTGTCTACACGCCTGATCCAGCTTCGATGAGAGGTCCTGGTATTGATGGCGCAACTGAATAGACACAAATATACACTGATCCACGTATTCAAGCATTAATGGTTGGGTGGGAATCGGTAGGATGGATGACAGTTTGGCTATTACTAAAAAAGCCGATTGAAAAATTAAAATCCCCGGAATTACGGGTGGAAACCCGGACTGAATGCGACGTCGCCGCGACGCATCGGCTACGAAAGGAACAGACTACGGCGCGCTTCAAGGAACGCATGGACTGGCAGCGTAGCCGTTTTCGATGGATTCGTTGGAAAAAGAAAACCTTTACAATACGGTAGCAGTTCGGCGCGAAATAACTTTGCCGACCTGCAGTGAGCCAACCTGGCAGATGAGCTACCCTTCCAAGAATCCCGGTTAAAAGGCGCGTCTGTAAAACTACGGTAGGGATTCCGTTTGAAAACCGCTTACTGTATGGCAGTTAGCGCTCCGAATACGGAAATTACCCGAAAATTAGGATTTTGGTAAATTGCTGAAGCAGTGTGACCCGAAAGAAATCCGAAATCCGAAATACCAAGCTCTAAAAATATCGGTCAGCACTTCAGTACTAGATTATTTCTTGTTGTTTTGAGTGATGCACGCTTTAGCCGGTTACGCCCATCAAATTAAAAATGTCAAAAATGCACTAAAAATCCTAAATTACGCCCTAAAAAGCGACTTTTTCGAAACACGACTAAAATCGTCTAAAGTATGAAAATTTTGTACACCAAAATTCATGTCGGAACGTTTATTCTTTCTTAAACCTATATCAAAAACTAGCTAAAAACCCGCGATTCGACGGGAAGCCACTACGCAAAGATACGTGTTTACAGGGCCATGATGCCAATCGGCATGTGGAACATCTGGAAAATTGCTTTTTGCGTAAATTTTTTGGTATTACTGGATTCTGGCTGCCAGAACAGCTTTTTAGCTTAACTTGACTACACTACATTTAATTCTAAGGCTACAAATCCCTAGACTACAGACTACAAAAAATCAGAATTTTCAATTCTTTCAATTTTTGCAATAAAAAAAGATTCTTTCCGAAATTTCGTAGTTTTCCGCTTGCTAGCTGGCCTACAAACTACAATCTGCACTCCAGCACGCCTAATTTTGTCGTGTTTTAGTGATAACTAGCAGTTCAAACTACAACTATTCTATCCGGGGTGTGGGTAAGGGCATTTTTTAGGGCAAATCAGGGTAGGAGGGATCACTTCTTGCTCACCCGGTCCTTATTAATTCTCTCGCGGGACAGACTGCGCTCCAGGGCGCCGATTCGACCCTGAAATTGGGCGGAAAGTGTTGAGAGGACAGGTGCCGAACAAGTACGAGACGATACGGGTGGACATAGTATAGCTACGGATGAATCCTATCAACGGGACACTGAGGACGACAAAAAGTACGGTAATTGGTAGACTGGCGGTCAGAAAGTACTGTAGACAAGTTTTTCGCAAAATACCGACACTGATTTCTAAGAAATACCGTAATCCCCGAAAAAACGATTACGACATGAAAATCGGAAATCGATTTTTACCTACTTTAGCGTTGTAAAAATTATTGCAACATATAAATCAGCTGTCAGCCACAGCATTCCGCCCTTTACCAGTTGTGTTCGTTTCACCGGGACAGGATGGCATGCATACAGGGGAAGGGAGAATCTGCGCTCTGGCCCCGCCCCCTGTTCTCTTCCCCCGTGGCCTATAGCCTAGTCTCACTCTTTGGCCGCCTCTTCCGCGCCCCACCCCTCCCCTGTGTGTCTGCACCCCGCCGTCTGGCGCACTATCCGCCAGCCTACTCACGAACACCGCGGAATAATCTGCAGCTTGAATTTCAAAGCTATTTTGATGGCGTAATCGGTTCAGGATCACGGTATCAAGGAAAACTTCTAGAACCAATGCAAATTTTGCCAAAACCTCGACTACAGTACCCGTTTTTTCGAATAACGATTTGGACACGATTCTAACGACACAGGACTGTGCTTTGAATGCCAGAAAAGGAAAGGAAAGGCTGAGAAACGTGAATCGTAAAGAGGTGTACCTCGTAGAGACTGCGAACACCGACCGGGGTCGAGTCGTAACGTCCCGATTCCAGATAGAGCGGCGTCGATGTGTAGGCCTGGAAATGGATGTAAATTGTAATGGGTATGTAAAAAATACAATGCTAAACATACCATACTTCAAAAAGATTCAAAGCGAAAAAATTAGAAAATTCACAATTTTGAAAACCGAAAAAATTAAAATTTTTTAGTTGCGCAAATTCAATTTAATTAAGAGTTAATCTTAATAAATTATTTGACTCATTTGATCATTTGTAATTTGATTAAAATAAGCTTGTGAATCAATAAAATAAATGAATAATGACGTATTTTTTGGTAATTTCTTTTTTTTGAGAAAATTTGAACTTTCTTTCTAAGAAAATCACTGGCTTTTGGGGGATGCGTAACAGACCCCAAATCCTTCCCCCCGTTTCACCCCCACTCTATTTGCTCATCGCAAAAAAAATAGCTCGGTAAATTGTTGCGGAAATGAGGGGGCGGAGGGCGGCTGTCGAAAGTGTCAACAGGTGCACTTTGGAAATATTGATTTTTAGCGGATTTTTAGGCGTTCTTGGGAATGGGAAGGTTTGCACTAGCAAAACATGATAAATCGCCCGGAAACGATTAGCAGGAAAATTCGGAAAAATGCGAATGTCAAAAATCGCGTCTTAAAAATTCGTTTTTGGCGTGCCAGTCCCTTTAAAATGCACGCGACTCGATTTTTGCAGACTTTTTGTAGTTAATTATATTGACTGAATGCCGATGGACAAAATCAAACACAATTCCGGTTTTCAGTCCCTTAAAAACAAAAGGAATTAGGTCCCGGTAAATTCCGATGAAAATGCTTTTTAAAGGGGTCCGGAAGCCAAAATATCCATCTGACTATAGTTTTTCCGGGTCATTCCGTTTAACTGTGTGCCAAAACGCTACCTCCGCTAGAAACTACGCTCTGACCTCTCTACCCCCAAAAACTAAAAAAACCAGGGCTATTTCCGGCGAAAATGAAGCTTAAAGGGGTCGGGACGTCAAAATCCAAAAATTACGATAATTTTCTATGTTCATTATTTTAACTGGATGCCGAACAGGCGAAAAAACCTAAACCCCAACTTCCCAGACCCTTTAAAACCCAAAAACCCGCGGCTATTTCTGGTACAGGGCTACCTGCAGTTTGCGTAGATATCGGGTCAGATTGCGGTTTGCGAGGGCTCTCTCGAAGCTCTCGTGCATCTTCACCCTCTCTTCTTCTCTTTTCTTCTCTTTCTGTCGTGCAGACAGTCAATTCCCACCCCTTCCGCCGATTATTTTCAAGTGTTCTGAGTATTGGGGCGTACACTCGCGTACTCGGCTGGGTCCCCAATCAGCAGACGAGCAATATTTGCACACAAAAAACCGATGGGGTAATGTTTGGTGATTGTAGTTTGCAGCAACACTAATAGACCGCGGGAATTATACGGCGTAATCGG